AAAATCCTGGCCAGCACAGGTAGTAGTAAAGGCTTCTGGGAGTTGTAGTCCAAGAACACCTGGTTTACTCAAGGATAGGGACTAATATTACAGAGGGAACATAGTTGGTTAGTTAGTTTTGGAAACATTGTTAACTGGTTTGCTGTTATGTTTTCATTATAACCTCGTTTTAATCTTGTGGTTTTTTTGATGTTCGCTTGCTTGACTGTAGTGGAAGGGCAGGAAAAAGAGAGAGAGGAAGGAAGGAAGGTAAAGGTGTGCATTCTGAGTCATGACTTAAATGTTTAATTATTTCACCATGTCTGTTGCGGGACTACAACCAAAAGGTAGAGTATGGAGATCAGTGAAATGTCTCTCTCAACTCTTAATACTGCTGACATAACAGAACAAAACTTCCAAAGCGGGGAGGTGGGTAGAGTAGATTTCCTTTCTGATGTACAAAAATCCACGGTAGTAAGAAGCCTGGTTTGCTACAAGCAAATAATTGTTGTCAACCCACACAAGTGGTTCCCACACAGTTTTGTTTTGTTTTTTTGTTTTTGTTTTTTTGCCATATGGGGGTAGAGAACAGCCAAAGGTATCAATTGGGCAAGAGGGAAAACCCTAGAGAAAGCAGTGGCTGTGGAATATGTGTGTTTATTTCTGTCCCCAAAAACAGAGTTGTTGGGTTTATTAATAACAGCGTGATTTAGGACTTCCCGTAGTGCCTGGTGAATATCATGGCCACCTTCTTTCTAGTTAATGAAACTCTCCTATCTTTAATGACTGTCAGACACTGAGCTCTCTCTACCTGCTTCTTTGGGGAAAAAAACCCTTCAGAATATATAGTGGTGCAAAAATACTTTGGATATAGCCAAAACTTGGGAAAGTTATTTTGGGGAGGGGGGGGAGACAACTCCCAGAATACACCAGCTAGCACGGCCAGTGGCCACAAAGCACTGTAATAGTACATTTAACATCCACATAGTTATTAGTATTTATTATTTATTTATTTGGATTCAAGACAATTAATGAGAGTGTAATGAGGAAGTAGCACCAGAAGTTACCACTATGATCATGATGGCATCCCCACTGTCATCATACACACACTGTCCCCAGGTACAGCTCATCCTGTTCAGCACCTGAGTTTTGTGTTTCAGGTGCTTTTGGCAGCTGAAGATCAGCACTTCATTACTACGACCAGAGCCCTTCTGGTAATGGCACCAATGTTGTGACATGTCCTACCCAGGTGATACAGAGACTGCTTTTTTTCCAGGTGCAAACCAAAAACCTGGCTTTTGGGTCCATCTAGACCTGATTCTATGGACATTGTTTTGATGCATTTTGCTGCTTTTAAAAATATTTTGCTCCTCTATACATTTCTTGTACACTATTGTTTTGTTATATTTGTCCCAGTGAGATCAGATGATGCCATATATGTTGTTTTAAATGTTGTCGGTTAATCATTTTAACAATTAATAGACAGGAAGGAAGGAAGGAAGGAAGGAAGGAAGGAAGGAAGGAAGGAAGATGTTCAAAATCAGCCAGTGTTAGCACAGGATTAGCAAATTGGCTACAGCCCATAAATGCCTTAACAAATCAACATGAATTTAATTCTTCAGACCACCAGAAATCACTGTCTTAATACTAAACTGCATATATGTCAAGAAATACACAGTTTGGCAATATACATGCTTCATAAAAACAATAAATAGCGCACTAGACCCAATCAGAGCTTGGATCATTACATGTTAAAAGGACCTCATTATGTTAATCGCTACACTTCTCAGTGCTGCAAGTAAATTATTGCATTGCACATTATCAACATCTTCTACCCTATTTCCCAATAATAAGACCTAACCTGAAAATAAGCCCTATTATGATTTTTCAGGGTGTCCGTAATATAAGCCCTACCACAAAAATAAGCCCTAGTGAAGTGAAGCCCCACCCTCCACCCTTGTACAACAACCAGAAGAAGATGGTTGATACATCATGACTGTATCTGAATAAATATTGATTGTTATATAGGAAAAAAAAAATCCCCTGAAAATAAGCCCTAATGTGTTTTTGGAGCAAACATTTACATAAGACACAAAAACCAGGTCTTATTTTCAGGGAAACACGGTGTTGTCCTAACTAGAGTAGTAAGCCAGAAAAATACAGAGAAAATACCCCCCCCATCCATCTAGTATCCAATTTTGTTATTGTACTTTAGAAATATTTTTATAAATCCAAAAAGAAAAAAGAAAAAACCTACACACCAGATAATACTTACCTTGACAGGATTGATAAGAGAATGACATAAAACCTCCAAAATGTCTTTAAAAATGCTTTTAAAGTGCCATTTAAAAGTAATTTGTGAAAAGGAAGTAGGTGTCATTCAGTACAGCTAAGTGTTTTCAGCATTACTGGAACTTTGAAGAGACCATGTGCATCACACCCAAATAAGTACAACTCCAGATCATTATGTCACCTACAAATACCAACTTCCAAGCTTTCTGTGCAATTAAAGTGGCCGCTGTTGGAAGGTGCCGCCCTTTTGCCTGGTACATCTGATAACCCACTTACCCCTCAAACCCCTCAACTATTATTTGGCCTTGACCAAAAGCTTCCACTGAGGCCATTTGGCGGCAGGGGGGTTTTCTCTCCCATGCTAAACAGCGGCTTCAGGACGACAAGCTCAGACCCGGTTTACTATTCGCTTCTTCTGGGGACGCCCTGGGACTGTGCAGCTTGCCCATGGCCACACAGACGGGGTCATCATCTCTCTGGAAGCACAGTGGGGAACCCAACTTCCAAACTCTCACTCTGCAACCAGATGCCTAAACCATTTGAGCTACCCAGACGCTGCATAGGCAAATATTTTGTAGAAGACAAGTGGATAAATGTAGCACGACTCATTCCAAAGAGCTGCCTTTGGAAATTAGAGTGGTCAGCTTGAGAAGCTAGCCTTTTAACAGTAGCAGCATTAGGGGGTGGGGAAATTCCTTCACTGGAAATTTTTCAACACAGATTGGGGTGGATTTCTGCTCATAAGGCTTTACTAGTAGATTTTCTACGTTGGTAGAGGTTGACCGGGGCAACTTTTGGAATCCCTTCCAGGTCTAACGTTTAGCGAAGCTGCCTTAGATACTGAGGCACCTTACCGGTTGATTCAGCCCACTACTGTAGATGCTAACACACAGCAGTGCTCCAAAGTTCGTGCAAGGGTTTCCTTGCTGTCTATCTGAAGAGACCAGAAATAGGATTTGATGCCCCTGCACATGAAGCATGTACACGATGGCTCAGTCACAATCTCCCCCTGGCAGAATTTAATCTGCAGCACATGGCTTCAATTATTGCTATATCCTGAAAAAATATCTGCCGATTTTAGTTTGCCTTTGGATATTGCAGGACTGCAGACCCCGTTATACCTCTACATGTGCTTAGCTTAGCAGGAATTGGAGGTAAAAAAAAATCTGAAGTTACTTATCCCGGTATTACAGAAATCTACAAATGCAACTTTCTCTGTCTCTCCCATCCTCTCCCTCTCTTATTCTCTGTTTCACAGCTGGTTGGCAGTCCTACAGGTGCTCAGGATGAGAGGATACAATGCAGTGTTTGCCAAACACTTCCGATCAGATGACTCTATACATATTCCGTAGATTCCCCAAAGGTCCATTAGCAGCAAACGTCCAGTACTTTGGGAAAGGGGAAAGAAGTGTGGATGGACACAGTTGACTTAACCCATTCAAGTCAGTCTGGTACTTGCAGAATCACTATCATGTTTATTTGGATTTTGAGCCTGTTTCTGCTTCTTTTGCAAACATAAGCTTTCTATTCCTATCTGCAGTTCTTTGGGTAGGGATATCCAAGGAGACCCAAAGGTCTATGGTGACCTCAGAATGGAAATTGCCAACAAGAGCACTTCAAGACTTGCAACACAACATATCTGCATTTAGAGCAAACCTGCTAATAACAATGAAGTGAGTAGAAAGCAAGCAGAACAGAGGAAGCTACCAACAGCTAAGGCTGTTGACCATATAACCTGGTAGCGGGTACTGTGCTCAGACATTTCAGACAGGAGTGTGTAAGATGCTGAGAATCAGTGAAGCCTGCAAAAGTTTTTTTTTTAATCTTCATTTCCCAGCCCCCAGTCAGCAGTCATGCTAGTAATAGGGGCATTCCAGGAGTGAGTGTTCAAAGTTCTGCAAGGCATGTGCTCTGCTAAAAACTTAACAATACTTCCCTAAGTCTTTGGCAAAACACTACATCTTCCACCTTACCCAATCTCAATGCATGTGTATACACACACACACACACACAAAGAGAGAGAGAGAGACTTATTCACAGTGTACTTTCTGCCTGCTTTTTTTGTCATCTTTCCCAGTTTTCCAAGCTAGACTATGGCTAAGAAAGCAAACCTGGTAAAATGATCTCCAAAACCCATTCTCTCTCTCTCTCTCTCTCTCTCTCTCACACACACACACACACACACACACACACACACACACAGAATTTTCAGACCTGGCCGAATCCCAAGATCCAACCTGCTCACTGTTCCCAAAGTCACTATTCTCACAAACATAATCCTGTCCCACCCCAGAGACCTTGCGTACGAGTAGAACAGCAGTTCTAGATTTGGACTGGGACCTAAGAGTGGGGCTGGGACAAACAAGCGAAGTTTCTAAGTGTCCTCCACTGACTCATGGAAGTCGCCATGAGTCACTCCATGGCTGGTCACTCCATCAGCTGGACCTAACTCACAGGCTGGAGGTGTGCATCATCATCATCATCACAACCACCACCACCACCTTAGAACTGCAGAGCTGGAAGGGACCCTATGGATCATCAAGTCCAGCCCCGTCAAGGAGGCACAAGTGGGGAATTGAACTTCCAACCTCTGGCTCTGCAGCCAGTGACCTAAATCACAGAGCTATCCAGCAAGGAATATACTGCATTAAGTTCACTGTAGAAGGCAAATATAAATATAACAAACCAACAACCAAACCAAGGACTTTAGCTCACTAAAGCTGACTTACCCTGAAAGTGCCACACGGCCAGCAGTGCCAGAAAGTGGATTGGAACTGATAAGCTGGCCATGGTGGAGTAGCATGAAAGATGATGCAAGGTCTTAGTCGCTGGAGCTCATGACTGGCAAGGGTGCCGGGTCATCAATTGAATAAGTTGATAAAGCGAAGAGATGGGTTCCCGAGTAGAAAGGAAACAGAAGAGTACGGAAGGACTGAGGGTGACTTCTGAATTTCAAAATCGTTTCTTTCTCTCTCTCTCTGGTATGGTTCGAAAAGGAGGGGTCACATGTGCGGAGGAGGAGGAGGAGAGAAACAGTGAGGCTGCGAAACATATTTCTTCCTGTGTGGGCACACCACATGCATGTCGAAAGACTCGAGGATGTATCAGGTGGTCCCCAAGCAGTGAGGAAAAGGGTTTTCATGAGCAGAATTTCCAATTCAGACAAAATGTACAGTAGTAACAGTGACATCTGAGTACTTTTGAGTGGATCTTGCCTGATCAGAGCTGGCAAAAGTTTATTTTTGTCCATTTTCAGGGAGAGCAACAGCCTATACAGTGGTGACAAGGAGAGATGCTCTAAAAACTTTATGGAAAAACGGATAACAAGCGAATTGCAAACAAAATCCAGGTTAAATCATTTCAAAAGTTATCAGAGAAGAAGTCAAATAGGAACCTGCCGATTTTTTTTTTAAACAGATATATCTCACATGTTCCTAAGACTAGTCCCTATACCAAAGGACTGGGAAGGGACTAAGGTAACAGTAACTTTTGAAAAGATAACCAGGAGGAATCCAAGGAATGACTGGTCTGTTAACTCAACATCTGTTCTGGGAAAATCAGTCAAAAGACGGATTAAAGTATGAAAGAACCAATGCACAGAAAGAAGGACAAGTGCTGCTGATGGAGACTTAGCAAGGCTTCTGCAAATGTCTCAAAGAAGCCTTCATGGGCTCTTTGAGAATCACTATAAATCAGACACAGCTTTTATTATGCTACCGCCATGCCTCTTCCCCTTCATTTTATGAGAGCTTTCACACAACGTCAGTCTTGACTTATAATCCTCACTTATTTTCCTTGCCATGAGTGGACACAGCTGCTTGTCCTGGGAACAGTATGGAGCCTATATTTCACAAAGGTATCTTTTTCAAGCTCTCCAAACAGTGCATGTGCATTCAATAGAGATGGAGACAAAGCAGGCTGGGGATGAGTATAAAATGGAAATGCCGTTGCAAGAGGCTAGAACTCATGAGGAGAAAGTGAGAGGTGGTCCTATGTTCTTATCAGGCCTGATGTCAACGTGCAGTCACTGTGCCATCAGCTGACATTTTAACTTTCCACAGTGTCACTGATGTCATGTTGTGCCGAAGCAACTCTGGGAAACTGAAAGAGAAATTTCGAAATGTTTGGGTTCGTTACACCAGTGTCGCTGCCTGTGGCAGGCAGGTTTATGGCCTTGTAATGTAGGAAGGCATCCACTAGAGGGCACTTTACTGAGGGTAGTTCTGAAAACCAGGGCTGGCCCTTCTCTCACTACTCCTCAGCGATCAAACACAATTATCTTCCTTCTTTGGTCACTCTTCTTTCTTTCTGCATTTGAAGAAGTAGACTGGAATCCACAACATTTATGCCAGATGGGATGGGGAAAATATATTTATAAACACTAATAAGGTTTGTTAGTGTTTACCATGTGTCATGAATCTTTGCTTCTCTTGATGTGTCAAAACGAGGACTACAGTAGTTGGTTGCTTGATTAAGTTGGTGACAAAAAAGGATGTCCCAAGATACTTTTCTGCTTGCGGGAAAGCAACTAACGGCACACCTCCACACCCAAATCAACATGCATATCATTCATTCCAAACCTGGTCAAGATGCTTGGACACGTGAAGCTGAAAACATTTATTTATTTATTTATTTATCTATCTATCTATCTATCTATCTATCTATCTATCTATCTATCTATCTATCTATCTATCTATCTATCTATCTATCTATCTATCTATCTATCTTATTGGATTTTTATCCCGCCCTTCTATCCCTGGCAGTAAAGACACAGGAGTGACAAAATAAAGAATAAACCATTTGTAGCCCTTTCTGGATACACTCAATCTTCTGCCTGAGTTGGCCTCTTCCCTCTGCTTAACAGTAGGGCCGGCCCTCGTGGCAAAATGGACCCTGGCTGGTAAAACCTGAACGACATGACATTTCACAAGTTTGTTGCGAAGAAGAGCGGCCGGGGAAAGGCAGGCGGACATATCCACTCCTTGTCAAACGCAAGGTCTGAGGGTGACATTTCGACTTATTGCAACCCACAGGTCGGAACCGAAGGGAAATGAAACTGGGGCAGCCAATCGGCGACCAAGATGTCTTGACAGCAAGTGCAGAAGCGGCTTCCGGTTTCACCACGACAGGAAGTGGGTGTCAGAGCAGCAACAAGGTGCATCCAAGGTGTCCTTGCAACGTCTCTCTACACAGTTAAGAGACGTCATGGTAAGACTCTGAAAAACAGCTCCCTGTACAGCCTTATTTCCATTGCATGCCCCCCTACTTAGAAATGCTGTTTTTTCAGAACAAGCCAGCCAAACTGAGATAGTGTGTGCTAACATCTTTTTTTCTTGCTATCTCAGGATAAAGATTATGTGGGTTTTGCAACCCTGCCCAGCCAGGTCCACAGAAAATCGGTGAAGAAGGGCTTTGACTTCACCCTGATGGTCGCAGGTAAGGATTTAAAATATCAGCCCTCTCCATCCTAGCTACAGTAATCCAAACATGCTCGCTCCAGGCACCAACTCTTACATTGCTACTCCCCTGCCCTATTTCCTGCTTCTGCAGAAGTGAAGGAAGTCGGACTATAGCTGATGGAAACAGATCAGTACGTGGTCATCACCCCCTGGAGGAAAACTGTGGAAGATTTTATTAGGGGAGATCTCCTGTCCAAGCGGACGTGGAAGAGGGTTCAGGACAAATTTTGGTGGCCTGCTTTTAGGGAATGCCTCTGGCAGTCCACAGAAATCCACTGAGAAAGTGAAATGGAAAGCCTCCATAAAGAGGAACGGGGGTAGCCCTTCTTGGCATGGTTGAAAGGCCCTTAGTGTGCTACCAATAAAATAAGGAAGAAAGGCAGACATACAAGATGCACACATACACTCAGGAACAAAATGTAGATAGCTTGGTTCACTTTGTTATAATCAAGATTTAGAGCCATTTCTCTGTTTCAGGTGGGGAAAAAAAGGAAATATGCTGTAAATTGGTCAAAAACTAGGTATACGAGCAAGTAGCTAGCGCGTCAGGCATTGCTTTGGGATGTTTCATTTCAACTTTATGCAAAATGTTATTTATATAACAAAGAAGACTGAGTTTACAAATATAAATATGTACTAGTTATTGTATTAGTGATTGTCTTAACTAATTTATATTATGTTTATACACATTTTTTAAAAATGTGCATTTCCATTTTTAAAAATGGTGTTTCCATTTCATTTTGCACGTGAAGACAGAGCACCGCTGGGTGTACTAGGAGCTCTTGCTTTCTCTTTGTGTGCTGTTAACACTTTTTGTGGTACAAAACGAAGAAAAAATTTGAACAGTAACTGCTTGACTAGGGGGCTCTATAGCTGCTCTTTGTGTCAGGCCAACTTGGATAAACTTCAGTGATAAACGAACATGCATTGTTTTAGGATGATGGGACACCAGACCTGAGATGTTCTTACTCTCAGGCCTTCTGTTATAACCCAAAATATGTTCCCTTTTCCAGAGGGAGGGAGAGAAATGGACTCCTCCTGAATCCCGGAGAACTAGCCCCCTACATCTGCTAGTAGGCTGCTTATTGAGCCTAGTTTCATCATCCTGCAGAGAAGGGGAGAAATGGAAAACAAGGCCACCTTCAGCCTTTTAGCTCCATCAGGCCTCGCCTCTTCCCATCTGTTGTTCAGCAGCTATTTGTGGCATTAAGAATTTGTGTCCGGGTTTTCTTAATTTCTTTTTCTCTCCCCCTCCTCTTTCCCCTTATGTGTTACGCATTTTTAGATCGTCAGCCTGACGTGTATTTTATGTATTTTTACACTGTCACTTCTCATTGGTATGCCAGCCACTCTGAAAACTTTTCCAGCTATAAATAAATAAAAATTTATTCCTCTTAGGAACTCCAAGACATTCATTCATCTTACACTCTCCCATTCATCCTGTAGGAGAATCTGGCCTGGGGAAATCTACTCTTGTGGACAGCCTTTTCTTGACAGATCTGTATAAAGACCGTGTGTTCCCAGATGTGGAAGGTGAGCAGGGCTTGACACCTGTCATTGTCTGTGATTGGCAGGTGGGTGGCAGAGAGGAAGGTGATAAGGAGATGACAATACTGGCCTTTGTCCTGTCTTCCTTACTTCACAGCCAGGATCCCTAAGACGCTGGAGATTGTCAAACATGCTGTAGATATTGAAGAAAAAGGGGTGAGAGTGAAATTGACAGTGATTGATACTCCAGGATTTGGCGATGCGGTGGACAATACAGAGTGGTAAGAGGAGACTGGATCTGTGTGTACATTTGTGGAAGTGCTTCAGTTTTGTAGGAACATGTGGGGAGGCATTTAAGACAATACAGAAGGGATACTAGAAAATAATGGGAAATGGGATTCCATGGCTTTCCAGCTGAGAAAGTAAGTAAAGCATCTCAGGAAACAAGGGGAGGCATTTAAGACAATACAGAAGGGATGCTGGAAAATACAGTAATGGGAAATGGGATTCCATTGCTTTCCAGCTGAGAAAGTAAGTAAGGCATCTCTGGAAACAAAGATGTGGACTTATGTACTCATTCCCATCATATACCTAAATACTGTTGGCATATCAGAATGGCAAACACCAGGCTTCTGGCCCTATGCACATGTAATTCTTAAACATGGTGATTTGAGTAATCACAACTTTCTTAGGATGCTAAGCTTCCAGTGAAACCCCTCTTTAATTTATGAGCTGTGGCCTGCTAAAGGATGTATGAGTAAGACAGATTCATTACCATGTAAGCACTGAGTCTAGAGTAGCAAAGAAACAGCCTTAATCAAGGCTTCCTCAGTCCGTGTGTGACACTAGAGTTAGAGGCCTAAACCCAGAGGTCCATCCCTGTTAGTTGGAGCAAAGGAACTCACTGATTTGCCAACGCTATTCTTGTTCAAGCGTAGATTTATCAAACTCCCATTGATTAAGTAGGCCCTAGATCAAATCAAGGCTGAACTCCCCCTGGAGACAAAAAAGGTTGGAACTCAGACTGTCCGACTTTGGGCACATCACGAGAAATGATTAAGTAGGCCCTAGATCAAATCAAGGTTGAACTCCCCCTGGAGACAAAAAAAGGTTGGAACTCAGACTGTCCTACTTTGGGCGCATCACGAGAAACCAGGATTCTTTGGAAAAGACAATAATGCTTGGAAATGTTAAAGGCGGGAGGAAAAAAAGGAAACCAAATACAAGATGGATAGACTCCCTAAAGAAATCCACAGGCTTGCGTTTGCAAGAACAGAGCAGGACTGTTGAAGACAGGACATTTTGGAGTTTGCTTCTTTATAGGGTGGCCGTAAGTCATGGGCAACATGATGGCATGACTTGAATGAGTGGGAACTTGGTAAAACTTCAGATGGATTACCAGTCTGATTTAGGCCATTGCTAATGTTAACCATGGTTTGTTGCTAATCCTTTATCATGGTTTGGGTACTCTGATGGGACGGAGAGCCATGACAGTTAAAATAAACAAATTATATCTAAAGAATCTCACGGGGATACGACACTGAAGGTTGAAATGTTTACCATTTTCTTCTTCTAAAACCTACAATCCACCAGCATCCCTAACTGGAAATAGTATCTTTCCTAACACATCAATAATTCGGATTAAGAGATGTGAAAATTCCAATTGTTCATGTTACTCTGAATAAGGTTAGGATCTCTCTTTTCCTTTCTCCTTTTGTTTTGTTTTATTCCTCAGCTGGAAGCCAATTGTCCATTACATTGATTGCCAGTTTGAACAGTATTTTCGAGACGAGAGTGGCTTGGACCGCAAGAACATCCAGGACGGGCGTGTCCACTGCTGTCTCTATGTTCTGTCACCTTTTGGACATGGGTAGGAAGTATGGATGCTAACAATTTGGTTTTGGTAACAATAGGGGGTTGACGTCAGATCTTTTGGAAAGACAGTGGCTATTCAATGAGGAGCTTAATTTAAAAAGCTTAATTTAAAGAAGAGACTGCTTAATTTAAATTGAGACTGCTCCCCACCTTTATTCTGAGCATTCAGTGCTGGGACATATCACACGATGAAGTGCTATAGAGCATGTGCAAAGTGCCCTCGCCACACAATTAGTCTAGAGTATAAAAGCCGGGCAGGGAGTTACCACATCTTTAATCCTGGCAGCAGTTTTTGTTTGAAGTGAAATTAATGATTTGGAATAGTGAAGAGCAAAACACCATGGCCACAATTTTAAGGCAAAAATTGGACAACCTTGTCCACGTTGTGGCAGGGAGTGGGGAAGAAGAGGCCATAGGATTGTTGCCAGATGCTCTCAAAAGAAGAACCAGGCCTTCTTCCTCTGTTACAGTCTCCGACCTTTGGACATTGCATTCCTCCGAGCCATCCATGAGAAAGTTAACATTGTGCCAGTGATTGGAAAGGCGGATAGCTTGACTCCGGCTGAAGTGCAGTACAAGAAACAGAAGGTAGGGCTTCTGTAAGGGCAGAAGGGAATGCATACAGGAGGGAAGCAGCTTGTCTGAAACACCTACCTCTGTGCAGTTGCTCTTAACCTTTTAATCCTCTGAATCTTGGACTACTGTTTGCAGAATCCCCAACAATTAGCCATATAAGTAATATCTGAAGTATCCAGAAGACCAAATGTTGGGGCACCACCTTGGTGGACATCCCACCATGATTTTCATATCCCACCGCTGCCCTGTCCTTGGCCTATTTGTATTTCATGGCTCTTCCAACCGCTTGTTTCCACTTCCTTTTGGGCACAGATACGGCAAGAGTTAGCAGAAAACAGAATTCACATTTACGAGTTCCCAGACTGTGATTCAGATGAAGATGAAGAGTTCAAAGCTCAGGATGCTGAGATGAAGGTAGGAACTGAAGCAGCAATGGAGGCATACTGTAGGGATGTCTTGGGGTGGAAGCAGAGGACGGGGCACTAAGGCATATTGGTCCCATTGATTTTCTCCCTGCAGCGCAGCATCCCCTTTGCAGTCATTGGATCCAGTCAGGTGGTCAGAGAGCTGAAGGACAAAGTCTTCCGGGGAAGGCTATATCCCTGGGGCACAGTGGAAGGTCAGTTTTATTAAAATGGAGACATTCAATAGAGGGCGCTGTTGCAACAGGAAGTTATAACTGAGTCCCTGTTTTGTTACCCCCCCCAGTGGAAAATTCTGCTCACTGCGACTTCCTAAAACTTCGGAATATGCTGATCCAAACCCATATGCAAGATTTGAAGGATGTCACCCAAGAGGTTCATTATGAAAATTACCGTGCACAGTGCATTCAGAGCCTGACCAGAACAGGCGCTCGGGACCGCAGCAGTCGCGCGTAAGCCGTTTCTAGGACTCTTTGCATTTTTCTATGAGGTCTGGAGCACAAGTGCCTTGGATGGAATTAAAAAGGATTGGCTAAGGAAGACAAAGATTGCAGGGATTCCAGTGAGAAATTCAGTAAAATATATGACCGTACAGCATAATTGTGCACACTCTGTTCTGATGCTCTCGTGCAGTCGTGTCAAATTAGGGTTCTAACAAACTGCACCTTCTTTGATCCTATACTGATAACAGACCCTAAGGGGAAACATGAGGTCTATGGATTCATCCACAGCTGGACGATTTCATTTATTAATTTTGCTATTGGTTAGAAAGTTTTGGGCTGAGATTTAGAAGAGACAAGTTCCAACCCTTGTGGTGAACCTGAGCCATCCTCTGCTCCCTCTCTGCCTGACCCACCGGAGAAGGTTGTCCTTCTGAAGATAAAGTGATGAGTAAGGGAGCCGTGAACACCCCCTTGAGCTCATGGAAGAAAGACGGGGTGTAATTAATACAATAATAAATTCTATAACCTATTTCCATTTAAAGAGGTGTGTAATCCGGTAATTTTAGGCTCCTTCTCTGGATCCCCAAATGGCTTATAGGAAGTGTTTTTAAGAACTAGGGAGAAGAAAACTGTATAAACGAGTGTGTTACTTGGCAAATATACTTAATTTTCATAGAGGTAAATCCCACAGAACTCAATAGGGCAGATATGGGAAGACATGCATAGAGTTGCATTGAAAGTCAGAGACATATGAAGGTCACTTTCATCTAGTTTACTGGCTTTATTGTCTTACCTCTACAGAGGAAGAGACAACAAAGAGAAATTTAAAAACACATAGCTTAAAGAGTCTTATTAACAAAAGCAAGGTGCCATTTTGCCCCACACAAAATTCAGTTCCTTTGAAATCTTTTCTCCGCTGTCCCATTTGTCGTGTGTTAGCAAGCTTTTATCTATTTGTCAGAGAATCCCCATGTAATATGCTAGCCTTAGCAAAACTTTCTATAAAAATAAAAGTTAGCATTTCAATAGTACTTTCAAGTGTTCAGAACACCTCTTATTCAGCTTGTTTATATAAACTGTGTAACTCTGGAAAGAAGGTCAGTTATTTTTGTCATATTTCAAGTGGGTTAATGAAGCCTTGGGAGGGTTTAGAACTCTTAGACCTGCTAAGTCAGAAGGGACCCTATGGATGATCTAGTCCAGCTGTTTTCCAGGAGGCACAGTGGGGAACTGAACTTGAAACTGCACAGCCAGAAAACTAAACCACTAAGCTATCCTTTGGAAAAGACCACCTGAAAGAGCTATGGCAAAGCCATCTTGGGTCCTTTTAAGGAGAAAGGCGGGATAAAAATATTTTAAATAAATAATAAATACGGTACAGTGGGCAAATCTTACTTGCAGTTCAGTCACTTAGTGGCGATGAGACCTTATTATCATATTGGTATGATCCAGAGAAACTTACAAGTAGGCACCTACATTCTTGGGTTCAATGACATGCTCCCTGTTCCCTCTCTAGGAAACTGTCGCGTCAAAGTGCCACTGAGTTGCCTCTTCTGCCGTTGGCCGAGACGGAGAAACTGATTCGTGAGAAAGACGAGGAGGTGAGTTGAGGGTGGGAAAGCAGAACTGCGTTTAAGATCTTGCATTTTTCTCTGATGTTAGTGGTTAGTACAGCCAAAAATCGGAGGATGGAGGATGCTTTGCATTCTCCACCTATCTGCTTGATTGAAGGCGAGTATTTTTGTTAACCTGATATAAGCTGTATTATTATGCTGGATACGATACGAGGAAGAAATACAGACTTCTGGCCTCTGGGCTTGTTGAACAGACAGGAGGACTGATCCTGTCTCATACAGATCCCTTTCCAGTGAAGAGGAGTGAGAAACATGGGGTCTGTGACTGATAAATGCAGCTGAAATCCATCTCATTCCTTCCCACCAAAAAAAGGTTCAAAGACTCGCTGCTCCTGGAGGTATTGAAGAAAGGTGGCTTTCGATACCATGAGGCTCCAGGAGCATCGAGTCTCTTCTAAGGCAAAACGCAGGGCATAGTTTAGTAAAAGAAGCGCTCTTTGATTATTATTTTTTAAAACACAGAAAAGGAACTTCCAGTCATTTCTAGTTCTGAAAACCACAAATAACCGTATTTTGTGGGACTGCTGCCTGCAGCAGAGCCAAAATTGGCCCACAAACCTTCCAAGGTTGCTCATCCCTTCTTTATGATTGGCCGTTCCTCAGCCACTCTGGGCTGGGCAAAGGACCGATGGCTAGCTTTCCCCATTCCCAAGATGAACGTAAACTGATTATTTCTCCCTTTCTTTGCCCAGTTGCGCCGGATGCAAGAAATGCTGCAGAAAATGCAGGCACAGATGTTACAGAACCAAGGGGACCAATGCGACAGCCTCTGAAGCATGATGATGATGATGCTCTTTTCCCATATGACCATGGAAATCCTAGCAGAGATGTTTGAGCCTCCTTCCACATGGCTGGATTCTGATGAGGGCTACCTACGGCGAGTGAAAATAAAAGTGGCAAGTTGCTGGACACACTGTGTCTCTGGGGAAAAGCAGCGTCATCACTGAAGGAATTTTCGCACTAGTTAACGCCTCTCTCTCTCATAAATTACTTTCTTTCTACGACTTGCTTGTAATAGCAGCATCTTACTGGCATAATATGGCTTCAAATGAATACACAAAAGTGGTCTACAAAAATAAAATATATTTCATGAAAATGGAGGACCGGCTTCCGGGAAGAATCCTGAATTGCTTTTAGTACATTCTCTCTTTCACAGCTTATCAGTCACCCAATACTTTCTGCCAAAGGTCTCCCTTCACCTCTGTTGCTGGACCCATTTTCCTTACAAACACACCCAAAAATCTTCCGATTCACATTCTTACTCCCAACCTATGCAGGATAATTATTTACCCTTTGTGTTATCAGTGGGTCCTATGCAGTAACAGCGTAGCAGCATCAGAGTAAATATTACTATGGTGTTCAAATAAGCATTGTCAGGCTATCCCATGGGTAGTTCTGAGTAACTGATGAAACTTCAAGAAAATTATAAAAACATGACATTACTGTCAAGCAAGCAGCATCTTGGTGGGGTGCCACAACCAAAACATTTAATTCAATTGGCTTTGGTATTCCAGATCTCATGTGATGTCAAGTCCCATCGCCTACTTTGCCTGGCCAATAGTCAAAGACGATGAGAACTGAAATCAACACAACATCTGGAGGACCAGTTTCTCCAACTTTGCCTCACAGAACAAGGAGTGAGTGATTTAAGAGCAGTAGGAAAGGTCAACACAAGGCATATCTGAGGTTGCTTTCAAATCATACTTTGAGCCCCACCTACAAATGTGAAAATGGTCTGTTCTGAAATCCAGGTCTGGACGAGGCCCTGAATCATAACAAAATCTTGACAACCAATATTTTTAGAGGTTTCACAAGAAAGTTTCTCTCTTCTCTGCTCAGGAAGAGACTGTCTTGGCTCTCAGTTCTGGTACTCTGTGTACTTTTTGGATGACCCATAGACTTTCTCAGCTGGGTATTTGAGACGATTCTTGTCAATTTTCCTGAGGGCAGCAGCGGGAAGGTCCACGTGGCACTTGTCTGCCAGGGCCACGAGGTAGATAAGGACATCGCTGAGCTCATCGGAGAGGGCTTCACGCTCTGACACTGTCCACCCTGGTAGGCCTTCGGGAGCTTCTTCCCGCCATTGGCTAAAGACAACAGAAAAAAAACACTGGGGTAAAGATGAGTGTTTAGGTTAAAGAACACACATTCAAGAGAAAAAGTGGGCTTAATTTTTAATTATCACAACTAGTCCCTGTGTGAAAATCATTTCGGTGACCCTGAAAGCTATTTTTAATCACAGCTTATAATCCTTTCCATGCAGTCCTTTTGTATGAAGTCATTTCTCCTCTGCTATGCCAGACCAGGCCAACTCCCTTCATATCACAGCACCAACCAAGGGCAGTTCTCTGATTAATGCACCACTTCCAACCCTGCAGAACAGCTAATACAAGAACCAGTGTTTCTTTAAACATGCAGGCTCTTTTACACTAAAAATGGAAATAGAAGCCTAGTAATGTTCAAGCTCCTACTGGAGAGGCTAGGTAAGTTTGGATACAATTCCCTCTCTCACTCTTTCTGTGCATGCGTGCAAGCTTTATACTTTATTTCTGTTACTGTAAACATTTCTTAACTAGGCTTTCAGACAGGCTAATAAGGAAAAAACATTAAGAGAATGGGAAGCAATTCAGGCAAAAACAAAATAAAAATAAAGAAAAAAAATTGTGACACCTTAGAGATTTCTGTATTTTAATGTGAGCTTTTATGAACAAGTCCACTTCCTCAGACATTAAAATATAGCACTTAGTCTTTCAGCTGCCACAATGTGTTTGTCTTCTTTATTTTTTGTTTTGTTTTTGCCTGATAGGCTGGTAAAGACTAACATGGCTACCTCTTGTAAAACTGCTACTATGAGAGGCAAAAATCCATCAGGGAGTTTAACAAAATGAGCATGAAATGAACACAAAACAAAAAATTTGACACACATATATTAAGAAGATTAATTCTAGTGATACGACCTTTTGGAGGTTACCGAGGTACAAGGTCACCACACACTGGAAGCAACTTGACAGCAGAGAAGAACATCACATGTGTATGCATATGATAATCATTCCTGCTCACCATTGTTGCAGGAAAAAAGCTGCACGGTGGTAATCCAAAAGGTCCTCCCCATCCTTGGTAATTTAAAAAAATATGAGATTACAGCGTTAACAGCACTGTGACACAGTGAACAGTCTTTGATTTTTAAAAGTACTGCATTTTTTAAAAGAGTATAGCTAGAAACACATCTTTGTGCAACTTAAGGGGATTCTGGTAAATGTGTGATCAGACTACTGGCTCAATCTATCTCTGCCCACATCAAAACAATATCCCTTTGAACAAAATTTAAAAGGCAACACAGTGCTAAGCGCTTCTACATCTGTGGGAGGATTACAAACGAACAATGTCATGTGGATGTCCAGGAACAGGAAGGAATAAACAGTGGCAATCCTGCAAAATGAGGTTCCATGCCTTTTGCCGTTCAAAGGCAGATCTATTTCTTGTGCAAGTTCTAAAGGGCTGAATTGACTCTTGTTCGGAAGCTGAATTCCCAAACTACCCAGATGGCTCATTCAAAGTAAACCGATTCAAGGAATGCACCTTCTGAAGTCCCTTCTGTATCAAAATACAGCAGGTGGGGAAAGTTAGAACTAAAATATATTTTCTGTATGAACTGCTTCATACTTCATACATGCGCACACAATAAGCAATATTTCCAAGAAAGCATGTCGGGTGTATCTTCATTCTTTTCCAGAGCTGGGAAAAAATTATTCTTTGGACTACAACTGCCTACATTCTTCAGCCAGGATGGTGCCATTACTGAGGTCCTAGTTTGACCCTTCCCGTGTACTGGACAAAAGGTCTATGAGGGAAATCTCCAGTCTGTTTCACAAAGAGTACGACCAAGGGATTCTGGGAGTTGTTGTCTGCAGAAAGCAATTTTTCCAAGCTTGGCTTCTTTCCCTCCCTTGGGGCTCAGCTTGTAGTCTCCTTTGTCAGTACTCACAACAGCTCCGCCAGCTCTCCAACTTCCCCCACTAGGGCCAGAAGCAGATTACGAGGTTGGTGGTACCTTCCCCAGCCACGCTCCTGTGTGAATGCAGACTGCAGGCTTCGGCTGTGGCAGGAGAAAGAGCAAGAGAGACAATAAGCGTGGGAATGGAAATGAGCCCAGCCAGGAGCCCTCCCAGGGCAGAGAATTCAAAGAGAGGAACGAACAGAGAATGAGGTCTCACATGTCTTCCAAGGTGGGTTCGGCACTGAATCGAAAAGCCCCCGCTGGTTTACCAAGGCCATTAGCCATCATGGCCTTGTCTTCCTCTTTCGTTTTCAGCGAATCAGGTGAAGAGCAAAATGCCTGGAAAAAGCAGAGTAAAGGACCCTGTTAATAAAGGAAACATTTATGCCCATTTTGCTATTGCCAGTTAAAACATTTGATAATGGTCTTTATGTGTGTTGCAGGCTTGAACGGATTATCAGAGTAATTCAAGCGTTGGGTCTCCGATTCACTGTTGACCAGAGAAGGAAATTTCTGCTAGACTGCAGGTCATCATGGCGTAAAAGCTTTCCAGATCTAGAACTGAGAGGTGACACTAAAGATCCAGTTGTAAGCCACTATCTGCTATAGAACTCTGAAATCTCAGAGGGAGGTTGTTAGTTTATTCCATACTCTTTCTCCCCCACCCCCAAACTGGCCTACCACCTGCAAGGTTCTGGTCAGGAAAGGCAGCGCTAGATTGCCCACAAAGGGATGGATGAATAGATACAGAAATTTCTGGAGCTGTAGCTGTGTTAACCTAGTATGGTTAAAATCAAAAGGAGTACAGTATTTTGCCTCCTTAAAGATAAATAAGTGTCGGTTAAATGTTTTGTTGTTGTTTAGTTCTCTAGTCGTGTCCACCTCTTCGTGACCCCATGGACCAGAGCACATTAAATGTTTATGTACTGATAAATAAAATTATTTATTTAAATGTCCATTTGGTGGCAAATATAAATGGGCTCGCTCCATGCATTTGAAGAAGTGAGCTGCAGTCCAAACAAACAAACTTTATTTGACTTTAAAGGACCACAAGACTCTTCATTGACTTTACATGGGGAAAAAAAGTCTTGCCTGTACAGTTTCAATCGATTTGTGACTCAGAGAGGCTTACAAACAGGCAATCCTCTCCTGTAGCCTATTGCATCTATTACCTCTGTGGCGTCTGCAGGACCAGAACTCTTGGAAACAATGAGCCCCCCATCAGCAAGGGGCTGGGAACAGGCAGGAGTGGTAGACGTCTGATGCTCAGCGGTGGCCATGTGCTGCTGAAGGTGGGCGTGGTCTGCAGGCAGCTCACATGCACAGGATCCGCAGGCTGCTTTGCCCTCATCGCCAGGGACAGGCTGAAGCCAGCTCTTCAAATCCTTGTCTTCCTCCCAGCCTTTGCAGTATTGTTCCTGACTGCTGCCTTCCTTCAAGGATGCCATGATTGGCCAGACCTGCAAAAGACAAATACAGTGGTGCCTCGCTAGACAATGATAATCCGTTCCACTGAAATCGCTGTTTAGCAAAATCATCGTCTAGCGAAAAGCATTTCCCCATTGGAAGGCATTGAAACCTATTTAATACATTCCAATGGGGAAGAATTGTCGTTGTCTAGTGAAGATCAGTCATAGGAAAGCCGCTTTGCGAACCACCGATCAGCTGTTTAAATAGCTGTCTTGCCAAGCTTAGGTCGCGAAAACCCCCGTTTTGCGAGCACGGAGGGAGCTGTCAAAATAGTTGTCTAGCGAAAATGGGTTTGCGAAACAGGGACCAAACATTGTCCAGTGAAATTCCCCCATAGGCATCACTGTTTTGCGAATCGCTATAGCGATCGCAAAAAAGTCAATGTCTAGCGAAAAAACTGTCATGCGGGGTAACTGTCTAGCGAGACACCACTGTAAACACTGGCTTGATCTATTTCCAAAACAAGTAGTCAAAACAACAGACTGTTGTTGCGGCACCTTAATGTCCTTCATAACAGCGCCAACTTTTGTGAATTAAAACTTACGCTGTCATAAATGTATTCTGCCACTCCGGCTTAATAAAACGGCGGCCAGACTCTTATGCCTTACTGCTTCAACTCTGGGTCCCTTCTCACAATGTAAAGTTTGCTATGTGCAAATTCCTGTGGTGTGAGGAATGGCTCAAATCAAAGGATACCGCAAACGTTCATGTGTCTTTTTCCCCACCCAACTAAGCTGTACAAGTCTTTATCAATCTGGAGCAGTCGCAACATCGGAAGTGCAGCTGTAATCATCCTCAGCTAAGGGTGACCAGCGTGGCTGGGATGCTGCTTGAGAGATCAATCCAGCCACTTAGAAAGCACCAAGCTTGGGAAGCCTGCTGGAGAATCCGGTGGTGAACAACTATTTGTGGGTCGCATTCCGTCCCAGCATTGGGAGAAAAGCAGGATATAAATGATCAGTTACATCTAAATAAACACAGATAAATACATTCTGCCAGGACTTTGGAGATTCCTACTCAAGCTGTCCTCATTGGTGTGGGGGGGGCTGCGACCATCACGCCGCTCCGACTGGCCTACCTTATAGGGCTGTTGTGAATCTAAAGGAGGGAAAGAGAGCCATGGATGTAAAAGCAGAATACAAACACAACAAATGACAAAGTAAACCACTGAGAAATAGCAAAATAACAACAATAATGGCCTACCCGGATTGCTCTTGATCAACGAGCGGCGCCGACCAAAAATACAAACAAAAGAAAAAGCCACGTGTTTTTTTCCCCTCGCGTTCAACGCCGGGAACCTTCATTCATGCCAATCAACACGAGCCTTTCGCGCGGCCTCTCATTGGATAGCATGAATATAAAGGCAGCACCTAGGTGCCAATCAGAGACAGCTAGAGAAAAACATGTTGATCACTGTAACCAATCAAAAGAAAACTAGAAAGATGGACGGGACCTTTGGCGGGTATTGATCTCAGACAGGCACAGAATGCATCCAATCGCAAAAGAGATAACCAAAACTTTATAGAGGTATTTTGGAAGAGGTGGCCGTGTGGGTCTGTGCAAGCATGTCAGGCAAAAATCCAGAGCTACGAAAAGAGAGGGGTAGAGTTGTTCATGGCCAGTCAAAGGGAATGCTTTTACCTGGATGCAGGCAAAGAGGCGTTAGGGATCATTTCTTTTATAATGTGAATAATACTCTTTCTTTTAATCACAGACTGGCCACTGGATATAAATAGGCAATAAAAATATATAGCAGCAGGGGTTCGTTTCCTAGTTGGCATCTTGCAAGTTACTTATTTTTAAAGAAAACTTTTTTTCCTTCAAGCGGCAGAGGAGAATCTCATGCATTCAAAAGAAGGATGATTGCTATTCACAGAGGGTTGGCTTTTTGTCTTTGTACAATCGGTGTTTTTAATATTTATTTCCTTCAGTGTTTTGTTTTGTTTGTGTGCTGAATACAAAGGGGACTTCCGCAACAATAGGAACAACAAAACGCTTTTGGTTTAGGGCGGCTGCATCGGCATAGCAATTGTTGGTGGTGTTTTTTAAAAGACTTTCAAGTTCAGGCAAGGGCTTTTCATCGCAATTCTTGTGGTAATCGGCTTATTTATGCTAAATTGGCCCCCGATTGCTCACGGTTAAGATAATGATCGCACCCATTCACCCCATTTTGCCTCCCCTCTGAATTTAGTTGTATTCATAGCAGGAAGTGAAATGAGAGAACTGATTTTCTCAGAAAAAAAGATTGTGAGCTGTCCTCTTGTGGGTGTCCCTGTAATGTTGGTGAATAGAGTGTTGGACCAGGGAGACCTTGGTTGCAATCCCTGCTTAGCTGTGGAAATTCATGAGCAGGTTGATTGAACATTTCGTAGACCTTGAACATTCTTCTTCCTGAACATTCCACATACTTTGAAAATCCTATCAATATTTTAAGTTGGAAGTAACTTGATGGCACATAACAACAGCAGCAATCCCCTGCTATAGTACTGTATAAAATATTTCATAAGAGCATGGCACTGAACAGGCCATTAAAATGCATGAACCTTACAGAATACCTGCTCCTGGGGCAGATGAATATTGCCGCAACTAATTTGTGGATCAATAAAGTAGTTTACATTTTTGGTTTCTGACTGGAGCTGTGCTTATGATGCCACTCCAAATAAGCACCAGAACCATTGCTGTTGCCATTTCTGGCCAGCTGTTGTAGGACAACCCTTTCTAAGAGCTGCCTCAAACATTGGATAACTGCTGATGTCCTATAAAGCTGAAGGCAACAGTTGATTAATGCCAACCCCAGAATGTAGCAAGTATTTTTATTTAAACAAAGAAATCATTGCCTACACCCATGATTTTAACAATAGCCAGATACATTTATTTAAATAAACTTTTCCTGGCATGTTTCGTTGTGTGCAAATCTGTTTGCTCATCAAAGCACAGCAACAGATCCAGTAAAAAGCGCCCAACCTTGAACAGACGTTGTGATTCAATAGAGCTTAGACTTCCTGGAACACAGCTTTAAAAGATAATTGCCACCCGCTTGGTACTTTGACCTCCAGTTCTGTTAGGAGGTATTCAGTTACCCAAGTACTTTGTGTTTGTTGGAGAATCTTTAGGCGCAATCCTGTGTTTGGATTTCTAAGTAAACATGCTGGGGATTGTACCCACCAACCCTTATCCCTTAAACTTCTGCTGGCTCTACTCTTAAGTTTGTACATGGCAGGTATTTTTAAAACCATAAACTGGCAACTCTGCCTTGGAAAAACATTGAAAATTGTTTCCAGAGGGGTAGGTGGAAACACAACAAAGAGCAATGAGTCTTGTGTGCCTTAAAAAAAAACCAAATGTAGCTTTTGTGGGTTTGATTCAATGAGCCTGAGCCTATGCATTTGACCCAGATATCACATCGTCCACATGATTGTATTCCTGATCAACACCATCTGGGTGTGAAAGCTGGACAAGAAAGAAAACTGATAGGGAAAAAATGATTTGTTCAAAATGTGGTGCCAGAAGGACAAACAAATGATTCTTAGATCGAATCAAGCGTGAACTATCTCTGGAGGCCAGACTGTTTAAACTGAAGTTGTCTTGCTTTGGGTATGTTATGAGAAGACAGAATTCCCTGGAAAAGACAATTATGCTGGGAAAGGTTGAAGGCAGCAGGAGAAGAGGAAAACCAGATACGAGATGGATTGACTCCACAACTTGGAGTTTAGTGGAACTCAGCAGGGCTGTTGAGTGCAGGAGAATTTGGAGATTGATGGTTGTTGTGGGTTTTTCAGGCTCTTTGGCTGTATTCTGAAGGTTGTTCTTCCTAACATTTCACCAGTCTCTGTGACTGGCATCTTCAGAGGACAGGAGAGCATGGACAGAGTTCCTACTCCAGTCCTCTGAAGATGCCGGCCACAGAGACTTGCGAAATGTCAGGAAGAACAACCTTCAGAACACAGCCAAAGAGCCCGAAAAACCCACAACAACCATCAGATCCCAGCCATGAAAGCCTACGAGAATACAATTTGGAGATTACTCATTCATGGGGTTGCCATAAATCAGGGATGACTTGACGGCAGATGACAACAACAAATTTGTGTGTGTGTGTGTGAAGCAAGTATGCCCAGGACTGTAGAATTAGTCTGTGCATTAAGAACATACCTGGTGGAGTGGGACTTATTCCTGAAGAAGTGTATTTAAGATCATAGCCTCAGACCTCAGCTGGAGGAGCTGAGCCCTTTTGAGGACAGTGATATGCCTCTACTTAGCTCTACTTTCTGGGGCTCTGACTTCTCTCTCTCCCTTTACAAAAACACTGACTTGTTAGTGTCTGTCTTCAATAACTGTGTGGACATTTGGACTCGCTGAAATCAAGCTGGTGTGGGAGAGGCAAAGCAAAAAAACAAAAAAAGGTGGGGGTTCAAAGTGCCAAAAATAATCTTTATAGCCCTAATCCCACCCCTCACAGAGCAGTAGCCTCCCACCCCTCAGGAATGCAGGAAATTTGTCTTGTGCAACCAGTTGGACAAGAGGGAAAAGTTGCAGACGGACATTTCGGAGCCTGGGTCCTCAGGTAAATGAGGAGCACTACTTTCTCTTTTAATTAGCAGGATCCAGAATTGCAGAGAAACAAATGGTAGAGGGGACCATCAATTAAAAACAAAGTCTCAAGGGAAGACTGCTTTGTTTAGTGCTTTCACGTGTTAGCTGTGGAGAAATGAGAACTGCGCTTAGATTTTTCTCCATGGCTCCCACATTTGTTAGGTTTATGGGGAGAGCTATCTCGTGTAATAAGTTGTATTTTTAAAAAGTTTATTTTGCTTCATAGATTTAAAGCCCTGCCTCTCTTATGCAGATACATCGTGACATGGGATTGGGGATGTCCTTTTGGAGAAATTATTTTATGAGGGCTGGCCCTACGATTAGACAGAGTGTGGCAGCGGCCGTCTTGGGCAGCCAATTTGGGCTATGTTGAATGAGGAGCATTCAGATCAGTGTCTTTTAAAAACTGCTGGTGAAGGAAGCACAATCTGTGGAATTCCCCCCCCCCTTCTGTTTTAAAGCGATTTGCCTGGCTTTAAGTACGGTACTCTGCCGGGCACCATTTGTGATTGCACCGGAAGCAGCAAAATGGCATGGACTGACCCTTATTTTAGGGTGTGAACAGCACACCTGTGGGGTCCATACCAAGAGAAAGATCCACATGTGCCCATATTATAACAGTTCCTTTATTTGGACCAATTGATAGACCAGAAAACAGTGAGTAAGCTTTGGAGCCACTGCTCTGTGGCTTTTTAATTGGTCCTAATCATACTGATACGATTGTATGCTTCTCACCTTCCCCAGCAGTAAGAAGTATCCTGTAAGTTTGGGGTGACAGAGGGCACTGGAAAGGAACGTATGACATGTATATATTTTTTATTTTATTATTTTATGGCTGTGCTCAAACTGTGGCTTGTGGTGTTCTGGGAAGATTAGACATGGAGGAACTGATACATTTTCAGGGTGTGCTTTGTTTTCTTTACTTGAGCTACCATCACACCATTACTGCCCTTCGGCTCCTTTGAGAGACAGGCTCTTTCTGACACCTCTCCATCCTTCCTCTGTCTACATGCCTGAATCCTTTTCAAATGCACACTGCCTAAATCCCCATTGTTAAGGGTTTCTTACAAATCTCCTTGGTGGCTTGCCCCAGGGCAATACTTCATTGGGACCTGATACTCCCTAATACTTATGGAGGTCAGCTTCTTCAGTCTGTTGAAGCAAAAAATGACAAGCCCAGAGACCCCTTAAAAGCAAACAAATTTTATTTGCATACTCAATACTCAATCACAGAAAGAGCCAGCATGACCAATTGGTGTGCTTCCTGGTTTCTAGTGAAGCAACTGAAGGAATGATCCCTTTTCTACCAACACCCCCAAGATAGTAAATTGCAGTACCAATTCCTGTCACTAGTTAGCACCATTAGTTCTTTTGAGTTTTGTCTGGTATATCTTTGCTAACATCTTTATGGTTTCTTCTCCCAAGTCTTCATGGCCTCTCATCCAAATCTTTCACACCTTCTCCCTGCTGCCCGGTTGCGTCAACTGGCCCGTGACTGGCTCAAAGAGGATGCTCCCAGCTTTGACTATGGTGGTTACGCTGTAGGTGATCATCAGGAATGTGCTGTTCTCCTGTGTAAGTCCCCTGGAGTCTTAGCTGGCTTCCCTTTCTTTGAGGCCATATTTGCTGAAGTGGGCTGCTCTGTGGAGTGGCTCCAGTCGGAAGGAACGTGGGTGGATCCCATTACCCGTGTGGCCGAAGTCCGTGGGTGTGCCAAAGACCTGTTGTTTGGAGAGCGGGTAGCTTTGAACTGTTTGGGCCGGTGCAGCGGTGTGGCCACAGCAGCGGCAAAAGTGTGTCGGGTGGCCCGGGAAGCTGGCTGGCATGGAGAGGTGGCTGGGACAAGGAAGACCACGCCGGGATTCCGCCTTGCAGAGAAATATGCTCTGCTGGTGGGAGGAGCTTCTTGCCACCGTTATGACTTGGGGAGCCTCATCATGTTGAAGGACAACCACGTATGGGCATCTGGAAGCATCACACAGGTGAGCAAAGAAAACACAAAGGTAGCCGTGTGGGTTCAGAAGGACCTTTCAAATTTAAATTAGGGTGGTACTTTCATTAAAAAGGTAAAGGTAAAGGTTCCCCTTGACATTTTTAGTCCAGTCGTGTCCAACTCTAGAGGGCGGCACTCATCCCGCTTTTCAAATCATAGAGCCAGCGCCTTCCGAAGATAGTTTCCGTTGTCATGTGGCCAGCGTGACTAGGGAACGCCGTTTTACCTTCCCACCGAGATGGTATCTATTTATCTACTCGCATTTACATGCTTTTGAACTGCTAGGCTGGCGAGGAGCTGGGACAAAGCGACGGGAGCTCACTCCGTTGCGTGGATTCAATCTTAGGACTGCTGGTCTTCTGACCCTGCAGCACACAAAGGCTTCTGCGGTTTAGCCTGCAGCAGCACCACGTCCCTGGTACTTTCATTAGGACCAGTCAAATTTTTTTATTTTTACTTTTTTGGATTAGAAATCACAACATAACCCTACCAGCATGGTTGTGGGCCATGTTGGCTGTGAAAGTCTGAGGCATAGTCCAAAAAAGTACCTTCTCAAACCACTGGACCAACTCAAATATCAGAGAATAACTGTACAAATTCCTACCTTTTCCAGAACTCTTAGTAAGGCAGTTGATAAAACAAAGCACATGTTACTGTTCAATCCATGAAGACCACAGTCATAATCTTATGGTTATAGTCATACAATAGACTGTAGAGAGATTGTAGACTATAAAAACCTGTAAATTAAAAATCAGTGTTCCTGAGATAACGTACTGCATAAATGCCTGCCTGAAGAGGAAGGTCTTTGCTTGACGACAGAACGACAAGAGAGAGGGGGCCAGCCTGGCTTCTCAAGGCAGTGCGTTCCAAAGCCAGGGGGCAGCCACTGAGAAGGCCCTCTCTCTTGTTCTCACCATTGCCTTTACAATGTGCAATGTACAATATAAAAAGAAAATCTGAGTTTTAAAAAAATATAAATTTTAGAACATGTTTTAAAATGTGCCCTTTGAGCAGCTCCAACTAAACCACGGACTACTGTATGTACAATATAAATTTTAGAACATGTTTTAAAATGTACCCTTTGAGCAGCTCCAACTAAACCACAGACTGCTGTATGTATTAAATTAAATGGCATTAGGATCCTTGAGAAAACCAGAGTAGAGAGAAACATTTTCATTGGAAATATAATGCCTGACCTTCATCTAGCTTCTTAGGGGCTTTTACTGCAGCTGACTCGTCTGTGGACAAGATCGAGTGAGAGACAGGAGCACTAGCGCTGGCTGGTAATCTCTCTAACAGCTGCATGGAGTGTGAAGTTCCTTGCATGAAAAATCCTGCCAGGCTGATAAAATTCTAAGGAGTGACTTGGAGATGTCCTTTCTGAGTTTGAAAATTTTACTTTTTTGGACTACATTTGCCATCGTTGGCTGGAGAATTCTGAAAGTTTTAGTCCAAAAGAGGAAACAGCTCTGGCCCTTTCTAAGAAAATAAAAGCTTTTAAGTCAGTGCTTCCCAACTTGAGCAGCAGAGGCGACGGTGAAGGCTTCTGGGAGTTGTAGTCCAAGAACACCTGGAGGCTCAGGGTTGGGAACCATTGTTCTAAAGATCCAGTGGCTGAAATCCAGTAATCAGTTGCAACCAGAGTAAGCCTACTGAACCAGTGTGGATTTCGAGTCAACTCCTCCCTACGTTTCACTGATTCAGTGGGCCCACTCTACATGCCAGTTCCTACTGGATTACAAGCCGCCTTGCTGCAACATGCTGGTGCTAGTTGTATTTTAAGGACTCATCACTAAAAAAAAAAAGCTTTACCACACCATCACTGTTACCCTTCCTTGCCAACTCAAAGACATCAGAACATGTCTTTCCCGCTCAAAAATGAACAAAACTATTTTGTTGTCTTATGAGGTTTCCTGTCTCACAGGCTGTCCAGAGTGCCCGGCGTGTTGGAGGCTTTGCCTTAAAGGTAGAAGTTGAATGTCGCTCCTTGGAAGAGGCTCTCGAAGCTGCAGAATGCGGCTCTGATATCATTATGTTGGACAATTTTGCTCCTGAGGTATTGGGCTGGATGTCCGTTTAAAAAAAAACAAAAGTATGGTGTTGGGTGTGTTTGTATATGTTTGCAGTTATAATTTGGGGGAGGAAAGCTTCTGGCCTGCTGCAGCCTCTTGGGGATCCTGGTATCCACAAACTCTCATAAAGCCCATTTCTGATCAGGGTCTCCGATCGCTAGTCTTTGGGAAGAGGATGGAATGTGTTTCCAGTTCTCAGCTGGAGTCCATGGAAGCGCCAGATCAGAGCGCTTCACACTCTTGTCCTCCTAGGCCAGGGCAGAGATCTCCAACCCCCAGTCTGCAGCCCGGTGCTGGTCCATGGCGTGAGGTGGGCCACCGAGACAGCCTTCCCGCTCCCCAACCCCCGGTCTGCGGCCCGGTGCTTGTCCATGGCGTGAGGCGGACCAGGCCACCAAGACAGCCTTCCCGCCCCTTGCACGCACTCACCCCCACACAGCCCATTTGTGGCTGTGTGTGTGCTCCAGCATGATCGTGCGAGCACTGTGCCACTGTTTGCGCATGTGCACGAGTGCAAGCATGCCCAGACAAGCAGCGTGCCACAGTTTGTGCATGCGCACATCTGTGCCTGTGCAAGTGCTGCGCTGCTGCTCCAGCATGATCGTGCGAGCACTGTGCCGCTGTTTGTGCATGCACACGAGCGCAAGCACGCCCAGACAAGCAGCGTGCCACAGTTTGCAGTTTGTGCATGCACACATCTATGCCTGTGCAAGTGCTGCGCTGCCGTTTGCGCACATGCCCGTACGAGAGAGCTCGTGTGCTAGTTCACACATGTGCGCAAGCGGGGGGGTGCACCGCCTTCCCCAGCCGGCCCGCCTTCCCCAGCCGGGGACCTCTGGGTTAGGGCACAAAATGAAGTGCTCCCGTAGGAACGAAGACGGTTTTAGTCTCCCCCACCCCACCAAGCAAGAATGGGGACGGAGAGGAAAGCCAGATGATTGTTGGGAAGGAAAAACCACACCCATGCCCTAATTCCTGTTCTGCATCTCCAGTACAAATCTTCAGACTGAGAAATTTTTCACATTTTAAAACTATTGTGAAATTGCTACAATTTTCAATGTTCTTAAGCAAAATCTGGTCCAAGGTAACACATACCTTCCACAATCAGTCTTTTTTTCTTTTTCTCCCCTTCACTGATTCATGGGCCCGACTCTATGACACCCATATGGATTTCTGCCCCTTGGCCAATCAACGTTCAGGTTATTTTAGGGCAATTTATAGGCTTTTATGATTTTTTTTGTTTCTTTCTTTTGACTTGGAGGAGCTTTCAGGGTTTTTATTTATTTGGAATATTTGTTTACTGCTTTTACAAGAACCACGAAACTTCAAATGGATTTGCATCGCTAAAGGATGACACCCCTAAGAAAGTTTCAGTCAAGTTATTCACAGTCTTATAAGGGATGTTTTTAACACATAAATCTTCCACCCTTGGGGGGAGGACTGTGGTTTAGGGGTAAAGCAACCACTAGAGATAGGTAGATATGTTTTTAGACGGCAACAACTCCCAGAATGCCTCAGGAAACATTGCTACTGCATTTCTGGGAGTTGTAGTCCAACAGCACACATCTGCACTCTTTTAGCAGCGGTTCTGCATACAGATGGCCTAGGTTCAATCCCCTGGATCTCCATGCAAGGTTGGAAAAATCCCTGCTTGAAACCCCAGAGAGCTGCTGCCTGTCAGTGTTCACAGAACAGAGCTTGATGAATTAAGGGTCTGGCCCAGTACAAGGCAGGTTCCTACGGCAAAGATCGGTGAAGGAGGGCGGTCTAAGCGTGTTTTTGTGGCTCTCCAATGTCCTCCTGCTGGATACATTTTTTTTGGGGGGGGGAGTTTTTCCTGCCTTCAGGAAGATCTCAGAAATAATTGCTTTCCAACAAACAAATGAAAAGAAAAAGAAAGAAAAAACACTTAGCTCGGTACAGGATCCCACCCTCACTCCCAAACCCACAAAAATTAAACTGGAATGGGACTTCCTGCCACACTCAGCCTTGATTTTCCAACCGTTTTTGTTTATTTTTCAGGGATGTACCAGTTTTGAGTGGGTTCAAATCAACCCTTGCATCCCCTGAGGTGGCTCATCCCCATCCTAGAGAAAGATGCTTCTAGGTTGATCTAACAGGTTCTGGCTTATTTAGGTTTTAGGCCTTCCTTTTATGCCCCCACCTTAGGCAACCTAGCTCTGTGAATGGGCTTAAAACACCGTCTTGTTCCACAGACTTTCCAAACTCCATGAGGTGGGGGTACCTTTATTAGGTCAACCAAGGAAAGGTGAGGTTCCGATTATTGTCCCATACACGAGCCTTCTTGCAATTTGGACCCCACGCTCTAGACGGCTGCTACACCTCACCATTCGTTTTGTGTACTAAGGCTGATTGGAATTGAGGGCCAAAAAAAACATTAAGAGGAGGACGACGGTTGTCCACTGTCCCATATCATACCATATTACATATCACTGTACAACGATCTCTGGGCGTTTGTTTTGATGGTTCCTATTACTCTTATTCCCCATCTGCAGGACTTGCACCCCACAGCCAGCACCCTGAAGACCTCCTTCCCCCAGGTGACTGTTGAAGCCAGCGGAGGCATCACCGAAGAGAACGTGGCCCAGTTTGTGGGCCCCAGTATTGATGTGGTGTCCCTCGGTTGCCTCACCCAGTCAGCTAGAGTTGTCGATTTCTCCCTCAAGATCCTCCGGGACTCAGTTCCTAAACCACCTCTCCGGAATTTTGTCTTCTGAGGCTTCGGGATGGGGGAGCCAGTCCCATTCTGGGGGGGTGGGTGACTGTCCTTTGGAGCAATGGGGGCTGAAATAGGGGACAGGTTATATCCATGGTTCAGAGTCTGCCGAACATCACCCTGTTATGTCATGCCTGAACTTTTAAGAAGTCCTGAGTCAAGATAGTAGGCGATGACAGTTTTTTTCTGGGCAGAGCTTGGAAAGGCTACTTTGTTCGGACTACATGGCCCAGAATTCCCTGGCCACTATGGCCTCTGGTTCTGTAGCTTAAAAGATATTAGCCACCCTCTCTCCAAGTTCTGTCCTGGCATCTTTAACATGTGTGATCTCCTCCTCCTATGGCTTCTCCTGAGGCAGGCAGGTTTTCATGAGCTTGTCAATTAAACACATATTTTGAAAAAGGTGTTTCATTCTTGTCTCATTGACTCATTATGGTCACCTCAACATGCCCTCAACAATCCTAAGCCATTTTCTTCCCCTTCAAGTATCTCCAGCCCCCTTAAAAGTGGTAAGAGAAGGGGTGGCTCCACCGACTTTTACCTTTGCCCAGTATTTGCTTTGGTCCAGCCCATAGGCAGTGTGTGATGGCCTTGTCCAGTGTCCCACGCTTGCAAATTCCACATGGGGGCCCCTCCAGAGTGATCCTGCTCTTCTCATTACATGACACCCCCATCAAGCTGTGCTGCTTTCCAGTGTCTCCAGGTTTTCACACTGTTTTCTCCTGCATTGCAATACTTTCCCTGCCAAACCGCCAGTCTGCTCTCCTCCAGAGGAGGAGAAAAAGGTCCTTTCATCCCATGTAGCAGAATTTAAGGGGTGGGGAGATTGTGGAAAGGCTAGAGCCTACCTCTTTGAAGGATTGTAGCCTGCTGCTTCCCATTGCCTAGAAGTCAGGCCAAGATAAGTGGCCCCAAACTCCTACTTCACCCATGTGTGTGTGGGAGGGGGCAATGATGGATGACCCTCCCCTCAATTCTTTATTTAACTGTAAGGCCAACAGGTAAAGCAGAATTGGGCAATGATGCTGCAAAATCCTGTAATGCAATTTCTGATCTCGGCCACTTATCTCTCTCTTCCCCCAAGCATACCTATTTATTTATTTAAAATATTTACCCCACCTTCCTCCATAGAAGGAACCACTTTTGCCTTTGTCCTTTAAAATATTTTACCCCACCTTCCTCCATAGAAGAAACCACTTTTCCCTTTGTCCCGTTCACTAATGGTACCAACCCATCTACTCTGAAAGAGTACCGGATCTTAACCACATGTAATCAAATTAATGAGACCGATTAGTCCACTAAAACAGCCTTTCCTGATCTAGTGCCCCTCAAACATGCTGGACTGCCACTTTTCTCACCTCCTACCAGTGTGGCCACCCTGGTAATTCAAAGCTGCGTTGCGTGGCATTCAGCTGAGTGACTAATATGTGTTTTCATGTTTTACACAGATAACACACTAGGATAAAGGGGAACAACTTCAGCATCCTGAGGGCTGCATTTTAGGGAAGCTCCAACCACATACACAAAAAATAATAGGATCTACAGTACTTCTGGAGCCGGAATATAAATCAGTTGGGGATTGGAATGTAGCCCTCACATCAGTCCTTTCTAGTTACACATGTTGGTGTTTCGAAAGAAGACATTTGGAATACCAGAGGCTGCATTTTAGGGAAGCTCCAACCACATACACAAAAAATAATAGGATCTACAGTACTTCTGGAGCCGGAATATAAATCAGTTGGGGATTGGACTGTAGCTATCACATCAGTCCTTTCTAGTTACACATGTCGGTGCTTCGAAAGAGGACATTTTTAGACTACAGCTCCAGAGATGTATGTTATAAAAATAATAAAATGTTTTAAAAAAGAAAGAAAGAAGACATTTTAGACTACAGCTTCAGAATCTGAGGGATTCTGCTATTTTCATTTTAAAAATTAAAAGAAAAATCCCAGTTTTGGTATCTGTGTTCATACTGTGAGAAGACAGGCAAAGTGTAACAACCGGGGCATTAGAAACAGTTGTCCTCATCTTTATTAAGACATTTTGCAGAGAAAGGTACCAGTTTGATTAAGACTAGTTGAGGTGGGCACAGGTTCACTTTGAGGGGCGTGTATTTTCCCTACCCAAGTAATAATAACAGTAATAATAAATAACAGATTGATCGTATGTTGTTGGGGTACAAAAGAGTGTGTATCATAGAGACCAGCATAAGGGAAACTCCCCTCAGGTTGGGGCTGTCTGGGTGGATACCCCCCTTCCAGAGTAAAGGGGTGAAAATCCAGGGTTTATTCCCCTTCCTTGTCCTCTCCGTGTGTGATGACATAGCAAATGTTCTTGTAGTCAACGTTGCCGGCTACATCAGGAGGGAAGGCCTGCCACATGTTCTTGATCTGCAGGAAAGAGGAGAAGTTTAGGATGAAGGATGAGCTAATATACAATATTTTCTCCAGGAACCAAAGTACATATAATCCATTTCAGTAAATGTAGCAGTATTCTGAAAAAAAGCAGATGACTAAAAATGTGGCGTGAGTAATGAACCCAGAAACAAGGAAGCTGCTTGATCATAGATATATATTTATGATTTTGACAGGGTTTTTCACAGAAATGCTGTACCTACTCAATCTCTGGCAACGTCCCATACTATCTCCCACCTTAGCTCTCTGAGGGAGTTTTAGCATTCAAAATGTCTGGTCTGGACAAGAGTTACTCTGTTTTTTAGGTCAGGGAAATCAGTTTCATGACAAGAAATTTCAAGGCACAATGTTTTCCCTTCCTCTCTGGATTAACAGGAGGCCCATAGCTCTAAGTACAGAGAAACAGAAGGGTAAGAGTGAAGGTCTAAGTGGATATTGTGTTTTCCAGGATTAACACAGAAGACCAGCCCTCCTCTTCATCAGAGACAGGTAGGTATCTCAGGCAGCAGGTTTTGGATATTAGCAAAAGGATAGCAAATTGTCAATACAGTAATTCATTATTATTTTATTTTTATTGTCTGGAGCAGGAATGGATTCTTGTGAGATTTTCTGGCTCAAGTGTCAAAATAAATTGACCACCATCATGTGTGACACCACTCTACTTATCAAAATAGGGAGAGGAACAGCACTATTTACTGTTTTGATTCAGATAGCAGAATGATTTCTGCAGCCTGTGAATTAACATGAAAGTAACCACCTTAAAGACAAACTTAAGTGTCAAAACGGAAGTTTGTATGGAAGTCATACCACTGTGGCTACGAAATGTGTACACATATGTTGCAATTACTCTGTGGTGACAGAAAAGCTTTTTTAGTCTCCTCTGATGCTGAGAAAAGGTTTCAGGGCTGGCCTTAGTTTCAGAGTAAACCACATGTGCACTCAAAATCAGCCAAGCAAATCAATGGGATGTTCACAAATAGTAATTGATTTAATCTTCTCTACATTTACTATTTTACCCTGCACCAAATAGTTAGCTATGAGGAATTTAACAGCACTTAGCAGAATTAAAACTGAGAAGAAGGGTACAGGGAGGTGAAATATTAGCGAGAAAAGCAATAATCAGAATATCAGTAGGATGCAGAGAATTGCCCTCACCTCTTCTGGGGTGAACCTGTCACATTGAGTGGTCAGAAGTTCTTCCAAGCTGTAATGAGGCAAGAAGGATAAGATGCGTTAGCAGGATCTCCCCCAAATTTCTGACCATCTATTAGATTGTTCCCAAACACTCTGTCTCAAATGGGTTCTGGATAACACTAATCTTTATAGTCACTATATACTGACTGTCTCCTTCGCTCAGCACCTTACCAAGAGTAATCTTATTTGCCACGTCCCATGCTTTTTTCCTTAGCAGTAAGGATTACTTTTAGTGAGACCCAGTGTTTCAAGAACTTTAAAATTTCCAGTACACAAGAGTATATGGAAATGTTTGTGTGACTGTTTTTAATTCCAAACAAGAAACAGTCCATGAAAGTAGTGAAAAATACACCACATTCTCCCGTGGTAAGAGTTCCATAATCTTCAATGTCATATATAATGTCAATATGCTACTTTTTACATGTGGGAGAACAAATATTAATGAATAGGCACAGACAGGTGCTTTGCAGGCTATTTACAGACTTTTGCCTCCCCAACAGATTTGGATTCACACTCTTGCTTTTAATTTCTGGCAAGCTATATTTTGCGTCCACACTTTAATTGGTGAATGAAGGTTTCCAGATGCCATCAAAACCAACATTGAAAACACAATTTAAACCTGCTCTAGTTTGGAGGGCAAGCACAAACCATGGTTTGCCAGTCCAAACATGACAATAAACCATGGTTTGATTAAACAAAAAAGTCAGAAATGAAACTGGAGCTTACGACAGATATGGAGGAAAGGAGGAGCCCAACAATAGCCAAACTATAGTTTGGAGTTACACGTGCAACAGTCCAGTATCCCCACTTTAAATGAGTTGAAGGTCAGATACTCACAATTGCTTCTTGACAGAACCCTTGCCATCAGGGTCCAGAACTTTGAAGGCGCCCATAATTACATCCTCGGGATCAGCACCTGGTGGGGTGGGGTGGGAGAAGCAGTGAGAGATGCAGTCATGCCATTAAGCAGAGAAGGAGAAGCAACAGAAGGGGATGGGGGGGATCACTCACCCTTCAGCTTCTCTCCAAACATGGTGAGAAAGACTGTGAAGTTGATGGGGCCACTGGCCTCCTTGATCATGGCTTCCAGCTCCTCATTCTTCACATTCAGGCGCCCTGCAAAGTCAGGAAAGGGGAGATTAGCAGTTGGAAATGATTCCTCTGTCACCCATCAAGATGCACCCAGAGTTTGCAAAGAGTAATTTCTGAAAAGAAGTCAGGAAAGGGGAGATTAGCAGTTGGATTTGATTCCTCTGTCACCCATCAAGATGCGCCCAGAGTTTGCAAAGAGTAATTTCTGAACAGGGCCAGATTAAGACTTGTAGAGGCCCTAAGCACTGAAAAGATTATGGTGCGCCCCCACCCCCAAATATAATGTGTGGCAGGACCTGAAAAAAAAAACTTCATGTGCACACATTACATGCATGAAAGTACAATAATTTAATTGCATAGCATGTGGCAAAAAAGAACCACATATTATATCCAAAATCATACATACAACTAAATTACCAGCTTCCACCCAATCATGCTTTGATTAATATAGACAGATTTTGTCAGAATCTGTAAACTGACAAGTTCAAATGAGAGCTTAACACCTTTTGGGTTTTTTTTTAACAATGGCTGTTATTTCTTTGGCTTGCATATATAGTACAAAGGGACAGATTTTGTCAGAATCTGTAAACTGACAAGTTCAAATGAGAGCTTAACACCTTTTGGGTTTTTTTTTAACAATGGCTGTTATTTCTTTGGCTTGCATATATAGTACAAAGGCATGGGTCTAAAAGACCAGCAACTCTTTTAAAACTTATCCCCACCCAACCTCCACAAATACATAAGTAATTAAAAAAAAAGAAGCAAGCAATGATTATAATTGATTATTTTACCCAAAACATAAGTTTTTTTCACTAGGTAAGTTTTTACTGGTTAGAGAGGTGATTTTCTTGGGATTTTTGAGGGGGGGATGAATGTGATTTAAGGAGGGTGTACTATTTTCACCATGGTCTATGGAAATTCCAGTACTGAAAAAAAAAACCCACTATGGTGCCCCCTTCTTTTGCTGAAGCCCTAAGCATGTGCTTATTTTCCTTAATAGCTAATCCCAGAATCCTAGCTAGCATGGCCATTTGTTGTTACTATCCAAGAAGGAAACATTTCCGTGTTCTGGTTTTGCTTTGGCTCCTGCTCCCACATCACTGTGGCATTCTTTCCAAACTGAGGTTTGCCTTACCCATAGCAGCGAATGTATCTCGCAGGTCTTCCTTGTCAATGATGCCATCTCTGTTCTGGTCAATGACAGTGAAGGCCTACCATAAAAACAAGAACACAAATTACTATGGCAGTTAGAGAAAAATCACTCCACCCCTGAGTGTCCGACTCTTCGTGACCCCATGGACCAGAGCACGCCAGACCCTCCTGTCTTCCACTGCCTCCCAGAGTTGGGTCAAATTCATGTTGGTTGCTTTGATGACACTGTGCCCGTTCTGCTCTGCAGCAATCATTGGATCTTGAATTTGTCCACTTTTAGGAGATGACTTACCACACATCTAGATCTGTATTATGTTACTGCAGCCTTTGCAAAAATGTACAGAAACACAGACATATATAACATAATACATGTGTGGTAAGTCATCCCCTAAAAGTGGACAAATTCAAGATCAGGAACAAATATGAAAGATGAACATTTCACAATACTTTTAAAGACAAGGGCAGCTATACAGAAGCTGGAAAAAATCCTTAAGTGTAGGGATCTGTCACTGGAAACCAAGGCCAAGATCACCCATCCTATAGCATTCCCAGTTACTGTGTATGGATGTGAAAGCTGGACAACAAATAAAGTGGAAAAGAAAAATAAAATCATTTGAAATGTGGTATTGAGGAGAGCTTTACGGGTATCATGGCCTTTGAAATGTGGTGTTGGAGGAGAGCTTTACGGGTATCATGGCCCGCGAGAAAGACAGTAAGACAGTGCTAGATCAAATCCAATGCAAACAGTCTCTGGAAGGAACAATGATTAAACCAAGGCTATTGCACTTTGAACATATAATGAGAAGAAAAGACACAATGAAAAGACAATAATTCTGCAAAAAGTTGGACGTAGTGGGAAAAGATTAAGACCAAACACAAGATGAACAAACGCAATGAGGGAAGGCATGCAAGACCTGAGCGGAGCTGTTGGTGATGATGTTGATGATGGCAAGACCTTTCGTCTAATTCATAGGATTTCCCTTAAACTGTAAACACTTCAATGGCACATAACAACAAAGACAGTACTTTTCAAAGGAGTCAGCATCAGATCACCAAATGATGAGACACTGATACAGAAGTGTAAAAAGATCCTTGGCCAAGCAATGGATGAAGCTGACACATTTTTGTGGAACTACACAATGTTTCATTGGCATGCCGCATATTTCCAAATTAAACTTTATTAATATGCTGTATTTTTCTATCACATTTATAACCTGTTTTTCCTTTAGTGACTGCAAGGCTGGCTTTACTCCTTGCCAATTTCTCCTCAGAAATGGAAGACTGTTGCATCTACTGTTGCTCATATAAGCAGCCAAGTCCCTTTTCTCTGCAATTTGAATGAGGCGACTGGTCAGTTTACTAAACCAGTGGTTCCCAGCCTTGGGCAACTCAGATGTTCTTGAACTGGGAGAAACTCTGGCCAGCACAGCTGGTGGTGAAAAGGCTTCTGGGAGTTGCGGTCCAAGAACCCCTGGGTTGCCCAAGGTTGGGAACCACTGGCTTAAATCACAAAGTTTCTAAGCACATTTCACCTTGAGTTGAATTAATCATCCCTTGTTCTCCCTATTCTAGTTCTCTTTGCTTATCTAACCAGATAATTACAGCATTGGAGAGACGCCAACCCCAATTCCCCTTTGGGCCTCCTTTCCTCCTCTGCAGCTGTGCCCAGGAGACACATGTCACTTGATACCCCTCCTAGCCTCTAGTAGGAATGGGAACAATCTTCAGCCGGCTCATATTAATCCTAGCACCCCTCCCTAAGGGGACAGGTGGTACATTCCGAAGGAGTTGTTGATGAGGTCTCCAAAGGATGGTGGGAGGGGGGAAGGAAAATCATCTCCCTACTTGCCCCAGTCAAGTTGCTTCAGGCTAAATGTACTCACTCCTTCCCTGCTAAAAACAAAATGGCAGAAGCCACTGTCTACACGGAGCTTGCTCTGCTCTTCAGAAGAGGTGGAACAGCTGCCAATCTTCACTTAATGTAATCTTCATTTTAAAAGAATAATGACCATCACAGTGGGGCAATGCATCATCTTAGCAACTCAGCATCTGAGAGTTGCGTGGGGTTGGGGACACACAGCCCTTCTGCCCAGTTCTCCAGAATTTTAAAGATACTGTACTTAATAAATGATGGGGGAGCCGAGCTTTGCTGACTGCCAGGCTTGACCCCATCATAAGGCAAAGGGTGGCAGCCACCTCACACAGAGGATATCAGGTGTCATGAAAACAGCAAACAGTTCATTCTGTTGTTATTATTCTGTTTGTGTGTGTGTGTGTGTGTGTTTTACAGCCAGGGAGTCCTTGTAGGACTTTCTGCCCAATCAATGTGGCAAAATATGTGAGTTGTAGAGGGATACACGCAGGTTACATCTTCCTTACTAAAATGAGAGGTGTTGTGTTTCTAGACCACCCATTCGCAACCTTTTTTTGGCCACGGCCATGAGCTTAATATGCAAGAAATGAAGGCCAAATCAAGACTGTATAAGTTGCATAATGAACCTTATAAGGTGGTGTAGGGATTTTATTTTCTCATTTTCTCACCCCTTGAAATGTACCAGGCCCTCCCAGGGGGCCATAAACATCCCACACACTTGAGAATGGCTGTTCTAGACAAACAATCCCTTTTCTAAATTTGCCTCGAGATAGATTTGATTAGGCTGTGGATATTTTATGCAAATCAGCAGGAAGGTAACCTAACAAGATTGGGGGGCAGGGTTATATATTCCTTAAGTTGTTGTTGTTTTTGCGACATGTACAAGAGTGAAGTAACCAGTTGCTGCAAAAGTTTACTCTAAATCCTTTCCAAACTATCCGTTCATTACATCAAACTAACACATATTAGAAATTTTTAAAGATACAGCAACCCCGAGTTGCCCTCCATCAAATGTAGAGATTGTCAATGGAGCAACACGGGCAATTATAAATGTATAATTGCAATTTATGTAGTGCCAGCAGCATGCATGGGACTTTGCAGGGTAAGGACAGTAACTTATCGGTTGTGTTTAAAGTCTTATAAGGACAAGAAAAATAATTCTTGGGGAGTATGATTCCAGCACAGAACGGCTGCTTGGTCTAGGAAACCTATTCCCCACTCCACCCCTTAAAGCCAAAGACAGCTCAAGGAAAATTAAGATGTGCTGCTCCCGGAGCAAAATGGAACATATGCAGCTGTCTCAGCTTACATCAGATAGATCACTGGCCCCATCTAGCTTGGTATTGTCTACCAACATTCTGGCGAGGTCTTCTTCAAACATGATCATCAGCAAAGCAAGGAACTGTCAGAGAATGCTCAATGAGCAGTGGATATGGTTCCCGAAGAGAAGCAAAAGCTATTCTTCCGATAACCCCTGTTGATCAAGTAGTGTGACACACAGTACTTAACCAAGGCTAGAAAGATCTAGGTTGAAATCCCCATTAAGTTGTGGGGCTTCCTATGGGACCTTGGGCCTTACTTATCTTACAGAACACTTGTGATGATGTTGTGCAACAGGAGATATAGCCATGCAAACTTCCTGATCTCTCTCTGTCTACCTACCTACCTACCTACCTACCTACCTACCTCCCTACCTACCTACCTACCTACCTACCTACCTACCTACCTACCTACCTACCTACAAGAACAAACTTCCAATATGATGAAATATCCCAACAACAAAAATTGAAGTCTTTGTGATTAAAAAACACACACTCATAGAATGTTACACACACACAAAAGATGCGTAGAGGAGAAAAGAAAAGAGTGGGTTGGTAAGGACTTGGAATAATCTATTATCATTCTTGTCTTGTCCCACGTACTCCATAGATTTGTCTCCTTCATTTAAAGGGAAAGGGTTTTCAGCCTTTGCGATGTGGGGCTGAGCTCCCCTTTTAATAGGTTTGATGCCAGAGGGCTGCTGGCTGCCAGCTCTCTTTCTCCAGGCGCCCACAATTCATCTCCCAAGATCTCCTTGTAAGGAACTCCTGCCTGCTCCATCCAAGCACAGATGTCACCTACTCTCTTCCTCCTCCCTCACCCGAAATAGACACTGTCGCAGCTCAAGGGTCTCAGAATGGAAACACTACGATTCTTGGGGTAGGGCTGTCAAAGGGCTGTGGGGAAGTCTCCAAAAGGCAAGGAAGTTGCTCTACAAAATGGATACTGAGAATCTGAGATGTGTGGAAGGAAAGGAGCCCTTCATATGGAAAGTTCTCTTCACACCACTTGATGTTCCTAAGTGGTGTAAATTGTGATTACTATGTAAGGTGGTCCAACTTTCAGTGGTGTGCAACGGCATTGGTGGGTCTCTCTTGCAGAACAGAAGAGGTTGAGGAACTAGAAATGTCTTCTAAGGCTCCAATATTCTGCATGTTTAAGCACCAGTGAACAAAGTGTATTCAAGATTTATGCATCAGGTGATGTTGGAAATTTCACATTTTATGACAAAATAACTTCCTTTGAAAGCTTTGATCAAATTATAGCACCAACAGATTTTAATTCCTGTTTTTTTAATCTCTGTTGTCTTCTCTCTCTGTACCCCAACACAACATTTACAACTTAGGAATGTCCACTGTTATTAACATAGTAGAAGAATTAGCGTGTAGGATTCCATATGTGAAAAATGATGGCTGAAATTTAAAAAGCCATGGCTTCCTCACTTTTGAAAGGACTAATTTTGTCTATTCAATCTGCAGCCAATGTCTGTCCATATATTGTTGTGTTTAAATATCCCCTGATGAGAGTTCCGTGGACTTCATGGATCTTTCATGCTAGATATTTCTTATTTTCTCTCTGTTTTCGAATACAAATAAGTTTTTTTCTGCCCTGCTCAAGATTATCATATAGATCTGAACTTTCCTGTTGGGTCTCTTTGATGATCTTTTGTTCTCTGAACTAGACATAGAGACCCATGTAAACTACCCATTTTCTAGTCATTTGGTCATAATTTGTTGCAACCACTGGCTTCCTCAAAGAGCAAAAATAAAAATCAGCACTGATTAATGTAGGTAAATTTTAACAACATAGTTGTCTCACACATTCTGTGTTGCAATTAGATAAAAATAGACCATATAAAAGTCTGAGATGGTGACGTCTATTACTCTACTGTCTTCAAAATATGGTGAGCCAGACTTTCTACATTTAGAGGCCCTTGCTGCTCATTCTGCTGAATCAGACACTGGACTTACAGTGCAGGATTTTCCAGCAAATTATATCCATTCTCTCCTCCATTTCATCCTTGTGCCTTACCTCTTTGAACTCCTGGATTTGTGTTTGGTCGAACATGGAGAAGACATTTGAGCTTCCGCCTTCTGCTGCTGCCCTTCTCTTTGCCTTCTTGGGTGCCTGGATCATATTAAGGTGGGAATTAATGATCTGACCATTGCATCCATACCAAGAGCAGTCACATATTTCCCTTTGCAGAAGATACTCCTCTGTCTGAAGGACTATCAGATGACATTCCTCAATGGGAAAGAGCTTTCTGTTCCAGGCCTGAATCCAGTTGATATTCCCAATAAAAGTAGACCCATTGAATCAATTAGATTTATATAAGGACCAACTCATCATTCAGCATTTGACTTGCTTGGTCTACTCTAGATGCAACTAGCAATTGGATTGACTCCAAAGAACCTTAAGAATAGAAAGCAGGAGGCTTGCCCATTAAACAAGTAGCATCAGGACCACACACACTGAGAAAGCATCCAGATCCCCAGTCTATGCTGAAATTTCTTGTATTTTTATTTACACTTTTAATTTTTTTTCTTAGACATTGAATTTAGCCAAATAAATGTAATGAAAATTAAATTTTTAAATTTATTTAGTCCCCCCCACATGCATATGTAGATACCTTATCCAGAGCATAAAAGGATGGGAAATGGCCCATACCTTCTATAGAGTTCTAGAGACTGAAATATTTAGAAGTTTTATTAACTACAGTCATGCAAAACATTACTGATAATTTCATAAATTTCTGTCTCCAGGCAAGGAAAAGGTCACTTGAAACTACTTCCTGTCAGTCTTCCCAAAATGAAGCATACTTAGCTTTTAAATTTATATATTTCTGTGTTAACACTAATCTTTATTATTTTCTACAAACATGCGGTAGTAGGATGAAAGTTCTAAAATGCCTTCTTGTACTATCAAAACTTTGAAAATGTTGGGAGAAATATTGAAACTTTGATGAAGAAGTTTAAACTATTTCTTCCTGTTGAAAAACGGCACATTTTGGTTTGAGCAAATAATAATAACAAGAATTCCTGTTTTGCATTAAGGCTTGAAGGAAACTATGATTTAAGTGCCTCTTTCACATCTGTAACAACTCACCTTTACAGGTGAGGACTATGTGGCTGTTGACACATGTCCAGCAACTTGCTAACAATTAGGGTGCTCCATTCACAAATGAACAGCATCTAGCATTGTATCTTTAATGGATTTTCTGATATTAAACAAAAACCAACAGGGAAGGAAAACAAAGGATGGTTGAGGATGGAAAATATCTGTGAAGATTCCCTGTCATCCAGGTGAGGTTATCTGGAAGGTGAGCCATGGCAACTGGACTTCTTTCTTGTTGGGTTGAAATGTCTCACTACTCATCCAGACTCATCCATACTGAAGAAGCTACTTGGATTGGTAGTGAAACGTTTAAAACTAACGAGAAAGAAGTCCAGTTGCTTGAGAATGGAAAGTGACAATATTTGGACTCCAGTAAAAATTCAGTGAATGATGCAAAGCACAATAAAATATGTATCTGGAAACATCCCTAGGCTTATGTCCCCTGATGTTTCCTGTATATTTTAGACAGAATAGTACAGACTAAGTGACACATATTAAATGAATATGAATTGATAAAATAATTTGAACTGAAGTTAATCTATGTACCCACACAAAGAAACTCCAAATCTGATTAACTGCTGAGGTAAAAAAAAGTCCTGTCTGTCTGTGAAGAAGTGATCTGAACCCTGAGGAGTAAATTTTGGAAAGGTTTAGGAATCTCTGTATCTTGGATTAAGAAATAAAGATGTCATAAGTCAGCCTTCTTCAGCTAGAGGCAATGGTGTTCTGGTTCAACACATCTGGAGAACATCAGGCAGGTTTACACTTCTCTAGACAGAATTAGGAATAACATTTCTGGACTACATCTCCCTAACTCCATCCGCCACTATGTCTAGCATTATTGGCTAAAATGGATTGCAATGCATGCAAAGTCACACAGAGATAAATCTATTAGTTTGAAGATGTCGCAAGATATTGAAAAAAATACACCTTTTTCAGAATAAAACTGTGGTTTAAGGTTCAAGTCACACAGTGACTCCCAGTGTAAAGGGAGAAAAATATATCCCTTGTGTTTCTTATTCCAATCAGCATTCCTCTTGATTCCAGCTTCATTTGTCTGGATCTTGTGGCCATCCTCAAGAATGTGATTCCTGAGCCTCTTTCCGTCTGCTCAGCAAATACTTAAGTTGCCCTTTTGCTTCTTAAAAATATGAAATGACTTCAGAAAGAGGTCCAACTGATTCCAAGCTGGGCAAGGCATTCTGAGAGGGAAGGACGTGGTTATTTGGGGACTGAAACGATTCACCAGCAATTTCCAGTCTCCAGAGCTGAGCCATGGAAATGGGATAGGAGAGGGAGGAGAGAGAGCTACAGGGATTGATAGAGGCAAGATCAATTTCAGTGAATGACAGCAAAGGACATAAACTACAGGAGAAAAAAGGTGGAATTGTCACTAACTCTGTGTGCTGTTCTGCCATCTTCTAATTCCTGTCTCTTCAAAGTTAGTTTTCAAACCCTCCACTTGTTCTCTGGTACAGTATTCCCACTTTGATCTCTTCCTTTCTCCCTCTAAAAGCCACAAGATATCTCCTGACAGTGGACACATTTTCATTCTCAAATCAGGAAAATGTATAAGAGAAAGATGCTGAAATAGAGAGTTATGTATATATATACGAACAAGTCAGAGGGAGGTAAAAAAGAAATTATGAAAGATATGCATAAAACTCTTTTTGTCTTGTGGAATAAAATTTAAGCAAACTAATAATACTTTTCTTCCTGTGGTTCTTATCAGTTGCATTGTTTTTTACTCACTGTTCTTTTACAGTTAAGCCAGCGGATCAATAGATGGATTATGTGATGTTCTTTTTAGATGTCCTCTCCACTCTTTGTATTTCTATTAGACTGGGGTGGGTGGGTGGGGGATTTGCCAATTTCCTTTGTACCAAATTTCCTTAGGGATCCTTTGAGAGCTGCATCTATCTCACTTACCATTTTTTCTCAGTAGGCAGGCGGGTGGGTGAACGGCAGCTGAGGGTGCAGTGGGGATGTCCCAGAGGGTCAGCAGGATGAGCAGCCTAGACACATGCTGCAAATTCCCCCGGGGTTATATACAGTCCCCTGATAGGAGGCGGGGCAGCTAACTATAGCCACATTTTCAAGTTTGGCTCCAGGGATACGGGTGGTGGGTAACCAGGGTCCAGAAATAGACTCTGGAGGAATGCAAATGGACCAACTCCTTTCTTGGAGAAGGGAAAAGAACACTGGGTTGGAGTAATCCTGGTTCAGAAAGATCCTGGTGTTTATGGTACCCCAACTTGCTCCATTACTCCACAGGAAGTTCTTCGCCTATTCAGTTTAAGTTTATGTCCCTGTTTAAGGTTCATCAAAGGCGTTTACAGAGGAAGGAAAGGGAAACAGAGCCAGGGTAGTTAGGAAAAGGAAATGAACCTACGACAGTTCCCTATACGCAGGCATTTATTTTATTTATTTATTTATTGCATTTATATGCCGCCCATCTAGACATAGTCATAATTCCAGGGAGAGAATGCTAAGGGATCCATCCAAAATATTTGTTTTGCATTTCTTTGCCAGCATTAAGAAAGCTTGAATTCACTTCAGGGATGTTTTGCCTAAGTACTGAAAGTGAGCTTTGATTTGGAAACTTAAATGTTATCCTGTGAACCATGCCTTGTAGCTACCTTTAATGAAAGGTTTAGCTACTTATGGAAACTGAACTACACCTAACTCCAAAAAACAACAGTTTAGATATCCAATGTGAACTACTGTATGTTCTAAGGTGCTGGAGGAGACTCTTCAGAGTACCCTGGACTTCAAAGAGAACAAAATCTATCCATTTTGAAGGAAATCAACCCTGAGTGCTCACTGGAAGGACAGATCCTGAAGCTGACGCTCCAATACTTCGGCCATCTGATGAGAAGACTCCCTGGAAAAGATCCTGGTGTTGGGAAAGTGTGAAGGCAAGAGGAGAAGGGGACGACAGAGGACGAGATGGTTGGACAGTGTCATCGAAGTGACCAACATGAATTTGACCCAACTCTGGGAGGCAGTGGGAGACAGGAGAGCCTGGAGTGCTCCGGTCCATGAGGTCATGAAGAGTCGGACATGACTTAACAACTAAACAACAACAAATGTTCTAAGGCAGCCTTTATGCCCATCAGAAGTGTTGGCTTCCAATTCCTAAACTGGCTAATAGTCATACTGGCTGGGAGTGATGTGTGGGGCACGCCATTCTAAGACCTCACTTTAGAGGCCTTACTAGAAAGAATCCTGGTGATTGGTCTATAAAAGTAACCCATATGACAATGCTTAAAATGCAGGGGGTGGGGAAGGAATAGATTCCTTGTTTCCTTCATTTATCTTCTTACCCTTCCTCCTTCACTCCCAGCCATGGGTATCAAATGTCCCTGAGAAAATTTCCTTTTGGGGATGGCAGGTCTCAGCTGTTGCTTGCGAGACACCCAGGCAGAAGTAGAGGCTCCTAAAGATAGCATTCGGAGCTTTTTTTCCCCAGCTGGGCGCAGACAGGCAGCTCCGAGAGGCCCTGTCCATTCATTTCCTTAATCCCAGTGATTTTTCCCTTTTAAAAGAGTCTCAGTTACAGCGGCCATGTGTTGTGTGGTAGACAAAGAGAAAAATATGATAGGAAACTATGGTAAAAAAAAAAAAGCTTGCAGTTAAAAGCTCATCCTTTCTCCTCATGCAGGAATCAGCAACTGGAGATGTTGCGGCAAACCTTTTCCCTTGAAGACAGCAGCTGCCAATCTAGAAGCAAAAGAGGTGCAAACACCTTATGCTGGTGCCATGGAGTCATGCTGTTGAGAGTCCATTTGGAAAATCAGGGAATCCCTTCTTTTCTTCCTCTCCTTTAACTAACCCTAATTGCTGACGGGATTGTAGACCTGAAAAACAAGTTCACAGTTGCCATCTTCCGTGGGAACAGATTGCCTTGTATTACCTTCTGCTACCCACAAAATGTCAGAATTCAGGAGTGAATGGGAGAAAGGAACAAAGAGCACCATCTTTGGGACTACAGTGGCACCTGAGCTTTTTAAAAAGCTGTTGTTTTTTTTTGCACTGCAGCTCCCAGAAACCCTCCAAGAGTGACCATACTGTCTGCAAGTTTCTGGAAGGCGCAGCCCCAAAAACAATTTTTCCAAGTGCTGTCTGTTTTAGAGAAGAGATGAATAGGTGAGAAAGACCAAAAGAGCACAGAGGACAGGACAAAAGGGGGGGGGGACAAAATAAACAAACAAACGAAAAGAGGTGATCAAGAAATAAGAAAAAAACTGTTTCAAAAGGTATAAGGAAGAGCTGGATTGTAGTGGGGGTGGGTTTTTTTGTTTTTTTGTTTTTTGCTAAGATGGAGAAGAAGCATAAGAACAGAATCCATCCATTCAGCTCCAGGAGTAAATTGAAACTTCAGGCCTTTTTTTTTTAACATCTTACCACTGCTGAGCTGACACATCCTCCTCCTGGACACATGCCCAATACAGAAGATGATATTCCCTGCTAGTCCAGAGATGTACCTTCTGTAATCCCAGCTGGGAGAGGGAACCCAGGAGTCCTGGCACCTTAAAAACAAAGGCACCCACATATTCCTGTGCTTCTAGAACAATGTTCTTGATAGTGATTGACCGCAGCTCTCCATGGTTCCAGACAGAGGTCAACCTCAGCCCAAGTATTTGGAAATCCATTGAGTTACTGAGGAGCTCCTCCTGTACATAAGGACTACCTTCCATCACTGAGCTGTACAGTACTTTCTCTATACACTTTCTTTCTCCACATATTCCTGTATGTAACACCTGCATGACAGGAATCCAGAACTGATGGACTCAGATTACAACTGAAAATATTGCACCTAAACATTAATAACTTTTTTGATAATGTCCAAAGTATGTTGGCAAAATTATATTACGGCCTTTTTGGGAGTATAAACCCTTCCTACAGCAGAACGGACTATAATGGAAGCAGGTGAATACTTCAGCACAGGAGATTTTTCAACAGAGATTTGGCAGCTATCTGTGAGAGATGCTTTAGCTACAGATTGATTGATTCAATTTTTATACTGCCCATCTGACCAATGATCACTCTGGGCAGTGAGCAATCGATAAACATAACATTCCCTCCATCACCAGGAGCTTCAACTTCACTCCTTCAGTCTCTTCAAGCTATATAATTATGATTCCTTTTAAAAAAAAAAGAAAACAAGGGGGTTGCAGTAATTTCTAGTAGCATAGTGACTCAGTTTTCCCCAGTAGTAGTTCTACTTCATTAGAAGTAGTGAAGAAAAAAAGATAACCAGGACAAAGATCAAACATTCTCCTTTAAAATTGAGTTCTGAAACGTTGCAAAGAAAGAAGCGACAACAGGATAGTGCAGGTATTATGATTTTTGTCTTAATTAGCAAGCTCCCTTTTTTTTTAATGATTTTTGTCCTAATTAGCAAGCTCCCTTTGAGGAGAAGGATCCTGGAATCTTTCCCCCAAGGAGAACAATGTGGTTTTAGAAGAGGTTGTCTGTTGCAACCATATCAGATAAAATCGAAAGAAACAAAACAAAACGAAATTAAAAAAAGAAAAAAGGAGACAAAAACATGTGGCGCCTAAAGACTAACTGATAGCATTAAAGACTGGCTAAAAGTTGGTCTTGCCACAATTTTGATTGGCTGAAGTCCATCATGCATGGACGCTTGGTCGTTATTGGCTAGTTCGGCACAACTTCACATACCCACAAGAAGGGCTTCTCGACTTTTCGTTGGATTGGTCAAAGTTAGAAAAGTCCGTGCCCTTAACCTATAACGTCTTCTGATTGGCTCACAAGCATGCCACTCAAAGCCTCGGTTCTACTGCCGCTTGGTTTGACCGGAATTGCAGCTGTTCCTCCCTGTTGGCCGCTTATAAATGTCACGTGCATTTCGGTTTTTGACGGGTCACATTTTGGTATCTTGTTGGTGATTGGAGAATCCTTGCCGGTTATTCTTCCCATTGGCTGGGCATTCGCTTAACTACAGCCTTCCCCCCGCTTCCGAGTATTATTGAAGTCAGCTGTATTCTAATTGGCTTAGCTCGCCGGACAAAAGGAGCGGAATTCTGGTTCTGTGTCACTATTCTTGATTGGTAGGTCCTTCCCGCTAGTCCCACCTTTTGACTCAAGTTCCTTGTCACCGCCCTTCCTCATTTTGATCGCCGTCTCCTGAGTCCCTTTCTCGATTGGCTGCGTACGATGTCCCATTCTGCTCCGATTGGCTGCTTCACCTCCGATACCTACTTTCGTCACCAGGAGCCGACCGCTCCGTTTGTCTTCTCTTTTGCGATTGGGCAAATTCCTCTTCCTCCTTGACGCCCATTGGCTGAATTTCGGTCTGGGCCGCTCGGGCTTGCGCGCGCAGGTAGGGGTGGTTGCCTCTCGTATTGCTGCCGCCGTCTAGGCAGGCGGGGGGAGCGCGAGGCTTTCTGCTTCCTCTCCCCCCTTTCCCTCCCCCCCCATAACTATAGCCCAGGCTTTGGCTGGGTTACTAGGCCGCATCCCCCCTTTGGGGGGGAGGGGGGCCGTTGCTATAATGGAGACTGGCTCTGGGGATCTCCCATTACCCCCACCTCGGAATAATGCCCCTCGTTCAGTGTTTTATACTCTCAATGGGATGGGCACCACGCCTGTGCCATCGGAGGTCTCTGCGGCCAGCATGTCAGCTTCTGGCCTGGTAACAGTCAACACTAGAACAATGGAAGCTGTGGAAGCCACTGCCTTCTTGACCACCACGACAACAGCAACATCAGCATCGTGCACGACTACAGAGGCGACTTTAGCCACGAAGACCGCGGAGATGTCTCTTGTGGCCAACGACAGTGGGAGCGTGGCCCCTCCAGCACCAGCAGCATCCAATGCCATAGCTGTGGATGTAATTCCAAAGGGACATGGACCTTCTGGGGAAATGATGTCTGTGATCAATTCTGTAGACCCCACACCTTCCATGGTAACAGTAAATGGAACAGCAGGTACATCGCCCCACGACGTTGGGCAGATATCCTCACCTGTGGCTCCACCAAAAGAAACGACGACGAAATCCCTCCCAATTCCACCAGCATCGCCAACTGTGGTTGTAGTGGCTCCTAGCCCTGTGACACCCCCGGAGAAGGCTTCACCCACAACTCCCGAAGGTTTGGCAACTCGTGATCTCCCTGCCCGGCCACCCCCCCAGGAAATGGGTTCACAATCCAGTCTGGGCACTGTGGCATCCAAGGCCCCTCCAGCTCCCGACACCTTGAGTTACTTGGATTCAGTCAGTCTCATGTCAGGCACGCTGGAGTCACTGACTGGCCCAGGATTCATTGATGATGCTAGCTCTCTTGGTTCAGATTCTGAGATCAATGGATTGGCATATCGTAAGACCGACAAGTATGGCTTCTTAGGGGGCAGCCAGTATTCTGTTCAACTGTAAGTATTGGCACCAAGCTGATGGTCATGGTGGGGCAAATGGTTTTAGTCTTGTATTCAGCTTAGGCTGCATCAGCGAGATGTCATAGTTATGGGTGCTGCGCCCACTTGGGTGTAGGATTTAGAATACATGGGCTTCTCTCCTAGGAGGCACTAGTTTCTGTAGAAGACAGGGTCTGGATGAATGCACCTGTCCGAAATACAGAGCTGGGAAGTATTCTTTCCTAATTTACTGTTCCATTCTTTTCCAACCTGATGTGTGACAGCTGTAGTCTCACATATCTGAAGGCCACTAAATTGAGGGGCAGGGTGCTGAGATACACTGATATGATAGACCCCACCTAAACATGACTCATAAATACCTGTCCTTCCACCTTTCCAGATTGAAGAAGGCTGACTTCAGTCTGATTTCCTGAGAGTACAGCATATACACTTTTCACCCTTGATTGGCATTCTGAAGCCATCTCTCTTCAGGCAAAATTCTTGTTTGCTTCTGACTCTCATTTGGTCTCTTGCCTATGCTATATTTTGTTTGGTTGGCCTCTAAGAAGTACAGGTGGCATCTTCCACAGAAATGGGCATAGCTCATTGATTTGTTTGTTTTCAGGTGGGATGGGGCAAAGAATCTGTATATGCAGTGGAGATACCTCTTGTTGTTCTGGGAACCTGCCATATGCGTTATGTGGGAATCACTGATTTCCTGACTTGTTTTGCGAGTACTCTTATTTATTTATGTCTTCCTGAACCCAAATTGTAACATTTTAGCACAAGCATTCTGTTGCGCTGAGTGATTCATTTCTCCAGACCATATATGACAGGGATCTCATCTTTGTCCTTTTTTCCATCTGTGTTTTTCCTCTTCAGTTTGGATGCTGCTCTTGTTGGCCTGAAATCAGAAACGCTCTCTGGGTTTTCTGCTTTATTTGAAAGGTGTTGGGCTGGTCCTTTGGATTACTCATATTGACTGGGCGCCAGTATGTCCTGCATGTTAGTCTTTGTCCCAAACATGTTTTGGTAGAGAGGGCAGGTTGTGCTCCAGCACTGGCCATACTAATGCGGACCCAGACGGTCTGTCTTTGGTTTTTCAGAAGTGTCTTCTGAAAATTTGCGTGTGTGCCCTGAGCACAGAAAGTTGATTCAGAGCAAATCAGGGCCTTAATCCATATAGCCCAATGTTGGGGACACTGATAGACATCGAGCATTTTAGACTGTAGTTGTTTTAGCCCTTCTTGAAGGTGTCAGGGATTAAACCTGGCATTTTCTCCATGCCAAGCTTATGCTTTACCACTGAGCAACAGCCTCTGCCTGTTTTGAGACTGAATCCCTTCTAAATAAGCCCTGTTAATGACATGCATCTATGGCGGGTTGAGAAGGGAAAAGATGATAAGTAAACTCTTTGCTGCAGCCTGGGGCTTGGTAAGGATTAAACAGAGCCATGCAGGATCTCTACATTAGTGGTGGTTAACTTGCACAGACAAAGGAATCAACCATGTGCTCAGCTCTCCCTCCGTCTTCTAATTGCTGGGAGGAGACCAGATGATGAATTACTCAATTACCTCCCTGTCACATCCTCTCTTGGAGATGGGATGCAGGGAGAGATGGACCACTCGGCCTGGTTGCTCTTAATAGTTTTCTGGCACTTGGGAAATTATGCACAGCGAGAGATGGGAGACCCTGTGGGTTACCAGATATTGGGCTCAGATGTCCCAGCATAGCCAGTTTCCAGGATCGGTGAGAGTTGTAGTCCAGCAACACCTGGAAGGTCATAGGTTCCACTCTCCCTGATGTTCTGCTTTAGTTACTGAAGAAGCATTCAGGTGCAGAATCTCCTAGGAAGTAGTCATTTACATAGGAAACTTGGCTTCTGTTTGTGGTGTATGAATAATTTCTTATTTCTTTGCCATTTTCAATGAGAAGCAGCTTTTAAAGCTCCAAATAGTTTTAAAGCAGCTTGCCATACACATGGGGCTGGATTTGGGATGAGGTTGCTACCAGAATGAATTTATGCTGAGTCTGGTGTGTTCTTTGCAATGATTTGTGTATAGAGTGTTGCCCGAGAACAGCTTTTATGAGCTCTTTCAGTTGGAATGTGACCCCCTACTCTTTCCCCCCTCCTCACCCTACTGGCTCACACCATCTTAATTAGCTGCCTATCCTGTTCTTTGAAAGCCAGGAGATTCCAGGTAGATTCAAAAGCTTGCCTTGCAGGATGAGCAGTTCTGGAAAGAGTCCTTTGTCTCACACTTTCAATCACACAGTGAAGACTCAATTCTTTGATTATTAGGTGATTTTGCAAGCATATACTGTAGTGACTAGTAGAAAGTTAGAACAGAGCTTTGGAAAGTTACTTTCAACAACAACAACAACAATCACCAACAACAACAGTGTGCAATCAAGTCATTTCTTACTGACAGTGACCCTTTTCAGGTTATTTCCTAGGTGGAGGGCACTCTGAAATGGTTTACCCATCCCTTCTTCTGGGGGCATCCTGGGCTTGCACAGCTTGCCCAAGGCCACGCAGGCTGGCTTTTCTAGGAGGCACAGTGAGAAATGAATTATCAAGCTCTACCTAACTCACTGATTATCCAGATTATAGGAGTTGTTCTTTTAAAACTATATTTCCTATAGCTGCCTCTCCCTCACGCCCCCCCCCCCCGAAAGCCGGCAAATTTGCCTTTGTGTCTCAAACTAGAGATCTGAGTAGTCCACTGTCGCCCTTAGCACTGTCAGATGTCCCAAGGAAGCCTGAAAGTTGGGTAAGATAGGAGAAAAGAAATCTTTCTGCCCAACAGTTGGGCAAGCAGAGGTCCCCTCTTTTTGAACATGAGCGTCAGGTCTTGATGTTCCTCAGTGTCCTCTCCGAAAGATATTTGGGCTAATGAAAAGAGCTTGGAAAGGTTACTTCCCGAAGGAGCCTGTGAGCTACAGTTTGAAAAAAGCAAAGCTGTCAAGTTGTGCTAACCACTGATAACTGTTTTCCCCCCAGGAATTTGCTGATGATTCCTTAATAAAGCATTTTATTAGGCATAGCGGTATTGTGCAAAATGCTCCAAATTTAGAAACTTTGACACAAATATTAGACAAATATGGAAAGCTATTTTTGTGCTGTCGGTCCAAGAGACTACAGTATAGAGACCAGTCTGATTTGGGTCGCAGAAGATGTTTTTAGATGCTAGGTTGGCAAGTGCAAATACTTGGTGGTTTGGCAGTCTGCTTCTGTAGGTTTGTTCATCTACTAGTGAGTGCATTACAGTGCATTTGTCTCAGGGAATCAGTTTTTCCTCCCAGTTTAATTTCAGCTAGTGTCTGGGAGGGGGCGAAGGCTTTGTTTTCATCGCCTGCGGGGTGGGTGGAGGTTGAAATGATTGTTCAAAGGGTTTCTTCTTGGATGTGGATTAGCTGCAGTTCTCCTGGACCATCTGTATTCCCTTCTGTCATCGTTCAGCTGCCTTACGGAGCTGGAACCCTCAAGGAAAGCCAGTTATTGTGAGAGGACGAACACTGGAAAAATAATTTTAGGTCTTTGGAGCCAAACTGAGTTAGAACTGAAGAAAAGAAGAATGTTTTGGAAAAAATGAACCAACTCCCACTATGCTTTTCAGTTTATTAACTTCAGTTCAGCCAGGACAGGCCCAAATTGAAACAGAGTGGTTAGGATTTTCCTGAGTTACTCAGGAGAATCAGAGTCCGGTTTTGGAATTCATTGCTACACATTTATTTTTCTTGTCTGCATATGTTAAAATTTCTACATGTTTTAGGCCAGGAGGATTACGCTGGCTTTTTTGTTTTGCTGCATAAATGATGATTTCATTTGTCCAGTGACAATTGTGGGGGTCATCTTTTGTTTTTCATTTGCTAGTTGAAGACCTGTGGTCACTCTGAGACTTAGGCCAAAAACAACAACAACAACAACAACACTGTTGCAGGAATGGAAGACTGATCTTGAACAGGGAGAAATGTGACCAGCAGTATGACACCTGCTTCAGACAATGAAATAGGGTCTCTCCATTTCTGAAATGTTTCAGTAATTTTTGAGCCATTTTGACCTATGGCTCAGATATTGGGTATGGATACAAATGATCGCAATTCAGATTGCTGTGTAGTTGCTCCACACACACAGTCTTGGATGGCCTTGTGTGAGTTTCTTGCAAGGGTGTCATGTGGATAAAAAAAATAAAATTTGCTGCTCGGATTTCCGTGGTGGAAAAAAAATAGGACGTTATTTATTTATAGCATTTACACCCTGCTCATCAGCCAAAAAGACTCAGAGATAATCAAAATGAGGGCCTTTCAGCTTCACATCTAAAAAGCCGTGACACGAAAGGAACAACAGATGGGCGTGGGAGTGAAGGAAAACTAGGCAGCTTGAGTGCTTTAAATAAAAAAAATTTTTTTGCAAGGTTCTTACAACTACTGGACACTGTTGGTCTTATTATAATGACCATTTAGAATGGGAACAGCCCACAGAGAAGAGGAACCAAATGTTGGTAGTCTTTGAGCCGAGCCAGTGGCATCGCCCTGTCTCTGTTTCTTTTTCTTCTGAATGTCAAGGGCGGGCAGTCGTGAAGGAGGCAAAGCCCACTGAGACTGTCCACCACTGGCCAGATGCTCTCACTCACCTGACAAGGCAATACTGGCAGAGTCCAGGGCTCCATCACTTACAAGTGGGTGGAGGCTGGTTGGTTGGGCTCCTGGGCCCCCTGCAAGTGGGCTAGAACCCAGCCTCTTTGCCTTGGAAGCTCCTGGTTTGCCTGGCCTAGAAAAGAAGGCCATTAGAAGGACCAGCTGTTGGCTTCCTCCTATGCACATGTCTTCTTCCTCTTCTCTCCTACCCAAACCCTTTCTTATCTTCCCTAGTCAATGAAGCGGCTCTGCCACTTCCTGTTTGGCAAGCCACCCTTCCTGTTTCCTGCAGGGTTCTGTTATAAGGAGCTTGCCCTGCCTAGTTCCTCCTATGTACAGTATTCACCTTCCCCAAGGTCCCTCGTCTGAAGCTGGGGCAGGGGGCGAGGGGCAGATGGAATCCAGCCCCACACAGGTCTCTGCTTTTAAAGCAAGAACCTTCTCCTGTGGCTTCAACAGGGCCCAGCTAACCCTGAGTCACAGCTTGAGGAAGGGCTTTCCAGTTTCCTTCATGGTAGCCCTGTCATCGCCCTGACGTGCTTGTTTTGTTCTGTGTTTGCCTTTGGAGGTTGTACACATGATGAGGCTTGCATGAATCTGCTTGCGTACACAGTTCATGAGCCAGGCGGCAGGCAGGGATAGTGAGAAACCACAAGGGTTCTGATGCAGAGACCTGTCGGCGCTATAAGATGAAGAGGGCTTGGTGGATGACGTAGAGGGGACATTGCGTTGGAGAGTGCCAGGGTCCGGTTCCCACAACTTTCCTGGGAGGCCCCCACAAGGCCAGGACAGAGAACTAGGCCGAAGCCTAATTCAGGGTTTATTGTTCAAGGGAATTGTATTTGCCTGCCTTCTCGTTCGCTAAATATAGTTTAATTTGCAAAGATGGGCCAAGTTCAGGGAGCTGAGTACACCCTAGCTCGGGAAAATTGTTCATGGACTGTCTGGTAGATTTGTCCTGCTCTTCTGAGCAGAAGAGATTAGGTGGAAGGAGACTCTGAATCTAGGAAATGAGGTCGTAATTTGGATGGAAATAGTTTGGCACCATCACAGAGCCTTGTCTGCAATGTTTTCTTTGCTCTGCTCCTTCGTCTGGCTGCAACACATGCGTCCTTTGAGAATAGTCTTGTAACTACATCCCTGTGAAACTGCAAGGGCCAGAGAAGAAGCTGGGGTTTTGGTGTATTATACAGACTATTTGCTACAGCACACAAACAGCACCGTTTATGCCAGATTAAGCATATTTGCATGATTTTTATAGACTTGCTATATTCTGCCCAGGGCAGCTCTTGAAATCCTTCTCTTCTTAGTTCATTATTGGCTTCCTCATCCATTTTGTTGCTGCAGCGAAAGTACCATCCCTGTGGATGTGGCCAGACAGAGGGAACTCAAATGGCTGGACATGTTTTCCCACTGGGACAAATGGCTGTCACGCAGATTCCAAAAGGTGAGCAGAGATCTGTCTCTCTAAGTGCTACCTTCCTGGGTGCTAAAAGGAAGGCTCTCGGATGGCATTTTGCTTGTTCTAAGTTTTGTGTGTGTATGTTTACTGTATGCTTTGATGATTCTCTCCATCCCCTTGCAGGTGAAATTGCGCTGCCGGAAGGGGATTCCTTCTTCCCTCCGTGCCAAAGCATGGCAGCTTCTCTCCAACAGCAAGGATCTTTTGGATCAGAACCCAGGGAAATTCGAGGTATTTCTGAATGCTCTTTTTTGGAACTCTGAACCAGTGAAACAGGATTTACTCTCTTGACAGCTGGGAGAAGATAGAGCAATGTTCGCTTCTTTTAGTACTGACATTTATATCCCATTTTTCAAGATACAATTTTTCCTAAAGTGGCTTCGGTGTAACATCACCTTTCATTAACAATATCATGAGAAACATTATTAATAAATAAAAAGTCATCAGGATCTTTCCTGTGAGAAAGCTGCTGATATGTCAGCCCATGCAGAAAAGGGAGAACCTCTTCGGAACAGGAGCAGTCATTGATATCTGTCTTACCTGCCTGTGTCTCTGTTCTGGAAAACTTCTCACAAGTTGGTTGATAGTGGGTGGTCTGAGAGGGATGACAGTAGAAGAAAACTCCTGCTTTCACACTTTCCTCCTTGATTTGCAGACCTTAGGAAAGTTGCTTTCTCTAGATAAGCATGTCTAGAAGTTATAGTCAAAAGCTCTGCTGTCTTTAAATTTCCCTGATTTCCAAGTTTTGCTTTTCCACATTCTCGGTCTTTCTGTGTCTGTTTCTTTCCTTAGGACCTGGAGCGTCAGCCTGGAGATCCTAAGTGGCTCGATGTAATTGAAAAAGATCTACATAGGCAGTTCCCTTTCCATGAGATGTTTGCAGCTCGGGGAGGTCACGGGTGAGACAGTTGGAAGAAGGGGAGGTTTTTGCTCTGCCATCTAAACGATATTGTCTAGTGTTGGAAAATTGCCATACTCCTCTTGTCTGTTATGAAATTTCACCCACTCTGTATGCTAAGTTACCCTCCCATTGTAATGTCTGGTTAGTTCCTCCTGGCACTGCTATCTTTGTCTCCTCAGCAATTACCACTTGCTACTACCATCCTCATACCATGTTCCTTTCCTTGCATCTCCACATCCTAGTATGAGATCCACCCCACCCCCCAACAGAGAGGGGTTCATGACTCACACAGAGCAAGGAGGCAGCACATTAATGCCTCAGTCTTGACACTTTTGGATGAAACAAGAGGGCAAGGCAATTGATGCATCTTGAAAGCAATGATTAAAAGCAACTATTTTACTGCTAATATGTTGCTTTTAAAATGTTGTTTTCACAAGACTTGATGCATCCCTTCCATTTAACACCAAAGGGAACTATTTTAAATTAACCCATTACTTCCGAGCTCTGCCCCCGCCCCTGTCTTTCAGCGATCCAAGAATGTTGTGAGTCAAGGGGCTGACTCTTGTCTGTGACTTAAGAAAACACCCACATGTGGAGGAAAAAAGGGACAAGATGACATGCAATGATGTTTATTGTTCAAATGCCTGATAATTCCTTCCTGTTACCATTTTAAGGCCTCCTTCTGGGAGATTAAGAAAATACCCTGCAGAATTTTGGGTTCTGTTGCTAGTCAGTCTTAGCAGAGAATTTCAACAGACATTTCTGCAGTCAGACTTAAAATAATAATACAGTGGTGCCTCGCTTAACGAGCCCCCATTTAATGACGAATCCGCATAGCGATGAGGTTTTTGCGATTGCAAAATTGATCGCATTGCGATGTTTTATATGGCAAAACACCGCTTTGCGATGTTCGGTAAGCGTTTCGCTTACCGATTTTTGCATAGCGATGTTTTAAAAACAGCTGATCGGCAGTTCCAAAACGGCCGCCGGAAAAAAATGGCCACCTGCAGTGTTTTCGCGCCCTTTCCTCGCTTACCGGGCAGCGAAAATGGCGGCCGGGTGGAGGATTTCCGCATAGCGGTGAGTTTTTCCCCCACAGAAACGCATTAAACGTGTTTTAATGCATTCCTATGGGTTTTTTTCCCCGCATAGCGACACATCCAGATAGCGACGATTTTTTCGGCATGGATTATCGTCGCTATGCAGGGCACCACTGTAGACCAAAATGTATGGGATATTTTATCAATAAACATCACTGGATAGCATGTTATGAAGACATAGCTCTTCTGTGCGTCTAATTTTGATGCTTGCTATTTTGTGTTTGCTTACTAAATAAACTGCATCCGGTGAAATGTGCAGTGCAGATGAACTGCTTTGCCGAGTGATCTTGGGTGGTTGTGCCCCAGATGGACATCTTCAGGCCTGCCCCAAGCTCACAAGTACCAAGGTTGTATCAGATGCATCTTCTTCATCCTTCTTCTCTGTCACAGGCAGCAGGACCTCTACCGCATTCTGAAAGCTTATACTATCTACCGGCCAGAGGAAGGTTACTGCCAGGCTCAGGCACCTGTTGCTGCAGTGTTGCTGATGCATATGCCTGCTGAGGTGAGGAGCTGCATCATCCTGTTGATGTGGTGGGAAGTTCCTTGCATGGGCAGAGGACTTCAGCAGACTGAAAGAAATGTGCCCGGCTTTTATAAGTCTGAAGCTTCTGGTGGTGGGAAAAAGTGACTTTTAAAAGTAATTAGAAAATGTTAACATTATGCTAATTAAGGAGCTTTGTTCCTACTCCTTGCATTACTTTTGAAATGTAACTTTATTACACCCTTGTTAGCCCCCGCCCACAGTAACCTACTTGTTGGTAACTACACTGCTTGTAACTTCTTGCTTCCAAACTCTGGCTGTTGTGTATATGTGGCTTTGAAATATGGTATTTTTAACTTGGCCACATGAGGTCTACAGCTGTTCATGAATGGTGGGTCATGTTCATTCATTTCTTGTGGCCTTGTCTTGAGTCTCAGCGCTTGGGTCTCATTGTGCAGTGTCATAAAGGGAACATGGTATCCAGGACAGGAATGAAAGGTCTTGAGATCAAACATTGGCCTTCCTTAATCAACCAGGACTACCCTGTTTCCCAGGAAATAAGACCTAACCTGAAAATAAGCTGTAGTGTGATTTTTCAGGATGCTTGTCATATAAGCCCTACCCCCAAAATAAGCCCCCGTTAAGTGAAACCCCGCCCTCCACCCTTGTGCAGCAACCAGAAGAAGATAACATGACTGTATTTGAATAAATGTAGGTTGTTGTACATGAAAAGATAAAATAAAACATCCCTTGAAAATAAGCCCTAATGGGTTTTTTGGAGCAAAAATTAATATAAGACCTTGTTTGATTTTCGGGGAAACAGGGTATCTTATTTTGTATGTGTGTAGGAAACAAGCCACGGTCCTTGGAAAGAGTGCCTGGAGCACACACGTGTTCCAGTCCAGATGGCCGATGTTGAGAATTTCTCCCATTTCTCTCCACAGCAAGCTTTCTGGTGCCTGGTGCAAATCTGTGAGAAGTATCTCCCTGGCTATTACAGTGCTGGACTGGTGAGTCTGGCTGCATTCCTGGAAGGAAAGGAAGTAGACCTTTTTGTGTTTAGGCAGAGATTATACACAGGAAAGTCTATACAGAAGACGGGCACAAACTCGCCGGTTTGGCTGTTTGTGCCAGCTTATTTATTGGCCGAGCCAGTGTTTGACGCTTCCTAGACCCCCTTTTCTGCCAGGTACCCACTCAGAGGCAGCACCTCAGCACGAGCAGCCTCTGAGCGAGTGCCTTCCAGAGCCAGGTGATGCTGGGAAGCGCCAGATACACCTGTTTGGCTACTAAATAAACTGGCACAAACTGGTGAACCAGCATTTTGTGCCCATCTCTATACTGCAGAAAAGTCACTTATTGGTGGGAGTTTCCCCTTGTCTGCTAGTTTACCAGAAATGTATTGTGTATAGTGATGCTATGCCGGTGTATTTGCTTTTTTAGAGATAAAAAAAATCCTGTTGCAGGGTTCTTGGGAAGCGTGAGACCCATAATGTAGGAACTTTCAACAGTTGGAATATATACTTCACAAAGAGGAATAAATATGCCTCTTTGTGTCCCATTTTCATTTCTCCATTGCCTTTGGTCATCTGAGTAGATCTATAGGATTCCCAACAATTTTTTGTTTCTTTCTTTCACTTCTCTTTTCTCAAACATACTTAAATTTCAGTTCCTCTATCTGGTTGAAATTCACCTCACTCTCCCTGCTAAAGAAACCTTTTTTCCCCTGGTTTTCTATTTCTTACCCACCATTGTATAAGTTGGCAATAAATGGGCCACCTGCAACCCCACCTAGTTTTGAAGATCTTGAAAAATAAAATAAAACCTCTCTGAAAAGTACAGCTTTTAGAAAACAAGAAGCAAATGTTCATCCACACCTGGTTTCATTTTGAAGAGGGGATGTGGCCTGCAGCAGGACGTAGAATTGCTGTCCTGCATTAAAGTCACAGATAAAAATGTGACAATCTTTCTTGCTCCGTGAAGACTCAAATTGTAGTCCAAGAGTTTCTACTTCTTGTCTTCTGGGTCATGGGCAGATGTTACAAGCTCCATGCATAGGAGGAGGCCTACCCGGGCTATTCTTTGGCTTTGTTCCCAGAAGAAAACATTGAAGGGGAGAAAGGGGAAAGGATGTGGAAATGAGGGTGGGGAGACATCTTCAGTGGAGGTATGATTGAAGACAGCACCTTCCGTATTTCTCTGAGTTCATCTTTTTTTTTTCTCCTTTGGTGTCTTGTTCATCTTAACCAGGAGGCAATCCAGCTGGATGGGGAGATTTTCTTTGCTTTGCTACGCCGAGCATCTCCCATTGCCTACCGGCACCTGAAGAGATACAAGATTGACCCCATCTTATACATGACCGAGTGGTTTATGTGCATCTTCTCCCGGACCTTGCCCTGGTGCTCCGTGTTGCGTGTCTGGGATATGTTCTTCTGTGAGGGTGAGTCTCTTCCTTAGGTTTTCCCCTTTGCTGTCTGTCAAGCACTGCACGTCTGGGTGTTCTCTTCTCAGCCGTCTCCCTTACCCGGTCAGGAGGAAAGAGTGCAGAAGAAGGGCAGTGGTTCTGTCCTTGACGGTAGAAATGTTTTCCTTTTCCTGCTTCCGTTCTGAACTGTTTCTCTGTTCCTGAATGGAAGGAAATCTCCTGAGCAATTGCACACATCATTATCATCATGAGCTGTCAAGTCAGTTCTGACTTACGGTGACCCTTTTAACGGTTTTCCAGGTACAGAATACTCAGGAGTGGTTTATCATCTCCCCTCCCTTTCTGGGGACACCCTGAGACTGTGCAGTTTGTCCAAAGCCACACAGGCTGACTCGACGCACAGTGGGGCATTGAACTCTCAACCTCTGGCTCTGAAGCCAGATGCCTAAATCACTGTAACAGATACTTTGCGGATCCATGAGGGCTAGAAACTTGAGAGCAAGATTTTGTTTTATCTGCTGTGAGCTGCTTTGGGTCCCCTATAGCTGGGAACTGGAGTGGACCATGGACACAGATCTCCCACCCACCCCCGCATGCACGGATGGGTGCCCCGCCCACTTTAGCATTGGCCCTGCCCCATGCATGTGTGTGCACGTCCCCCCGCCTTGCACGCACCCTGCCTGCCCACTCGTGTGGGCCCCGCCCACCTGCGCATGTGTGCACAGATGACCCACGCGACTGCACAGGCCCCTGCACCCCATGGATGTGCGTGCATGCCCCCGCCCACCCCCACGTGTGCTCTGCACACCCACGCATGGACACACATGCCAAAACCGGTCCGTGGTTTGGAAAAATGTTGGGGACCACTGCCCTATAGGGAGAAAAGCGGGAAGCAAGCAAATAAATAAACAAACAAACAAACAAGATCTGTTGTGCCGTCCCATTTCATTCTGTAGTGTTTGCTCACTAGCAAATATATTCAAGTTTTACATCCTCATAATGCTCTGACTAGAGCTATCTTGTAAGGTTGACTCCTTCAGATGTTCAGGACAGACAAAAGCCTGTCTTCATGTTTATGGAAATCACTTTCACAGAATGTGATGATAGTCAGTAGGTTCCATCGCTCCAGAAGCGCTTGTCTGATTAGGAGCCCCATCTGCAGCAACTCAGCTTAATCGCCAGTGGCCAGCCTCAAACCCACGATAGCTCTACCACTTTCAGGATCAATGTATCATTTGCTGGGGATACCGCAGGGAAGGGCTGCCTACCAAACTGCTTGTGATCTTCCCAGATGTATCTGGCTAGCTGCTATGGGAATCCATATGTTTGTCTTGAAATACAGATTTTAAACCTCTCATATTGCTGAATTCTTCTGCCCACATCCCTATGCTCATACATTGCCCAGGTCTTCCCATTATCTTGCTAGAGGAGCTTCTTACTTCATATGTTCTTTGCAGCATCAAAGCTCATTGACTGGGGAATTCTTTGAGCTGCGATCCAAACAGGATCTTTTCCAAGCTGTGAATATAAGCTCTGCTAGATCAGACCAAAGGGCCATTTAGTCTACTATTCAGTTCACACAGTGGCCAATCCGTGGCATACAGTGGAACCCACCAGATGTGGGTGCACCTCCATCTCATGTTCCTGAGGAACTGAAAAACAGAGGCATTTTGCCTCCCGGTCCTGGCGGTGATACGTAGCTATCCTGACTAGTCGCCGTTTATGGCCCTAACCACCATACCTTTATCTAGGCACCATTCAGGTTGGCAACCATCACCTATCTCTTGTGGTGTTGAATTCCTCTAGCAACCTTTCTTCCTCTTGCCATCTGATTCATCCCGGTTTCCTGCTTGCAGGAGTAAAGATCATCTTCCGGGTGGGCCTGGTGCTGCTCCGGAACACACTGGGCTCAGTAGACAAACTGCGCTCGTGCCAAGGCATGTACGAGACGATGGAAAAGCTACGCAACCTGCCCGTCGAAGCCATGCATGAAGACTTCCTGGTCCATGAGGTGAGAGTCCCATCTTCTTTAGATAGCCATATCATAACACTAGTTTCCTGGGCAGTACACAAGCTCATACAGCATTAAAAATGTAGTCAAGCAGGCAGCAGCAATTGTGAAAACTTAAAACACTCTTGAATCAGAAACAAGGAGTCCGTGACTAGAGGAGGGGAAACAGCAAAGAGTATGCATTGTCTGTTTGATCAAAAATGAAAAAAGCCACGGGGGTCCTGTAAACAATTCAAAGGTAAAAGTGGGTGGTGCTTACAAAACCATGCAGAAAATAAGCTAAGGAAGTTTTAATGAAGGATAGAAGATCACAGTGATTGTAAGAGATAAGAAATTGAAACAAGAAACCGTTGGGTATGCCTATCTTGGAAACAGGTTCTATAGAACTTTGATGAGCCCTGGAATGCTGCTTCTTTTTCTTGTCCCAAATCTAGAGTTGAGGACAGAACCCTTTAAGAAGAGCTGCTGGCAACAAGTTATATGGAATGCTATGAATTTTTCACTTTGTAGTGTTATTAATTTTTTTTTAACCAGGAAACCAAAATTGAATTGGGTGGGCTGTGAGTTGACATGGAAGAAAGAGTGGACAGGACTATGCTGTTCAGACTTCTTCTCTTACTTTTCAAAATACAGTGGTGCCTCGCTTAACAGGTGCCCCGTTTAACAATGAATTCGCATAGCGACGAAGATTTTGCGATCGCATTGCGATGTTTTAAATGGGTAAAAATCGCTTTGTGATGATCGGTACCCTGTTTCGCTTACCGATCATCGCAAAGTGATGATTTTTTAACAGCTGATCGGCGGTTCCAAAATGGCCACCGGGTAAACAAAATGGCGCCGATTCCTCGCTTACCAGGCAGCGAAAATGGCGGCCATATGGAGGATTTTCGCTTTAAGGTGAGTTTTAAGCCCATAGGAATGCATTGAAGGGGTTTCAATGCATTCCTATGGGCTTTTTATTTTCGCATAGAGACGAAATCGCTTTGCAACGATTTTTGCTGCACGGATTATTGTCGCTATGCGGGGCACCACTGTATAAACCCATTCCCTCTTACCCACCCAGCTACATTTTCAGACACTGAAAAGGCTGAATCTAGTCTCACCAGATGAATTTTCAAAACACACACAGAATCACAGAAGAACTGTGTGTAGTGTTCAGTTTCCCCCTCAGCTGACCTGTATGCTTTTATGGGGTAGCAGCACAGCCTTTATGCTCCTGGTATAGGTGCAGATGATTACTGCACAAAGGAGTGTGAAGTGGTTGCTGAGCCTGCAATGCTTGAAATACTTTACAAAGGATGGCATGTGTCTGTTCTTCTTACCCCTGCTTCTGTTGCCCGTTCTGCTTAGGTGATTAATCTCCCTGTAACAGAAGCCCTGATCGAGCGGGAGAATGCTACTCAGCTGAAGAAATGGCGGGAGACACGGGGCGAGCTCCAGTACAAGCCCTCCCGCCGACTCCATGGTTCTCGTGCCATCCACGAGGAGCGGTACCGCATGAACCCACCACTGTCGGCCAGCGCCAGCCTCTTGAGTCTCACCGGCCTGAAGCAAAGGGTTTCCCTCAGCAGTGCCAGTGGCCCCTCGTTCTCCCCAGTGCACTCCACGGGCACCTTGGCGGTGTCGGCCGCCCCGCCTCCTGCCCCTTCTGCAGCCCAGAGCCCGGTGGTGGTCTCCGAAGGCCTCCGTCCGGTCTTGCCTTCTCCCACCGGGAACAACACGCCCCTAGGAGGCCCGAAGAAAACCGGGGTCAGCAGCAAAGAGGAGAAGCGGAAAGAGAAGGAGCGGGAGAAGCAAGAGAGGCTGGAGAAGGAGAGGCGGAAGCAAGAGAGAGAGCGGGAGAAGAAGATGCAGAAGGAGCGGGAGAAGCAGGAGAAGGAGAGGGAGAAGAAAGAGCAGAAGGAACGAGCCAAAGAGGAAGCCAAGCTGAAGAAGGAGAGGAAGTTGTCCCTGAGAAAAAAGGAGTCCAGATCAGCTCCTCTGCCACCTCCTGATGAGGGGAAAGACGGGGAACCCCCAGGGGCATCAGTGCTGCAAGACACATACTTTTGAATAGGGCTCACGCTTGTCGTTGGCAACACAAGCTCCAGCAACTCCCGCCGCCACCACCACCCGGTCAGCCAAGGACCAAGATGGGGGCTGCTCCCAGAGACTTTCTGCAGTAGGGGACCCAGAGGGCAGGAGGAGATGTGCCAAGGGGGAATTGCTGCTGTGCACTGAACCACCTGACTTAGGGCTACAGAGGAGGTCAGGGGATTATAGTATTTTGTACACCCCTTTTTTCGTGCCTGAGGTGGATTTGACACTCCCCCCCCTTCACTCTCCTCCTCCTGAATGAAGAGGGCCAAAACAAAATGGCCCCTGCACTCTGTGGGGTGATGGGAGACGGCTGCCCCAGGCAGACTTCACTGAAACCAATAGGTGCAGCTGCCCAGCCCCACCCCACCCCAGCTTCCCCTAAAGCTTGGAGTCTTAACCAAGGAGCTAATTGTATCATTAATAGTAACTCCCAACAACATCCTTCGCTCAAGAACTGTATGTGGAATCGTCTGTCCTTAAAACTATTTAACCACTCCAGGCTTCATAGACCACCTCTTTCCAGAGAGGCTAGTTTTAAGAGCAGTGTATAGTCTTGCCTCCTCCCTGTTCCAAAAATTTAACAAACTCTTCCGTTACGGACTGGGTTGGCCCTCATAATACCACCTTGTATTGTTTCTTAGCCCCAAATTTGGTGGGTTCCCGAAAGAAATCCCATCTTGTCTTCCTCCTATGGACAGAGAGACACAGACATGGGGGGGCTTCCTGCAGCGTAGAGATGGAGCCAGCAGGAAAGCTGCACCTGTTGGCTTTCTTCCTCTTACGCAGCTATGAGAGGCAGGACGTCTATGCCTAGAGGGTCAAGGGGAAGAGGCAAGAGACCCTGCTACCCACTGATGCAGCCATTTTGCTGTTCCTATGCAAGGGGTTCTCGGCAATGGTCAAGGGGTGGGTGCGGGTGGGTGGGAACAAAACAGCTTCTTGGTGCCTGGAAATGTCTGTCAGAATTGTTGAGCAAAAACTAACAATAGTTGGGTTAATGAGGAGTGGAGACACGTTTTGTGAGTCCCCCCCCCCTTTTTTTCCCCGTTGGCTGGCAAAAGAGGTTCCTGTTTCTGAGTAAGAAGAGTGATCCATTCTGCTGCCGTTCAGCGTTATCAGTCTGGTCCAAACATTCCCGAGATGCAAGGCAGGAGGCGGATCTTTATGTGTGGCTTTTTGTTGCTTGTAAGCAAGAAAGGCAAACCCATTCCTTCGGCGCTTCTGCCCCTAAGGGAAAGACTCAGGTACCAAGTACGGGTGCCCTTGTGCTATAGTACCAGATCGAGAAGGCTTTTACCCTTTATTGTTACAAAGGCATCTAAGCCTCCTCCTCTTCCCTCCTACCCATCTTTTGTTGGATGTAAAGGGCACAGGATACGTTTATACCAGTTGAGAATTTCTTCTTCTTCTTCTTATCTGCATGGTTTTTGCCCAGAGGCTCCCTTGGGAACCACAGTGTTGAGAAGGTCCTGCCAATGGTTTTTTTCCAGTTTTAGGAGCTGCACAGTCTCTTTGTGGAATTGACAGGGCTTCTGGAGCTGTGGTGGTTGGAACTGGTTTGAAGAGAGGGTTTTAATTTGTTCGTGTCAATCTACATTCCTAAATGGTGCATGCTCTATTCCCTTTTTTGTTGATAAAAAGCAAACGGATCCATTTTAAAAAAAGCAATGACTGGAATGTATTTACTCTCTTTTTTCCTCTGTGGTACGCTGTGCGGCCGCAAAAGGATCCCCTTTTTGTTTCCATGTGCTGGCAAGTGGCTCATTCCGCCTAGGATGGTACAGCAGAAGAGAGCCAGTGACATTCCTGGCTTCAGTCCTATGTTGTCTAAGGAGGCTCAGTGTGCAAGTAGTGTACCAGATTATTGGGGCTGTGGATCCAGACTTTAGGACTTTCTGGGGGAAATGTGTCACAGGAAGCTAGCAGCTAGGAGTCTGAACCTTTTCGTGGACTTTCAGACGTCTTTCTCTTGGCCGTTCTGTGACATCATTTGCCCTACCTAGGTCATATCTCCTGCGCTTTGGAAATGAAGGTTCTGAAGTTTGCTTCCCAGAAATACATCTGCCCTGGCTTTTTCTTAAGTCCACAGACCGACCCACAACTCAATGTGAGAAAGGCTCAATTTGCTCATCTTCATCTCTGTACATAACTTTTCTCTATAACACATATATTATATATATGTTTCAGTATTGTAATTATGTATACAGATACCTGGGATTTTTTTTAATCTTGTGCTCTTATTTAATGGGACAGACACTGGAAAATTAGGAATTCATATTCTCCCCTTACCTTTTAAAGATTTTTTTTTAGTTTTTTACCATTACCCCTAATCAGGAAGAGCAAAAAATTGGAAGTTTACAGCTGACATCTCTTTGCTGTCCTACTTGTTAATAATTTTCTTCCTTTTGTCATTTGTGCCTCATTCTCATTGGATTCTCCCTTTCCCCGTTGCTTTGTTTAAAAATGTTAACAAAACAAAATGAAGTTCCAAGTTTGTCAAGTGTCTTCATTAACCCAGGATGGAGTTGGACTGTTTGTAGTGGGTTGGGGGGTATCCAGATCATTGGAGGGTGGGAAGGGTTTCTCCACTATAGGGTTGTAGCGTCTTTCTTGGCATACTGCAAAATCACTTTCCCCCAAGAAGTCACCCTCTAGCTGTGCTGGACTACAGGTCCCATTAATACAAGATCTGGTGCATTTTAGGGGTTACCAGTTTGAGGAAAGTTCCATGAAATTAGTTTGGGTCAGCTATTAGAAAAGGGATGTAGAATCATTTTAGCTATTTAGGCTGGCATTTTGGTTCATATTTGCTCTTTACAGACATACCCCTTCTACTGAGAAGTTTGTAGATGATGAGCAGGCAAATGCTGACCAGATAGCTCAGTGAGTTAGATATCTGACTGTGGAGCCAGAGGTTGGGAGTTCAATTCCCCACTGTGCCTCCAGTGAGTAGAGCCAGCCTGTGTGGCCTTGGGCAACCTACAGAGTCCTGGGGTGCCCCCAGAAGAAGGGAATGGTAAGCCACTTCTAATTATTCCCTACTAGAAAATCCTGAAAGGGGTAACCATAAGTCAACATTGACTTGATGGCACATTATTGTAGATGGCATACTTCAGGGGTCTCAAACTCAATTTACCTGGGGGCCGCTGGAGGCAGAGTCTGGGTGAGACTGGGCCGCATCAGATTTTCCGCCAAGCAGAGCAAGAGCCTGAAGAAGCCGCCCAGAAGTTTCCTTAGCCCAGCTGGGGCTCCGAGGAGGAGGAGGAAGGGTGCGCAAGCCCTCGTCGCCAGCCACGACCCCCTCCGGCTCCTCCTTCACTATCACCACCACCGGCAGGACAAAGAAGCGGAGAAGGGAGGGAGCGCCAGTGACCGCCTAGCCGGGGGGGGGAGGAGGGCACAACATAAAATTAAAAAAAAACCTCACAGAATTTGCCTTGCCAAAGGAGAAAAGCCCCCACCGGTGCCTGCGAAATTAAACAGAATGGGGCAGGGCCCCCCCACAGGTGCATGCACACACACATGGAGGTTTGGCTACCTTCCTCTGAGAGCACCCCCTACCACATGTGCACACACACACACACACACAGACGTCCAGCAACCTTCCTCTGAGAGCCCCCCCCCCTAAAAAAAGGCGCACTCAGCAGCAGCAGCTACCCCCACCACAATAGAGGAGCAAACTTTGCGAGGCGAGCCCAGGCAGCTTCCAGAGCCGAGGCAGCTGAAGCAGGATGAAGAGGAGGAGAAGGAAGCATTGCCAGGCACTGAGGTGACCGCTGGCCAGGCTGGTGCTGGGGGTGCCGAGAAAGAAAGAGCACCAGAGAGCCGCTTCCCTGGAAGAGGCGACGGCAGCAGCTGCTGTTGGAAGCGCTCTTCGAGGACGGGCCAGAAGCGAGCTCCACTCTCATGCATTGCTCGGCAGCGGCTCGGGCGCTCGGGGAAAAGGGCCAGAAGCACACCTCACTCACCAGATCTCCCCCAAGACAGCATTTCTTGCACCATCTGGAACTGTGCAAGAGGCGCTATCTTGGGAGAGAGCCGTCGAGCAAGGCAAGGCTTTTTTGTCTCTTGATAGCAGAGAATGCGTGGGCACTTGAAGGGGGACAGGCAAGGCGTGGGCCACAAACTATCGTCCGGCAGGCCGCAAATGGCCCGCAGGCTGCATGTTTGAGGCCCCTGGTACTTGGATATTATCCTATTTTACCTTCACAGTAATTCAGCAAACTAGGTTGGACTGGATGAGAGTGTGGTCCATAGTCACTGAGTGAGCATCAGCCCCAAATAGAGATCTGAACTCTTTATTCCCTACTCTTTTCTACAGCATCCTATAGTCCATCTCTCCTGGTAGTCTTAATCTTACCAGGCCAAAAAAGTGTAGGTTGAACTGCGTATGGCCAGTTCCATGTGGAACATAACTGAAAATGTTCCTCCCAGGGACCACAGCTCGCAGAATCCCTCAGCCACAACATGGCCAGCTGGGGCCCATATTAGCTTAGGGAGATTCCAGTAGCAAAATAACTTCCATGCTCAGCTCCTGAGCAAAGGAGCAAGTGAACATAACACAGTGGGTTCTTAATATTTAACTCACTGCTGCTTGGCAGATACCAAACATTATCACCAAATGTCAGGCACATGCTCTTAGCTGCTGTAATAGAGAGATAGGATGTGAGCTGCTGAATTCTGAAAGCTCATACAGACAGTATAAACACTAGTCTAAGTTAGACTGCAATCCTCAGCTAATTTGGACCTGCCACCCTCCTTATGGAGCAAATACATACTGTATTTGGGGGCCTGGGGCCTATATTTTCCTCTTACATGCTGCAGTAGACTTAAATCAGATTGCAGTCCTCTGAATCCTGATCAGAACTTAGAAATATTCCTTCTTTCCACTGTAACTCTTAGAATCTCCATGCTGGCTGGAGACCAGCTAGTTGTGCCTGACTAAATACTAAAAAGAATTACTATAATGCATAAATCACGAATTTTGGGTGTTGGGGCCACACATGGTGTTGGCTGGGGAAGGAATGCCTGAATGCATAGATACACTCTCCCTCTCAGACTGGGTGAGGTGCAGGCAGTTTCAGAGTCACTGAGGGAGGTAAAGGCTAAAGTTTTGCCCCTCCTGACCAGCAACCTTTACTTCTAGTACTGCTGTAGTGTAAAACTTAAGAGTTGTGCAGATTTGTAGTTTTGAACTACAGTACCAGAATTCCTAAGGCAGCCTGTGGATTTACAATAACTGTAATCGAAATCCATAAATCTGCAAACTTCCAGGAGAGGTAGAAATCCTGATGCGGTCGGGATGTACAACACTCTCGAGGTAGAAATCCTGATGCGGTGGGGATGTACAACACTCTCTCCCGTCACTGATCAGGGAACAGATGTGCCCTCCAGGCTCTGCATCCCTAATATAATGGCAAATGGGCACCTACCCACAAGCAAACATTCACCCAAATATCCTTCTGTTAGGATATTAAGAAAAAGCAATTTCTTAAATGTGGCTACTGCAACAAGCACACACAAAATATACAGCTCAAACTGTCTTAAAAATACAAGTTTATTAAAACTTTCGCAATTTGAAAGGAAACAGATGGCGAGGTGTGTATGTTTCACGGATCCTCTCTTGCCACAAACATTGGATCGGAATTTCCGCAAAACTCACTAGTTGCAGCCAACCAGTGTTGATTACTCAAAGTTTATCAAGCTCTCATCCTCAGGTTGCTGTTTTCTTCTTCTCTCCTCCTGCCACATACGTCTCACTCTCAAAATGTCCTCCCCAAATTCCTGATGGAGCCGAGCAAAGTCCATAATGGGGGATTCCATTTCTACCACTGTTGTTGATGAAGTTTGATTCGAGTCTGTTAAGAATCTTGGTTCTCCCTCCAACTTGGGACGTTGCCGTCTCTTCAGCCTCTGAAACTGCTCTTCCAGATCAGCAACCAAGACCCGGAGGTATCCGATTCCTGCTGAACTGAGAGCTCGCACCCCCCCCTCCATGGTCTCTTGGTTCTCAGCTGCCCACTTGTAGGATCGGCTGCCAGGAACTCCGCCAGGATAAGAGATTTCAAAGGTGTATGGTTCCGATGCGGATTCCTGCAGTTCCACCGTGCAGCCTTCCAGGATAATGAGCTGAACTGGACCACGATCCCCACTTCGTTCCCGGTAGAAAAGAAGATTACCTCGGAGCTCACACCAACATGGCTGGTAGGAGGTACTGCGGGAGCTTTTCTTATATAGTAGGCCCTGCCGGTCTGGAGGGGGTTCCAGAATGGAAGACACCATGGTGCTGGACATAAGGAGCTTCATAGTGACAAACCCTGAAAAAGAACCCCAGGTGTCTTCTATCAGACCATATTTAAAAGCTAAAAACAGCAAGTGTAGAAACATTGGAAAATATTGGAAAATATTGAAAACATTGGAAAAACTCCTGTCCTCTGAAGAGGCCGGCCACAGGGACTGGCAAAACGTTAAGAAAAATCTCCAAACACAGCCAAAAAGCCCGGAAAGCCTACAACAACCAAATACCGTACTGTTTGTATGGCACAGTGGTTAAATTACAATACTGCAGCCAAAACACTGGTCACGACCTGGGGTTCAATCCCAGATAGCCAGCTCAAGATTAACTCAGCCTTCCATCATTTTGAATTCAGTAAACAGAGTACGCAGCACACTGGGGGTTGCATGGGTGGGAGCACAATGTGTAGGCTGAATAATTACGTAGCTTGTAAACCACCCAGAAAGGGCTTTGAGTGCTATGGGGCTGTAAATAAGCAGCACGCTTTTCTTTTTTAATGTTATGCAAAATAAATATCAAAAACACATACAAAGCAACAAGGCATGACAATCCATTTGAATACCCCTCTCAGACAGCCAGTCTCTAAGGGAAAGTCTGACTGAAGAATAAGGTCTTTCCTTGTAGGAGGACAGCAAAGATGGGGCCAGCTTGGCCTCCAGTGGGAGGGAGTTCCAGAGTCTGGGAGCGGCAGCAGAGAAAGCCCTCTCCTGCGTCCCCACCAAACATACCTATGAAGGTGGTGGGACCAAGAGGAAGGCATGGACATCACAGCAAAGAATGGGAAAGAGGAAGAATATGGGACAGGAAGAGAAACTGCAAACAGATGAATGAACAACTGAGAAAAGCAAAATAAAATATAATAAAAGCAGAGATTATGGTGCTATGCAAAACAGAGGGTAAAAATAATGGGAGTAAAGAATACTGAATAAAACAAATGGAGCAAGGGAACAAAACTGCAGGATAAAGAAGTGGGGGGAAAGTGAAAGACCCAGGAATGGACCACATGGAAGGGGGAGAGATTAGTATTTTGAGTTGGAAAACAGAAGTCTACAACTTAGAAACAAGGTTTGGCAATGAAGCGCGAATGGGAGATAATCTTCACTTCCATTCTTAAGAAGTAGACAGGTCATAAGGCATGGAGGGACAAGGCGTATACAGCCCTGGGAATGAATATATATATATCTTTTGAATAAGGCAGGAAAAGAAGGAGTGTGAAGGTAATGCCTTAGACTGAGTGGAAAGTTGGACAGAAAAAAAAAGGCTCCTGCTTTGCAAGAGAAAAAATGGAGGGAGAGACTTTCCTTCTGGAAAGTTTCAAGGTGGAGCGGTTTGCAATCTGGTGAGAATGAACATTTTTAGAATATCCTTGAAGGAAATCATCAGAGTTCCAGGTAAACCTGAGGTTAGTGAGAGAGAAAACAGCCCTTACCTTACTAAATGTATCAGGTCTTCCTCTTAAGAGTTCTGTTGCAGGTTACTTTGCCCCTCCTTCATTGTTTGAGAGCGGCAGCTTCCCAGGTATGGTGGGGGGGGTGGAGCTTGCCTTCACCTGCCTTTTTCCATCCAGGTACTTCCAGAAGTCACTTGCTGCTCTGTTCCAGGAAGGGTGGCGGGACTGACTCATAGCCGCGTTGATCAGTTTCTGCCTTTTTTGGCACTTACAGTTCCTCTCCCAACAGCAGGAAGAACAAATGGTTAGAAAGAGGAAGTAAGGAAACCCAAATGAGCTCTTTTGAGCACCAACGTAAGTTCTCTCTCTGGTCCTAAAGAGAACCACTGCAAGAAGGGAATGAATTACCTGCAGGAACACTGAAGAAGAGATGGCACAAGGATTTGAGTTCAGGTTCCCACAACACTTGTAAAAGGCCCATTAGTCTGAGCTTGCCTGACTATACCCAGTGTATCATATGCTCTCTGCATTGTCTTTAGTTAACAGCAGATGGGAGATACCTGGGACACAGCCTTATTACTGATGGTGTTTGGCCAATCTTTCCTTGCCCTGTGTAGGGTGGTCGCAATGACCAGATAGGTGAGATATAAATAGAATAAATAAATAAATAAATACAGTAAATAAAAATAGATGACAATGCCATCATCTCTTCCCACATCCCATCTTTAGACTATGGCTAAATGTAGAATTTTGGCTTTAACATCAGCCAAGTTTCCCTGCCCCCACCCATTTTGTCTGCAACCTAGCCTGTTTACTAGATGTAGACTACTGGTGAACAGAATACAGTACATTGTTTTGTGACTTTTGGTCAAGTAGAGCTAATCCTCTAATGGTTGTTGTGGGTTTTTCGGGCTCTTTGGCCATGTTCTGAAGGTTGTTCTTCCTAATGTTTCATCAGTCTCCCGAAAAACCCACAACAACCATTAGATCCCGGCCGTGAAAGCCTTCACAAATACACTAATCCTCTAACATGGAATGGCCGTTTTATGTACAAGTCTCTTTGATCTCTCCTAGATTGTTGTAAAAACTTTGCTTCGTTTATCATTACATTTCTGTATATCCCGTTCTTTGGTCATAAAGTTCCAGATGAGGTGCAACCTTGTTTCCCCACATCATTTTATCCATATAACAATCCAGTGGATGGTTGGAGGTGGTGGAATTTTTGTACTCTACAATCAGATATAAGGTGTAGCTGTACAACATCTAGAGAACAACAGGTCCCCTAGTCTTCCTAGATCGTGCTTAGTTCAGTTTCACCAGTGCTGAACACAGATTATTTTTGCACTGTAACAAATATTTGATTAACAAGGCGCTGGTTAGATAACTGATCAGGATAGAGCACCTCAGGATTTTATTCCTTGGTGTGCCTCCTAGGAAAAGAGCCAACAAGATATGTTGTCACAGAGCACCTCCAGATGGGTCTATAAACCACTTGTGAATACAGTATTTTATAGCTAAGAATGATTGCCATAAATCAGAACAGATTTGACAGCACACTATTATTTGCTAGGGAAGGATTCAGCAGGCTTAGTTCTTTGATCTGAAGACATACCCATTGCAACTCTAATATATGGCAGTGACAGGGCCACACATAGTAGCAGGAAAAGGCAGCAGCTCTACCAGTATGCTTTAAAAAAGGTATGAAGGTTAGGAAAATTGTTCTTCTCACCCCACCCGTTTGGGGACATAGCAACAGGGAACATGAAGAAGATACTGAGAGCCTAGCAAGGCTTTATTTTCAAGATGTGCCATTTGTTAAAAGTTTTTTTGCTTTATACTGGACTTTGTAATTCCCACTAAAGCAATGGAAAAGGTAGATCCAGAAAAGCTGCTGTGCTGCTTTCTTCTAACAATGACCTGCTCTGTATTTTAGTACAAATGACAGAGATGAGGTGTTTTATTGTTTTCCTACATCTTGTATAGATTAAGGGCAGCAAGTGTTACAGAACTTTCAGGGGGCAATTTTTGTTTTTGCATGTCTAGGCAGAAACAAGTCCCATTGAATCCAGTTACCTGGAATTTCCAGGTATGCTGAAATCCTATTCAAATTTATCAGATTTAGTCGAGCACAAACATTTGAAGGCTACAGCCTATTGGTCAAACCCTGATGAAGCAGTTTCTTTTCTCCTGCTTAAGTAAACAGATGAAAATTGCCATAATGGCTATCCTATTTTCTTTCTGCAAAACAAAAACAAAAACAAAAACCTCCAATTTCTTGAACAACATCCTAATCCAGAGGTGTTGCCATGCAGGTGACAGCAGGCTAGAATGAATTACAGTAAGCATGGGAAGCTGTACTTTCTGTGACTCGTGGAACCAGACGGAATTAGGTATCAGAACCTGTGAAGGCCACTACTAAATCAGACCAAGTCTAGGATCACCTAGTTTGGATTCTGTTCCTAAAAGGGCGGGGGGGTGTGTATCCAGCAAGCTCAGAAACAAGACATCATAGCTAAGACTATTCTTCTTTATTGGCTATACTGTGCCTGAGATTCCATTTAACCTCACTGCTGCTTCTAGAATGGGTCTCCAATCCTTTCCGAACTTTGGGTTCAAGGTTATCGCTGCCTTTGGTGGAAGTTCAATATGCATCATAAAATTAAGTACTGTACATATCATTAAACAATTAAAAATATGTGAGGACCAACATGGTCTGGAGAAGAACTATATTATTCTGATTAACTGTCCAGGCTCGAATAGGACAGCAGTCTAACATGGGGGAGGGAAAGTCCAATTAAAAAAAACAAAAAACCCCTGCTACTACGATGCGTCTTAATCAAGGGAAGCCGGGAGGCATTTAATTTTAAACGGACATCCTACACCTTTAAGCTTTGCCCACACTTCTTGGAGCCCCCATGAGTGACATAATCTTCCGCCAGTAGTTACGTCACTTCCTGCGCGCCGCGGGAATTCTATTCTGTTCGCGTGCCGTCGCGTCAGCTTCGAATTGCGGCAGGACCCGGATGTTGATTCCTTCACCGTGACGGCGGCGAGCGGGTTGAAAATCTTTCAGGAGGGGAGTCGGTTGGGAAAGTGGGAAAAAAGAAGGACGGGTACTAATAGTTGCTTTTTATGCCTGGTTTTGGACTTCCAGGGAGGCTGTTTGTGGGGTGAGAAGAAAAGGTGTGTGTGTGTGCGCGTGCACAAGTAGCTGCGCTACATCTTCTCGAATTAATTGCTGCTCTAATTAGGCTGCGGTAGAGATGTAAATTTCCGAAAATTTCCATTCTTTCCGGGGGGGGGACTACGCTTAGAAGTGTTTTCATTTTGTATTTTCTTATTATAAGAACTCTGGTGTTTTTTTAGAGGTGTGAAATTTGAAAAAAATAAAAATAAAAAATAATCAAATTTTTTCCGGGTGGAGAAAAAAATGTTTCTTTCCCAGATTTTTTCCGGAAAAAAATGGATTTTGGGGGGAAAATTTTACATAACTAAGCTGGGGGAAGTCAGGGGGAGTCTCCCTCTCTGTGCTATAGTATAAAGCAACTTTATTGGTAGTTAGTAGTTTCTTTACTGACTTACAAGATCAAGGTTACCTCGGGTTCATTCGCATGCATGGTTGACGGTGATGTGATTTAAAAGGGGCGAAGTTGTTACCCACAGTGAAAAGTAAAGCCTATTAAAAATGATAGCTTTTAGTTCTTACGGAGGCGGCCTGTTGCACCTTTTTCAGAACGTGCCTCTTATCATGCTGAAATAAAGTTTTGAAATGCATGAACATGCCACTTTCGGAAGTAAGGAAATTGTGCAGGCATTTAAAAGCTACATCCTTTTAATTATTGGCAAGAAAAGTGGGCTCTTTTGAGTGCAAATATCAGTGATTGTGGTAGAACAGACAGTAGGACTTTTAATTATTGGCAAGAAAAGTGGGCTCTCTTGAGTGCAAATATCATCAGTGATTGTGGTTGAACAGACAGTAGGATGTATGTGTCTAGGGCTTTGGCTTCAACATTATAGAAGTGGATGGATGGATTTAAGTCATGTTTGTAAACGCATGCCTTTGCACACGTGGGCAGCAAAGATGGTGCCAGAAATTATTTGTTTACAGACTTTCTCCTAAGATCTGCTTGGTGGAGATAAGCACCTTATCAGCAGTAGAACCAGCATTCTGCTGGTACTGGTTTCCTAAACCTATCAGAATAGCCAAGTCTTTCAGCAGAAAGCTGTGTAGTCTGCACACAGGTCTCTCAGTGCTTGAGATCCTCTCACTCTATGTACTTTTGAGTACGTATCTTTATGTTATTTTCCTTAGGGCCATCATGTCAAAACGCAAAGTAACTTTTGAAGACCAAGGTGATGAGGATGAAGAAGAAATGAGTTTGCCAAAAAAGAAGGTAAGAGAGGGAGAGAAAAAAATGCAGCTGATTTTGTAACATCTTGGAAACATGACTGCTTGCCTTCTATATATGTTAATGAATTTAAAATGCAATTCTAAAGATGGCAGGGTCCATGGGATATTGTAGGCAAACAGTAGGAGAGACCTTGGTTGGGATCACTGTTCTGTAGCTTGATGTCTAGAGAGAATAAAGCCAACATGAAAGTGTTTGTAGCATTGTCTTATGATATTGACACTGAAAGGCTGTATTTATTTGAAGACTTATCCCATCTTATTTCTGAAGATTATCACCAGTTTGGATCTGCTTAAAGGGAATGGAGGAAAGAACTATTGTTAACTTTGTATTACTTCTAGTATCAGAGACAGCATGCCTTTAAATGCATGCTGCCAATGAACAAAAGGGACAGTGCACTTGAGCTTGTGAGACGCATTTCGTGAACTGCTGTCACAAGAGGATCCTGCACTTAAGGCTGATCTAGCAGGGGTTTCCTTTTCGTTCTTATTCAGGGCAGCTTCCAACGAGGTGAACTGCCAAATTAGATGAATGTGCAAACTAGCAACTGTCAGAGAATGGGAAAGAAATATATTCTCTTTAAAAAATATTGACTTTATTCACTGTTTGTCTCCTCGTTAGCTGGTTGAACCGGCCATTGGAGGGCCAGGCAGCCGCTTTAAGGGCAAACACTCATTGGACAGTGATGAAGAAGACGATGAGGATGATGAAGGGCGAGGCAGTAAATATGACATTTTGGCATCAGATGATGTGGAGGGTAAGAAAAGGACTCTTTGGGTAGATTGTGATACTGGAATTCAGCATTATGAAATTCTTGATTTTAGAAGTAGCAAGAGCTGATTGTGCTTGAGATACTAGTAGCATGTGTATAAGTGCTTTGGTGGGAATGGACTATTTGAATGCCTAAAATCATAGAAAGGTTAACCATTCACAATTTATGGTACATACTGTGATTTTTAAATCATCCTTGTTATTTTATTAATATCCTCTTTGCCCAAAGTAGTACCTAAGGTGGCTGGCAATGTGAATTGAACCAGATAAGCTAAAAAATTGTGACATAAAAATCCTCCGTTAAATAGATTTTCATATGAAAAGTAAGGTTGCGATTACAACAGTGCAAAAGCCTTTAAGAATACAAGAGAAGAAAAACAAGCAAAATGAACGCAAGAGAAAAAAGCATGCAAAATGCAAAAAAATACACACCATTAAAAGACCAATTATCAGCAACTAGTTAATGACCAAAGTCTGGCTAAATAAAATGGTCTTTGCCTTCCAGTGGAAGAAGAACAGAGAGGGATCAGCCTAGCTTCCTGTGGGAGGAAACTCCACAGCTTAAAACTAGCTACTGAGAACACTCTGTCTTCACAAATTGTACTTGTGAGTGTGGCAGGATGGAGAAAAGGGGTTCACCCTAAGATTCAAGACCTGGTAGGATACACCCCTTCAGGTTGTGGTAAAAGCTTTCCTTAGAACGGTAGTCTTAACCCAAGCACTACATGCTAGTGAAAAGTTAGTCAGAGCACATACTCTCACTGTGTGTGTAAAAATGTGGGGATCTACAGACTTCGGCTGGACTTGGTAGCCAAACCAAATGTTCTGGTTGTTAGGACCTTCCGTTTTTGCTTGAGCACAGTTTACTTGGATAAATGGAGATGTTGTGCTAAGTGAGGCTTGCTCCAGGTATGTTACGAAGTATTGCAGCTTTAGCACCTGATCTGGAGGAAGTATGTTGGCCACCTGGCATTAAACTGATCCTCCCATTTCCTCATCTGAAGCCCAAAGCAAAGGCTATACGGCCTGTTTTTGTGTGGGCCTTGTGGTGCTCTAAGAATCTTGGCAGTCCACTAGTGAGCCTTCCAAAACCCCGGTGAGGGTGGCAAATGAAAACATGGCACACACAGAAATACAAACAGTAGTGTGGAATCCAAAGAGAGCAGAATGATTGCAAAATGGAAGGATGCATGGCTTTTCATTCATCCTACTCCATTGATAAGCATGCTAAACATGTAACAATTTCTGTCCAGTATTAAAGGAAGCTGTTCCGTCAGAAACTGTTTTCCTCCTTTCACTCTTAACAGGGCAGGAATCTGCCACTATTGATTATGAAGATGGTGTCCGAATCACCCCATTCAATTTGCAGGAGGAGATGGAAGAAGGCCATTTTGATTCTGAAGGCAACTACTTCTTAAAGAAAGAGGCAATGATTCGGGATAACTGGTTGGACAACATTGATTGGGTAAGTGTGCATGAAACATAGATTCTATGGCTAGCAAGGTCTTGTCACTATTCTGAGTGAAGAAACATTGCTTTCTTTATTGTATTTTGGGAGGCTCTCTGGGTCTCTGATCAAACAATACAATTGCAGGGAATCGTACTAAGTGCAAAAAGAGATATTGTACACTAAATTATGGTAAACAGAGACTCTGAAATGACCCGTAGAGGGAGCTATAGTGGAGCAAAAGACATGACTGTATGCTTCAGTGGCTAGGACATTAGTTAATTAGTTAATTTAGTTTGCACTTCATGGTAAAACTTAAATTCTTTCTTCCTGAAACTAAACATGTTTCTTTATTTGTATCGGAGCACTGCACAATTAAAATTATGGACATATATGAATTGTAGGTGAAATTAAAAATAAATTAAAATGTTAAAATAATTTAACTACTTTTGACCAGAAACAGGCTCCTTCAGTAGCTTTATCTTGGCCATTTGCTGCCCTTTGGAAGCAAATTAAACATAAAGAGACTACTTAACACTTTGAGATTTTTTTATTTTGCAAGCATTTACAGTGCAATCTTGTAAAAATGTGTAAGCATTTGTAGTGTAACCAGCCTTGTGATGCAGTGGTTAAACTGCTGTACTGTAGCCAAAACTCTGTTCATAATCCGGGGTTCAATCCCAGGTAGCAGGCTCAAGATTGACTCAGCCTTCTATCCTTCTGAGGTCGGTTAAATGAGTACTGGGGGGGGGGGATGTGTAGCCTTCATAAACTTGTAAACTGCCCAGAGAATGCTTGAAGCGCTGTGGGGCAGTATATAAGCAGCACACTTTGCTTTTTTAGTGTATATAAAATGCAAAACATTTGAGAAATGCACATAAACACTTTTCTACTGGGGAATTTTTTAAGTGCATGGCAATTTATATATTAAAACATAAAATAGCATGTAGGTTGAAAAATATGAACAAGAACATGTATGTATTTTAACACAGAGCAGGAAGAAACATACAGTCAAACGCAGACACAGGATGACATTAACTTAATGTAATAACCCAAATGTAGTGGCCTGTTACTAGAGTGAACTGGGTTCTTGGCTCATCTCACTTTGGCTTTTTAAATGAACCTTAAATAAACCTTATTAATTTCAATTTCTGTGAGCTAATAATGTTAAAGTCAGAACAATTCTGAGGCAAGATAGCCATACATGACAGATAGCCAACTTTGGTCCTCCAGATGTTTTTAGCCTGTGACATCTGCCAGCTGTAGGTAGAGTTGAGCGATTATGAGACTTATGGTTCAGAAACATTTGAATATTCACATTTGCTGACCCTGGATTGGTTAAAGATGAACTTGTCAATGCCTAACCTGTCCTTAGGGAGTTATGAGGCTGAATAGAGATTGGCAGGTGGGAGATTCCATCAGCAAACCCAACACTTTAGTCCCAAAATCATACATAAAGGATGCTATTTTAGGCTGCATTATTAGAGGTATAGTCTCCAAATCCCATAAAGTGCTAGTTCTCTTCTACTCAATGCTGTATTTGCCTCATCTTGAGTTCTGTGACACTTTAAGAAGGATGCAGACAAACTAGAAAATGTTCAAAAGAGGGCAACAAGGAAGATTAGGGAACTGGAAACTATGAGGAAAGAATCAGAAATGTTTAGCTTTGAGAAAAGAAGACTATGGGGATACAGTATATGATGGCACTCTTCAAACATTTGAAGAAGGAAGGGCAGGATTTGTTCTCTGTCATTTCTGAGTGCAGGGCACATAACAATGAGTTCATATTAGATGAAGGCAAATCTTGGTTAAATGTCAGGAAAAACTTTCTAATAGAGCAGTATGATAAAGGAACCAATTTCCTTGGGAGGTGGTGAGCTCTCCAGCGTTTGGAGGCATTCAAGAAAAAGTTAGACAACCATCTGTCAGATATATTTAAACTTGGATTCCTGCATTGAGCAAGGGGTTTGACTTGATGGCTTCATAGGGCCCTTCATTCTGCTATGTTTCTATGAAGGAATAAGCACAGGGACAAATGTGACGAGGTGAAATGGAAAAATGAGTTTGAATGTGAATTTCCAATGGTTATACTTAATTATTGATATTATAACTTCAGGAAATGTTAGGTTTTTAAAAAAATTATTCACAGTCTTAAATATGGCTGGGCATAAATGAGATGGAAAGAATGTTGCTGTTGACTAACTTTATATGTTGTCCTGGTCTATCTCAAGGATCACTTTGCTCAACTAGTACTGGAACATTGTCCTGAACAACTGCATAATATTATTCTTGGAAATATTATAAATGACCACCACAGTTTTCTGTCCGGACCTGAAAATCTATACATTTGGCATTGTACTGTATCCATTTTTTTCCTAACAGCTTCACCTATTCTTCTCTATCTCCTTCCTTCCTACTAGGTCAGGATAAAGGAACAGCCACCAGGTCGGAAGAAGGTACCAACAGATTCTGTGGAAGACAATAATGAGGATGAAGGTGATGACCTTGAAGATGTCCAGGTACCTCTGGAGAAGAAGGAATTGCTGGAAGGAATGGTGGATTTAGTGCAACCTGGAGAGACAGTTGCTAGAGCCATCCAAAGGCTGGGTGACAAGGGTGGACCCAAGAACAGTGGGCGTCAGAGGAAGCCCTGGAGTCGCCTTAAAGCCAGTGAAACAGAACCAGCAGAGGAAGGGGAGACCCAGAAGCTTGGGTCACCAGAACGGAAAGAGCAACTGGAACGCCTGTCAGGGCTGGCAGACCAGATGGTGGCACGAGGTGTGTACGAGATCTATGGAGAGACCCGGGAGAAGCTGGCACTGAGGCTCCAGGCATTGCAACATCCTCCTGCAGCATCTGCTGCTGCTGAACCCGAACTCGATATGTTTGCTGAGGATATTGATGAAGCAAAACTGGGGGAGAAGAAGCCAGCTGGTGAGAGTCCTTGCGGGGACTGAGGAGGGACTGGAGTGGAATGTGGGAACACATAATCCAGAGAATCCCAAAGTGCAATTTTTTGCAGAGTTTTTATGACTGTAGGTGAGAAATCCAATGATGGAATGCATTTCCTTGCCTGTAGAAAGTGAAGAGGAAAGGCCACCAAGCCCAGTATGGTTGCCGATGCACAGTGTTTCTGCATGCAGGGTGTATATATGGGAAAGCGTTCAAACATGCAGTTCTCTTCAGACTGAGGTTTTGAGGCAGTAGAATCCAACTGTAGCTGCACCACATGATGGTCTCAACTGTGTGTTTCACTTCCAGGAAGTAGAGTTTCCAACTGTGTATATTCTTATGTTCTTCCTCAGCAGGAAGTGAGGAGCAGCAGGTGGGCGATGACAATGCTATTTCTGAGGTGATGTGGGAATACAAGTGGGAGAACACAAACACATCTGAACTCTATGGCCCATTTAGCAGCTCTCAGATGCAGGTAAGAGACTGAAGGTGGGACAGACAAAGTTTTAGTTGTTAATGCACTTCCAGATTTGTTTGTGCATTCTCTCTCATCTTCCAAGTGCGTGTTCGTTCATTCTTGTCTGCGCCTTTCTACCTGTTCTTCCTTCTTTGTTGATTGTTTCCTTCTTTTTTCTTTCTCCAAGCTTTCATTTTCTTTGTTCTGTTCGTCCCTTAAATGTTTATAAACTACCTTTTATATATAACTTGGTTTAATTTTTTTTGTCTTTGTGTTCATATCTATCTATTTATTGTTGCTGATGATGCCTGTCTGCCACAATTCCCTTGTGGGGCAAGGCAGTTGGCATGAGTGTACCTTTGAGGATGTTTGAAGGTTTCCAGTGCGCACCTGACTGCAATCCTGTCTCTTAATGGGGATGGGCTGCGGTGACCAGATTAAGCAAGCAAGAAGATTGTGTGACTGGGAAGGTTTCCTTATTTGGAGTAGCTTCTGTCAAATTGGATCAGGGGCTTTTGAACCCTGATTATTTGTCAAAATGTTTGCTCATGTTTTACTAATTTATTTATTTTATTTATGTGACCTCTATGCCACCCATCTGGCTGCCAAGGCCACTCTGGGCGGTTTACATATTAAACATGAACAATTCAAAGCAATAAACATAATAGTTATAAAATCAAAGTAAACACACAAACAACAAACATTTGAAGTAAGAATAATTAAAACAATATAAAAGCAGGACAGCAAGACTAATAATGCAAAAGTTAAGACCAATCACTGTATTAAGGTGTTGTAAGGTCCGGGAAGGCCTGTTGGAAAAAAAAACATGTTTTTAACAGTTGCTGGAAAATTCCCAGTGAGGGGGCCAGACAGTTTCGGGCAGGAGGTTATTCCAGAGGTGAGGAGCAACTGCCAAGAAGGTCCGGTTTCTGTTTCTCTCTTTCCTGCCCTCCCTTGGGGTCAATCCTCTCAACCACCTGGCCTGAGAAGATCGTATAGGGCAGGCAGATCTCATCAGGAGGTGGCATTCTGTCAGGTATTGAGGTCCCTAAATAATCCAGCTCCTCATTCAATGTTTGTTACTGTGGGCTTTGGTGATGGTGGCAATAAAAGATTTAGGTTAATTTTACACTTGTCACCCAGAGTTCATGCTGGTATGTCACAGAAGACTTGCCCCTCACATACATTGAGCAAAGCAAAATAAACATTAAAAAAGGAAAAACATTGTGGCACCTTAAAGACTTAACTACTATATTGTAACGTGAACTTTTATGAACAAGTTCCACTTCCTCAGTCCCAAGACTGGGACTACATGGCAAATATTTGCACATATATTAGAATCTGTTCCATCATGGCACCTGATCACAGTCTCAAAAGCGAGAGATAGTGTAGCTTTTTTTAAAAAGCAACACCAGCTATCTACTAGAGGTGGGATATTCATATTTGTTTTCTAAGGGAGACAGACGGCTGGGCTGATTGGACCGTTCCCAGCCCCCAGAGCCGGGCCGTCCACTTACTGCTGCTTGTGTCACGGTGTGTATGGCCTGACATAGTTCACACTGTGCTAATTGCAGAAGTAGCCCAGCCAGGACTTGCCTGCTTCCCTCCACTCCTGACCACTGAACTGGCTGAAGGGGGAGGCTCGTCATTCCGCCTCCTCACTGGAATAGTCAGCACTGCAGGGAGACAGGGCAGCCCCAGCCAGTTTACTTCTGCAATTGACACAGTTCCAGTGATGACGGCTGTGTGTGCCACACCGTGATCAGTAAGTGGACAGCCCGGTTCTGGGGGAGAAGGTCTGATTGATTCTGCCTCCTGTGGTGGCGATATTCGTATTTCTCTCTCTCCCCCCCCAAGAGACAAATACAAATACCCCAACTCTACTAGCTACCAGGTTTTAAAATCAGAGGTACAGTATTTTTCGGGTGCTCTGGATGGCTCCCTCTGCCTTCCATTACAGACCTGTTTTCCATTTAGGCTTCAGAAGGACCTGTTCCAGAAATAGCATAACTTGCGGCTGTGTTGTGTAGTTTCAGACATAGAACTGATATAAAATCCTGCTTCTTGAGAACTTCCTGTTCCATCAAAAACAAAGTTTCTAGCTCCTGGTAATGTTATTGCTTCTTGTTTGTTTTTGTAGGGGAAGGAGATGTTGCTGATTTAAGATATTTGAGTGGTTCCTGTGCTCCTTGGCTTATTCAGACCAGTATTGATTCAGTGTATCTTCTGGCTTCATCACTTTGGTGCTTCTCTGTTTTAATTATGATTAGCCCCTTTGGTGTTTTCATATTGGAGCATTTGGACGCAATATAAATTGGTCATGTTCATTTCTGGATTCTGTGTTCCTTGGTTCCCATTTTTTTAGTTTCCACATTGTCAGTTTCATATTTTCTGCCACATAATTCCTTTTTCTTTCTCTGTATCTTTTTCTAGGACTGGGTATCCCAGGGGTACTTCCCTGATGGGGTTTACTGCCGGAAAGCAGATAATTCTGAAGGCCAGTTCTACAATTCCAAGCGCATTGATTTTGACCTCTACACGTGATTGGAGCCCGCCTCATGGCCCACAAGAGAGATGGAACTTGATGCAGACCTGAAAGAACTTGGTGGACATTAGGGGCTGGAGGCCGGGGGAAGGGAGGGTGTTTGTGTGTGTGTGTGTGTGTTTGCGTGCTTGCTGAGAAGAAGAAGAGGTTTGATCCATCACCTAATTCTGAAGATACTTCAGATTATGGGAGAAATAAAGGAATCAACCTTATATTGGGCTGGTTGGTTCTCTCTCTCACTTCCATTTCTCTGCTTATATTCAGAGCCTGTCATTCCCTAAAAATTGAAGACAGAATAGGGGTATAGTGTGCTAACCCCTATAGATTCTTCTGCCGTTTTTGATGTCCATAAAAGGTGTCAAAATAGACTTAGAAGGGAATTTTTCATTGCAAGCTCTAGTGGTGCCTCTTTTTAATTCTATTATTTTTAATTATATGCCCGTTGATGCCTTGGATGCATCCACTGGAGAGATGTTGCTATAATGGAAATACTTTTGTCTTTGATCACTGTTTGGCTCAGATTTTCCTCAAGTATTATTTTATTCTCAGGCATTTCATCTTTCAGCTGTTTCTTTTTCTTTTCTTTTTAACTTGCTGGTCCTGAATGGATCTTTACACCTTATTCAAACAAATCATGAATTCTAAACTGAATTGGTTTGATTTGCCTGAATGTATGAGTTCTGGATTGCGGTGGAATGGCCAGATTTTGTTCCAGAATGAAGCACATTTATAAATCCATTAATGTCTAGAGCACAAACCAAATTGGATGGGGCAAAAATAATAATCATAATAATAACATCAGCCCTAATTTGGGGGTGGAGAACCCCTTCAAAGTTACTTAGTATGCAAATTCCTGAACTCCTGCATGACATTTGGGAGGCTTACTCCCCTCTTCAGGAATCTTATTATCTCTTGAAATGTATGTAAATGCAAAAACAAGTTATAGCTGGTTGGTTTTTTCAGTGCAAGTCGGTGGGTGTGTGGCAGTTTGAATTCACAGATCAGTAGAGATCTGGAGAACAAATTGGATTGAATGGGGCCTGGGTCAGGATAAATCCCAAAGCCCCAAACTGGCCTCTAAATCAGCTTGGGAAACTTGTGCACAACCCGAGTCATAAGCAGCCTCCAGAGACCTCATACCTGTGGCACTTCTCTTCCTTGCGTAGCACAAAAAAACTACTGTTGGAGGCAGGATAACAAGTCCTTCACCCTGGCGTGAAGGAACAGAAACTGAGCAACCTGTGGTTAAGGTTTGCATGTCTTAAACAGTAAGGCTCTGGTTCCCCTGATAAATAGCTGAGGAAGTCACTTAAGCAGCTTAATGATCCTCCATGAGTCCCCCCCACACACACACCCTAGGAAGGAAGATTCTAATCCAGTGTACAGAGGTGGCAAATTCATTTTGCATATACTACTCTACATGCTGAGAGAAAAGATTCTAATTCAGCATTTCCCTGTAAAACATTTGTTTTCTGTGTATGAAGAGCTTTACTCCTTGCATTAAAAAAACATTTTTATGATCTAACACCTGCATATTGACATGGTACAGTGGAGAGAGAAGATTGCTGCCTCCATGTCTTATGCCATATGAACCTCCTAGTTCCGGGAGGCTGAGGGCGCATTCACTCTTCAAATATTGGTTTGTTATAAGTGATCCCCTTTTCTGAGTCCATGATGTACATGTTTAAGCCTCTTTAAAGTTGCCTTAGCTTTCCTCAAGCCGGAGTTTTTGAAGTATGCTGGACTACAACTCTGGCAATCCCACAGCCAGCTACATTGGCTGTGCAGTCATGGGCGATGTAGGTCTAAAAGACATTGTGCTGCCATATTAGGAAGGCTGCCTTAACTGGATTATGGTAAAGCTCTGAAGTTTTACTGTGGGTGGCAGCCACATTTTCTCTGGGCAACTAGAGCTTGGAAATGATGGATGTCAATTTGTGTGCTCCAGCCTGTGGTATTCAGAGTAGATGGTCTTGGTGAGAAAGGAGCTCTTTAGTTATAATATCTATGGTAAGCCCTCACCCTGGACCCCTTGGATTGAAAGGCGGTTAAGAAGTATTGGTTGTGATTGATGTGCCATTATGTCAAGGTGACCCTAATAGTGTTTTTCAGGAGATTTTGAAGAAATGGTTTTATCATTGCTTCTCCACAGTGTCTTTCCATGACTGAGCAAGGGATTTGAACCCAAGTCTTAAGTCTGACACTTTGTCTGCTAGACCACACTGACATGCTAGGGATGAACCTGTCTCCTGACCATTTCTTTTACACTTCTGGGGTAAAACGTTCTGAGAGGAGAGCTGCAGTAGTAGGAGCCAGTGTGGTGCAGCAGTTAAGAGTGTTGGGCTGGACCTTGGGAGATTTCAGAATCAAGTTCTGGCTGAACCAGGAAAGTCAACGGGATGATCTTGGGCCAGTCCTGCTGTCTGCCTGGCTCACCTTGCCAGGTTGTCGTGAGGTTAAAGTGGGGAAGAGGAGACCCCTTTGAGCTCATTGGAAGAACAATGAGATGTAAACGTATCAAACAAATGGTTGACCAGCTGGATTTCTTCTTGTGAAAAGGAGCAAAGTCTTGTACATGAAGGGAAAAGACAGGAAAGCACACTCCGTTAACTCTGTTTATGGAAAATCCCCTTAGCGCTTAGTATAGCAAATAATTTGAAAACCTCCCTGGGCTCCTTGGGTTCAAACACAGTTAAGAAATCCTGGAAATGGATGAGCCTGCAACAATATGTGATCAAAGCAGAAGGGGGAGGGAAGAAAATATTGCAGGCAGACACTGGTGTGGTCAGAGTAGGAAATGAGATGCAAAGTTCTGCAACAGAATGTGTTGAGAGAAAGCCACAGAGGGATTGAACCAAGCCTCACGTTCAGACCTACAGGCAAAATGAAGCTGACCCTTCCAACCGTGTTCCTTGTCTGCATTGGGTGGTGTAAGTATTGGTGAACTGCTTTGGCTTGTAGATGAAAAGTCGGTTGCGAACTAACCAGAAAGGAACCCGGTGGCTTGCTTTGAGCTCTATCTGCTGGAACTTTGCATGCAAAGCTCTTCCCACCCCGCTTGCGATAGGAAGAGCTTTGCATTTCTTCATTATTTCTTCATCGAGTTGTATTGAAAGATGGAGGGGTGACGTAAGATAAAATATATCGGCAGCCCTCCAAAAGTTCAGGTTGGCTTGGGATAGGCTGAAGGGATTGTAGGGTAGAGGGGGACTAGAAAAAGTCAAGTCCCAAGCTGGCTACTTGACCAGTTTTGGGGGACTTGGTGGTCATGGCTCAATCTTCATTTATTGGATTGTGGTTTTATTTTGCTTAGAAGTATTCAAATTATGTCAAAGTTCTTTTACTTAATACACCACACTGCAGATCTTTGGGTACAAGACAGGACAGAAATGTTAAATAATGAGTTGAATAAGAGCCTTGCAGGAAAACTTGCCCAGTGGTACATTGAATGAGGGTCTTTTTACTGATAATGTAATATTTGAAATATGTGACACCTCTAGCGATTGTAAATGATTGCTAGCTAATATGAAGCCCAACACTGTGAGATAGGACAAAGTGCAGATTTGATCTTGGCCATGAATTAACTTTTTCTTTTTTTGACTGATATGCCTTGTATCAACCAACAGGAAACCTAAGCAGTAATATGGGCAGCAATATCTTGAATAGGCTGTTTTTTTTCCCTCTCAGCTTCTGTGTCTGTGCAGCATGAGCTGATTAATTAGTCCTGGCAGCACTCTGCAAGGCTTTTGTAAGAATTACAAAAGCTGTGTCTACACATTCAGCAGACAATCCTGCACCAGGCTGCTACATCACCTTATGCACAATTCCCTGAATCTAACTGGTAGCTTCAGTGAGTCCAAAATATGGCAGCACATTTGCGAACCAGAATGTAATGGAAGTAAAAATGTTACACTATTGTTTTATTTTAGTGATGCCTGTACTTAACTTGAACGTTGTATTCTCTTTTTTTTAATTGCTGTATTATCCAATTGATTGTGTGTCTTCATAATATCTCCTTTTATTTGTTAAAAACATAAGTTTCAATGTAAGCCCACCTTTGACATTCTTTCTGAATCTAAAGCTGTTGTACAAATAAGTAACCGAGGTGGTAGAATACTGTGTTCATACTATACAGTGAGAGGTTGCACATGGTGTGTAGGGGACAGAATGACAGATTAGAACTCTGGGTTTGAATCCTGGCTTGGCCAGAGAAACTCATGGGGGCATGACACTGGCAATCCCCTTCCTTAAATATCTTAAAAATCCTGCTTAAATTTGCTATTAGTCAGTTATGACTTGATGGCACATAGCACACACAATGTACATGGGGCCATATACCTTGAGACTGAAGATATACTGCAGTATCTTTTAACAACATTCCCATATCTATTTCTGCTACTAAAAATATATATAAAAACAGAAACAATAAGGAGGGTAGTAAACTTGAACCTTCTTCTTTAAAGTGTTTTATATTCTGAATTTATTTTTAACACAGGGGATATAAAACTATGCTGTTTTATCTGCTACAAGTGGTACAGTCAATTTTACTACATCTGGATTTACCACATTAGTCTTGTACATGCATATTAGTGATTTCTAAATTTCTAGGTATTGCAAGCCCTTTTTACTTTTTTTAGAAAGCCTTACACTGCCTAATTTCTGCCATACTCATCCAACACTTTAAGGGGGAAAAACAATTCATAATTTTAAACTAAATGTAATCACAAAACCCCCACATCTATCGAGCCTGTGTCCTGAGCACACTCCTGTACTGCAGTGAGTCCTTGACCCTTTGTGCATGGCAGGAGAGAAAGCTGAACATGTTTCATATGCGTTGTCTCCGGCAGATTTTTGGTATCACCTGGCAGGACAAAGTTCCAGAGTACAGTAATCCTAGATCGATCTGGAATTTTTTAGCATGTGTACATGACGTTACTGAAACAGTGACGTCTACGTTGGTTTGTTGTGAGAATGGCTGATGGTCGGATTCCAAAAGACCTGTATTAGTGCAGGGAAATTGCCCCAGAGGGAGACCACAGCTGCAATACAAGTACATCTGAAAGCAGGATCTGAAGGCCTTAGGAATGGACCTCAACAGATGGGAAACCCTGACATCTGAGCATTCAGCCTGGAGGCAAGTGGTGCATCACTGCCTCTCCCAATTTGTAGAGACCCTTGTCCAGCAGGCCGAGGCAAAGAGGCAGTCCCGAAAGCAGCAAAATCAGGAAGCTGGACGGGGGCCAGATTGTATTTGTCCTCAGTGTGGAAGAGATTGCCACCCTCGAATTGGCCTTCTCAGCCACACTAGACGCTGTTCCCAGTCCTGCATGCAGAGCACGATACCATCGTCTCTCGAGACTGAAGGATGCCTAATCTAATCTCGTAACTACTATTTTAAATTATTTTCAAAGTACTGTATGACATTTGAAAATTCTAAAAAATCATGAAAACCAGACCATCTTCCAACCTCCTTGGAGTTTCTTCACATCCTACGAGGGGATTCCACCCTTAATTTGGGAACCATAGTGGTATATGAAGGAATCACTTGGAATATTATTTTCATGAGCTGCGAGTAGCAGATAAGTTTTTTTTTTTTGAATGATGGGATATGTGAACTGGGACAATCTAGCTCACCTCTTGCTATTGATGTGTGGAACAGTCATGCACGCATACTCACATACAGCTGCATTTAACTCAAGTGTGAAGAGATCCTATAGCAGCTGTCTTCAGTCCTGGTTGCCAATTGCCATGCTGGCTGAAACAATTGGGACTTGTTGTCTAATTAATATATCTAGAAGTGATCCAGAAGGTTATTCTTGATGGGTACTGAGCTCCTTAATGTGAACTGTTGGCCCTGGTCCTCTACCCCAGATGTGAAGAAACTTCATACCATTTGGAGCAAGGCACAGAGTGAGCTCAAGTACTATGACTCATGAGCCTTCTTGTGGAATAAGACTGCATTCTCAACATGATCTTTGGAAAAAGACCCCCTCCGTGGCTCAGTAGTGAACCTTCTACATACAGCACGAACCTTCTACATACAGCAGCACCATAGGGCCTAGAAAATCTCTCCATGTGCCATATCTATGGTCAGTAAGGCTTAGCAGGAACATCAGCAGTTACTGTACTCTACTTGCTAGACACATGTTTAAGGCTTAGCAGGAACATCAGCAGTTACTCTACTTGCTAGACACATGTCACCATCTGTCTAGATAGAAGCTGAAAAATTGTTTATTATTGGCTCTGGATATTTTGCTTGGTTATTGACACAACACCCCTCTGGACTCTTCTGCAGTCTGCTGGCCACAAAGCAGTTCTAACCCCCTTTCAGCTTGTTCTTGTTCTGCCTTAGTGACATCAAGGTGATCTCTGGTCTTAAGATTTTGTCTCTGAGACCTCAGTGCATGGGGTGGTGGCTAACCTGGCAGTCCAAGCTCTGGAATAGTGCCCTCCACCACTCAGCTGCCTAAATTAAACTCTGTTGGGAGATGCTGTAACCTCACATACAATAATTACAGGGAGGGCAATGGTTAAAAGAGTGGATAAGACTGGAGGATAAAAAAATAACCTCACATACAATAATTACAGGGACGGCAATGGTTAAAAGAGTGGATAAGACTGGAGGATGAAAAAAAAAAACTCATCCTGTACTAGAAAGCAAAGATTTAAAATATGGACTTCATGCATACTTATGATATGGAAAAAAAGTGGACAAAGCTTTTGATAAAAATATAAGAAAAGCATTAATGAGAGAGAGTATGGGAGAAATATAAAGGGAAATTTTATTGTGGGATTCCAATGTGGATGTCCCCCCATGAAGCTCTCTCAAAGGAAATTGACATAAAGAATGATAGATGGTTAACATATAAAGATCTACTCTTAGAGGAAGATGATAGACAACTAAGATTAATAACAAGACAAGAAATGAATCAAGTAGGAATAATATGCCAGTGATTTCCACACAGACAGCTATCAGAAAGAATGAAAATAGATAATAAATTAATTGGATTGGTTAAAGAACCTACGGAACTAGACAAGATAATATGGGGAAAAGAAAATCATCAAATCACAATGTTGTATAAACTATTATTGGAAAGAAATATGGAACAGAAAGTAAGAAAAGAAAATATGATAAAATGGATGCAGGAATGAGGTAGAACAATTCAGACAGGATTGGTGTACAGCATGGAATGACAACCACAAACTATTAAGTACAGATTGGAAATAAAATAATATGAAAATATTATATAGATGGTATATGACACCAGAGAAATTGGCAAAGGTGAAGAAAAATTAGAAGGATAAATGTTGGAGATGTAAGACAATAAAAGGAAGTGTATGTGGTGTGGTTGTGCATTTATTGGGAAATTTTTGGAAAGAAATAGAAAAAAATAATAACCATAGATTTAAAAATAAAAATGGAGATGAAACCTGAAACTTATTTGTTCAGTATGGTAAAGTTAAACTCAAGACAAGAGACAAAAATTTGTTTATACTTATTAGGCGCAGTCAGAATTCAAGTGACAAAACAATGGAAAAACAAGGAGGAACCTTCAGTGGAGGATTGTTTAATAAAATTACAAGAACTAATATTAATGGACAAACTAACAGACTCATTGAAAGGAAAGAGTAGAATGGAGCATGAATCTCAATGGCGGAAATTAAATAATTATCTCAGAGAGAAAGGGAAGAAAGATTCCAAACCTGTACTAAGTGACTTAGGCTTAAATTAGAAGCAGAACTGCTCTCGACAGAAGTAAAAACAAAGTAAAGCAGATTGTTAATATGGATGTAAAATAAGAATTAAGAAAGGCATTATTAAGATTGCGAAGAAAATAAATGTCTGGGGGAAAATAAGGAAGTGAAAAATGTTAAAGGACTTACTGTTTTGCGAAAGAGATAATAGAAAGTTATTTTGAATATGTGCTAATATTCTGATAATTAGTTACTTATTTTTATAATTTATTTTTTAAATGAAATAAAGATGAAAAGTTTAAAAAAAATTCCAGGGAGGGAAAGCTTAAATTGAAGCGCTAATGGGAACTATCTCTTAATTTCGGCACTCCATAACATGTGAACCTAGTCTATACTCTTCTGTCTTTCCTCTGTTTTGAATCCAACAAAAAGTTTGACATGTGAGCTGCTGCAGATTATCATTATTATTTTTTAATTTTAATTGCTTTAAAACCTTTATCGCCCATCTTCCATGGCAAGATCTCGGAGTGGATTACAGAACCATACAAAAGAATTTAAAATCATAAAAACAATTTAAAATTATATATTTGTGAAACATGTAAAATAAAAATATTAAAACCTGTGCAGGCCAAACTTTTCAACCCCCACGGGGTCCAAGTTAATAAGCATGTTTTGACTTGGTGCCCAAATAATGCCAATGTTAGTGCCAGTTGAGCCACCAAGGGGGGCATTCCATAATAGGGGGTCTGCCCCCTCCCATATCTCCTTATAATAAACAGACCTTAATAGTGGGACACAGAAGAGGGACTCTCCAGCAGGTCTTAGAGACAGGGCACATTTCTATAGGCAGAGACATTTCCGCAAATGTCCGAGTCCTGACCTATTCAGGGCTGGATAGCTCAGTAGTTTAGGTAAGGTTGGGAGTTCGATTCCCCACTGTGCCTCCCAGAAGAGCCAGCCTGTGTGGCTTTGGGCCAGCTTGCCAAAGACTAAGCTAAGGGCCAATTCACTTTGGCTCCTACGCCATAGTGGCCTTACCCAACCACGTGGGGTGGCTACTGTGGACGAGTGTTTCTCCATAGCTGCTCCACTCATTTATCAAAAACCCACATCTTTTAATACTCTTCATTTTCTTCAAAATGGGGGAAGCTGCTGTGTGACAGGTTACCGAGGGCAAGAAGAACCAGTTTTGATCCCCCCCCCTCTTTTTTGTTTAAGGAACTGCATTAGTCACAGCACTCTGAACTCTTTCCCCCGACCCCTTTCCACTCTGTTTGGAATTTCTGACACATTTTATGTCAAAATCAGGACATGACGTGATGTTGAGGGGGGGGGGAATCATTGACTGGGTAAAAGGCACTAAACTCTCACACTGTTAGGAGAGGGTACAGCTTAAGGTAGTGTGATGCCTGAGGCGAAAGAAAGGCTATAGATCACTCTCTCTTGTGTGAAGACTTAGCAGGTCAGCTGTGGGAGCCGAGGGCAGGTCTGAAGGGCTCCTTTTGCCGCCCCCCAGTATTTGCTGTCTGAGGCAATTGCCTCACTCTGTCTAATGTTAGCGCCAGCTCTCCTTTCCAGCAGTTGAGGGGAAAGAATGAGTGTTGTGGAAAAGAAGGAGGGACAAATGAACATGCAAAAATAACTTTTGGATAGAAAACGTTGAAGTGAGAGGAAGATGCCCAGATTACTCCTACTTCCTTTCTACTGAGTACACTAGCAAATAAACAAAAACATAATGAGGCCTAAAGCAGACCTAAATACTAACTGATGGGATGTAGAGGAATTTTTCTTTGCTCCCCCCCTCCCTGTTCGATCCTGACATAGCTGGTTCATCATACATAATAATAATTTGCATTTGCACATTACCATGTACTGTTCAAAGTCTGTCACATAGTTTATTTTCTAAATACAGTAAGCCCCTCCTCCAATCCATGGGATCAGTATCCACTTATTCACTTATCCACAATCTGAATATATTAAAAATATTAAAAAGAAAAAAAACCCAGAAAAAACTATTTTCACATGTATTACCAGAACCATGTACTAGAAGGAGCCAGAGACTGTGCTATGAATACTTGTTAGTGAAGAATAGATTTTTTCTGGTTTTTTTCTTTTTACCATTCTATCCGTCTATCCGTCTGTCTATCTGTCTTTCATTTTTTATTAGCAGTGGTTGTTTGGAGCTTGGAACCAATACCCAGTGGAAAAGGGGGGGGGGAATCCTACTATATCTGGAAGTCACTTCATAGACTTGGCAGCAGAGCTTGGAACCAATACCCAGTGGAAAAGGAGGGTCCTACTGCATCTGGAAGTGACTTCATAGACTTGGAAGCAAAGTAGGAAGATCAAAGAATAATAAAGTAAAACAGGGCTACTTGGATACAGGTCAAATTTTCTGTGACTGTAGGGAAATTAAATCAATGTGTATAAAATTTATGCCCCACCATGTGCACAAAGGAAGATCCAGCAAATGGCCAAAATAACACTATTGAAGTAGGCCACCTGCTAAAAAATAGTCTAATTATCTTAACATTTTAATTTGTTTTTTAAATTTTACCTATATTTCATATATGTTGATCATTTTAAATTGAGCAACACTCTGATATGAATTTTAAAAAGAGAACAACCCTGTAAAGCAGATATGTATTATCACCCTCATTTTGTAAAGGAGGGTTTTTTGGCTAAGGCTACCACCCAGTACACTGTTGGTAGATGCAAGATTTCAGCCTGATGCTTCCTGCTTCAAAGTTAAGTGTTCAACAACACTTTTTTATGTAGCTTTCTTTGAGAGTATTGGCTACAAACCTCCATCTAAGCATGTAGAAAGTTGTTCAAAGCACAGTGTGAATGACATCCATGTTAATTTGAGTTGTGTCCTGTCCAAAGTGATAATATTAGCAGAGAAAAGAAAACAACAACGGCAAAAGGTAAAAAACAACAACCCTAAAGCATTGTGGCACCTTAAAGACTTAACTGTTTTATTACAATGTGAGCTTCCATGGCTCAAGTGTACTTCCACAAGCTTGAATTTGGTTGAATGGAGAGTGGGATCCAATCCATATAATAAACATCAGAATAGAAATGTCCCAATGCAACATTCTTGCAATGAAGAATGTAATCTGCAATAAAAAGTATGAATTTGACTTTGCAAATGCATATTATAGAGTTATATGTGTTTTCAGTTCTAACATATGGCAGGAACTCATGGAGTTTAATAGGTGGCTATAAAAAGACTGAAGTATTTGAAAGAAAGGATCTTATTGCAGGATGCTAAGAATTTCTGGATCCAGAGTGATCAGTGAACCAAAACATCATAAAGCATGTAAGGCTGTATCCTGTTCAGGTATTAACATTCTTGCAATAATGTAATGTTTCTTTCTGTGGTGTGTGCACCTTTGAACAACCCATTGTGCAACTTCACCACTATGATCACATCTGGGAAATCTCCTAATCCAGCCTTGATTTTTATGTGTGCTGAGGATATGAACTTGCCTTTTGACATTCTCCTCCTCCTGTTGTCCATTCTAGGTTTTTCTCTGTCTTCAAGTTTCAGCGTGATCGATACAGAGACCCCAGTGATTTTCAAAGGCAACAAGGCTGATCAGTTTGGCTATCGTGTCATCCAAACAAAATCAAACAGGGCACCTTGGTGAGAGAAGCAAACTAAAATTTTTTTAACAGAGTTTAGTTTTGTTCCAATCAGCTTCGAAATAAACATTTTTGACACCTCCTACCTCCTGCAGGTTAATAGTGAGTGCCCCCCTCTCAGGCAACCGGACGGGCTCCCTTTTCCGCTGCTCGTATGATACAGAGAAGTGCCAGCCACTCATTCTTCACCATAACTGTAAGTTAGAACATTTGTATGGCTTGGTGAAGGTTCCCCTTGACATTTAGTCCAGTTGCGTCCGACTCTAGGGAGCGGTGCTCATCCCCGTCTCCAAGCTGTAGAGCCAGCGTTTGTCCGTAGACAGTTTCCGTGGTCATGTGGCCAGCGCAACTAGACACGGAATGCCTTTACTTGAATCAAGAGTACTGTATATTGAATTATTTTTGTTCACAATAAGATAGTTATCTTTGACAGCATATGTACTTGGAAAGTGTCTGCTGCTTTTATACACTCTAGTGAACTGAAGTTTGGTGACAGTCCTCAGGACTTCCATAGTAACTCTTCCTACTGAACTACTATTTAGGTGTTCCCTGGGAAGAAGGTATGGCTATTAATTCAGTTTATATCTACAGTGGGGGTATTGCTCTTATCTTGTGCTGAGATTATGAGCATTGTAGTCAAACACAGCTGTGAAGGTGTGGAGAATAAGAGTGTGCCGTCCGCAGAAGTAAAAGTGGAAAAAGAGGATGAAATAAAGAGTCAA